AACACTAGGCTATACGTGCATGTATAGACAGATGACATAGATATACATATAAATTATATATTGCACCTGTATTTACTTACATGGGAATATTCCCTTTGGAAAAATGCAAATGCATGAACATATATTTTCATCTTATATATGACTTCAAGCTAACATATTATTTCATATTTATATTTTCATAGTTAGTCTAACATAAATAATAGATCCATGAAAACAATATTCTTTGTTTTCTTAAAAATTGATGGGTTTACTGTTCAATTCAATAAATTACAATTTGCAAGGGGTAAGTATACTGTATGACCTTAGTTGCAAAGTACTGTTTATATATGCAGCTCAATAGCATAAAATATGTTGAATGAAGCATATGGTATGGATTAGTCGTGTGACACACAAACTGACCAATACATGAGGGTATTAGCTACTTTTCACAGAAACCAAAGGAGGACAGTGCTTTTATTTCAACTGGGAGCTTACCTCCACACGACTGATCATGTGACCATGGTGGTGGGTCCCTTTAAAATGATTTTTAAGCTTCTAGCTCAAAACAGATCCTATTTTTTTGTTTTGCCTTGCTTATGCCACGATTATCCACCCACTTGACTGAAACCCGAAAAGTTGGCTATTGTACCCCCCTGACTGAAAGCTGACTACGCCCCTGCTCTCCAATCTACACTAAAATGCCTTCCTCTTGCATGTAACAAAGCTATATTTTAGAAAAACATCGTCTACTCATCCCGCAACTCATGTTATGTGTGTCTGTGCTTGACCCTTGGTGGTCAAACCTTCTAAATTCCATATTTTTAATTTGAAAGGAATATATTTAAAAATTGACATATTTTTATTGTGGCTTGGGAAAAGGACTTGATAAATGGAGGGCTTTGTGACATCCCTATCGAATTTCATTTGCTGGGATAATGATATTGATAAGTTAAATTCAATTTTAGATATGTATTGCTTGAGGCCATCTTTTAGTCAAAATACTTACAGAAAACCTAAAGTGTGGCCCATGATGGAGTATAGAGGGTTAAGTCCACTTTTTAGTAATTTTGTGAAGCAATGTCTAAAGGATGGCCCAGAGTCCAGTCCATCTTTTCTTGGGGCCAGTCCACTGATTAGAACATGCCATATTTATCCTTGGATATCGCATCTAAGTTGAATCATAGATATCAGTTAGCCCACGTGCACTAACACTCAGTAACATTAGTTGGACTCATACGGTATTAGACAGAATTGGTGCAGTTTTGTTTTTGAACTCGGACTTCTAGAATCTAAATTTAAAATAATTTTGCTATGACTTTAAGAGGAATCAAATGACTAATGATTTTAAATATTACTTACAGTGAGCAAGTTGTATCTTTTGAGAATGCGAAAGCATAAAAGTATATCGCATGTTTTTCTGTTTGTGTATTGTGGAAATTGCATCATAAGATTATGATGATTTTAGTCTATCAAGAAACATATTCCTGCTGGACGGTATAATGTTATCTTTGGGATATCTTGTCTTTAAGTTTCTGATTTTGCATTTTATTGTTTTATTCCACACTATTTGTTATATGAGATTTTGCCATGTACATGCTCGAAATAAATGGTTATTTCCCGAGCGGCAACTGGATAATGTTATGATGACGATCATAAATTGTCAAATTTAGGGTTCAATAGAGAATTGAATTGAAGCCCAGGCAAGTGGTTTTCTCAGTTTTGTAAGAAAGTACAAACTGTGGATCCTACAACGAGATTTTGTTATGACAGCCATCAATCATCAGGTTTAGTGAAATGAATACATGAGAGATTAGTCATTTATATTTGAATATAGCAATTTGTTTGTATTTGTGCAATACATAGCGCTAAGTATGAAAATATAGAATTCTTTGGAAAATCCAAAGTAAAATGCTATTGTGCACTGAGGTGTTACTGATTTACTTTCGGAAACAAAGTCCTAGCAAGAGGGGGCGACCTGATGAAAAGGTTTTAGTAATCTTGGCAGAGTCTGAAACCCATGTTGCATTATTGATGTTAATGTTAAATCGCTAGATATGTATAATTGTGTTATTACTTTTTGGAATTTGTCCTGCCTATTATGGAAAACATGTTAAGCCATATTTATATTCTTTCTTACTGTTCGTAAGCAATTTGCATCTTTTATTTTAAAAGACTAACCACTCAGTGCATTTTAAAGATAAAGACAAGTTTCACAAGTAACAATCAGAGATCATTTTGAAGAATAGAGAGAAAATGTAAATAATTTCATGAAGAGTTGAAGTTGAAGAGTTGCTAGAAGAGTTGAAGAGTTGAAAAACGCTCAGTCATGAAAGACAAGTCAAGTGAAAAATTTGTATGTTGAAGAGATAGAAAGACTAGTTACTAGTCAATGAAGAGAAATTGATGTCTTGAAGAAAATTAAACTCATGAAGAGTTTAGAACACGAAGAAGACTTGTTTATGTCACATAGAAAAGCAAGTTAAAGACATGTTAATAAAAAAATGTTTCTTAAAGACACTTTTGGAGAACTTTTTGAGAATTAAAAAATTAATTGCCCGGGATCCCAGTAAGCGATTTCCTATGACGAACTGAAGTAGATGACGACTACCTAACCGTGAAGAAGCGATGAAGATGACCTGTGAAGGCGATGCCTATGTCTTATGGAGATGCAGACGACGGATTTCGACAACTGATGAAGGAGCTGAAGATGTACGATCTCCTGTTATTATGAACAATTCTTTTCTCCAACGAAAACGTTTATTATGAACACTGCTACAAGGAAATGGATATTTTATTATGGATTCTTCAGCGAGGATACGGACATATTCGATAATGGACACGATGCGGACGTGCATGTGATATACGGATTATGGATATTATTTCGACTACTAAGACGGTGCATATTTTGGATTCGAAAATATTACATCGTGGACTAGATGCACGTATTACAGCATCGCATTGGATCCAGGACTAGATACGCGGATTATAAAATCGGAACTTATTATGGTTTATTATAACGACGTTTATCAACAGGAACTACGTATAAAGCAAGGATATTTGCACGAACTCTGCGTGGATATTTCATATGGATATTGGATATGGATATGGATTATACACGAACTATGTATGCGGCACTGTGTTAGTAAACATTCATATAGGACATTGTTAAAATATCATAAATACATTTATTTAGATTTTGCGTATTTTCAGTTTTTTTTAGTACGTACAATGTCAGGAGAATTGTCATTTTATTTGGGTAGGGGTTGTATAGCATTTTTCATGTTGATTCACCGTATTGTGCTGCCATCTTTCAATGGGTTACTTATAGGTTTTGTAGGGTGTGGGATTGCCTTTCATTTCCTATAACTTGGGGGTATTTAACAGAAATTTTGGGCTTCATTCAGGAGAGAGTTAGATCGGGGGGAACATCACACATCATTTATTTTCATCTTATTAATCTCATTTTCATTCTTTCTTTATCTTTGAACAGTTTTATTTACACTGAAGAGTGTAATTGTACATGTTTAGTCTTTTACTTGGAATAAAGTATAGTTTTATGAGTATATTAATTCTGTGTTAATCTTGTCTTTTTACATTACAAGACCAATCCATATTATTTTATGAAGAACCCACAGAGCTATTTAAACAACAAAGCTCGAAGCTTCAGTATGCTTTTCTCTCCACATTGACTTTTCTATTTTTTTATTTTCCAAATACATTTGCAAAAAGGCATAATATGACATAACATAACATGACAAAATGTCACCACCTAGTTGTTCACAATATTAATAGTTCAATCTTAAGTCAGATTTGAATTTCTGAGAACTCTGAAGATGATAAAAAATGGTAAATTTGAAGCAAGTTGATAATATACTTTTTTTACCCTGAGAAGGTCATTGCAGGTAAAATCTCAAATCTTAAGTCAAAATTGGTCAATTTGAAGCAAGTTGAAAAGGACCTTTGACATTGAGAAGGTCATTGAAGGTCAAATCTTTTTTGACCTTGAGAATGTCATTGAAGGTCAAATCTATTGTACGATTTGAATAATATTAATGCTATTTTAAATAGGTTTCAAAAATAATCCAAATGTGTAGTTCCAAGCAGATTTTAAGATAACAGGAAAGTTCATCATTAATGCACACTTATTAGGTTGTTTCGGTTTATATTACAAGCCAATGAGGTGTGTATTAATGATTAACTTTCCTTTTTTCTCAAAATCTGCTTGGAACTATATACCATTGGATTACTATTGGAAATTCTTCAAAGGGAAAATTCTTGGGATTAAAGAAGGGGTATCATTTACACAGTTTGAGAAATTATTGGCAAACATGAAACCTACTTAAAACAACATTAGTATTATTCAAAAGTGACCGTAATAATTATTCCCAGCCCTCTGCACTTTGAAAAATAACAATACCTGGGTGTTAATCCAAAGATAAAACTTTTATTTTTATTTTTATTTGTTCTGTTATATTTTGTTCTTTGTTTATTACGTGTTTAAATGTTGTATATGTTTTGGTTATTGTTGTATTGTTTGATTGATTTATGTTTCCATGTTTAATCCATTTTATTATGGGAATAAAAGCGACATAATAATAATAATAAACACACTTAATGCATGAAAAAGCTCCCACATTCATTCTACAAACAACTCGTGGTCCTTTGCCCATAAATCATTTTTGCACTTTGAAAGTCAAACTTTCTGCGTGAATTTAAAAAAAATTGAAAACATTTATTGAGTATGTGCTATTATACAAACGGTGCGGATATAGTGACTTTACGGATATTCGTGGATATCCACTCCGCATAAAACATAATTTTTTTAATTATTGTAATCATAATTGTATTCCATTCATAATTATGAATTAATCATATTAATATTAATTATTATATATTTATATTGGTAATTTTTAGTACTAAAACGTTACAATTAATGATATTTGGTATAATAAGTCGCAAACTCACAGGGTTCTAAAAGTTCCAAAACAATGACTTATTAAGTGAACCATTGCTTTGTTTAGCAAGCTTGGAGGAAGATGTTGGCCCTAATGATATCAAAGCAACAATCAAGGCTAAGGACATGTATGCCGCGTGTGTGAATGAAAGTAAGTTTGAGAAAATGAATTATTACCATTCTTAACTCACACACCCATTCGTTACTGATTAAAACTTTAAATAGGTATTAAGCAGTTTTAAGTCAGTGATGCTCATTGAGACAGAATTTGAATTCAATGATATATTTTGATTTATGGCTTATACTTGTGATTCTTATTGTGATTCTGTATTCCCTAAAGTTTTGAATATAAATGTGCTCCAGCTCTAATTGAGAATCGACGAATGACTCCTATGCGTGACTATATCAACAGCCTTGGTGGTTGGCCAATACTTGGAAATGTATCTTGGTCCACCTGGAAAGAAAACGAATTTGATTGGCAGTCTCTGGCTGCGCAGACAAGACGGCTTAGCATATTCGCTCTCATGTCCCCGATAGTTGATATTGATTCCAAAAATTCTTCTGTTTTCATTCTCAAAGTAAGATGAAACTTAATTTATCTATAAAAAGTCACATGAGGGATATTATATTATGGTTCAACTGGATTCAATGTAGAAGCATGTAAATGCAAATTTTATATATAGTCCGATAATGAACTACTATAGTAATGAGTAGTCTACGTATACACTCCCTTCAATTTGGCAACACTAGCTCCCTCATTGAAGAACGTGTTAAAGCCTCTTTATGTTTGAATTCTTATTTACATAACCTGCGATGGGCAACGAAACCATTAAAAATCATGGAAATGACAGTTATCCCTTTTATAGAAAAAAATAATAAGATAAATCAAACAGTGGAATGTGCCAATTTAGGGGAAGCTCCTCCTCGTGATGAGCTAATTGAGAAAATAAGTCTATCAACGATCAAATGCTTTTATCAATGTGTCATTTGATTAATAAACAACTACTGTAGTTTAAACTCAACTTTGTTTCTCTGTTTTGTACAGCTAGAGCATGCTTATCAACTTGGAATGCCTGGCTCTAATTCTCGAGAATATCTTTTAAATGGACGGAATGACACGTTTGTAAAGGCATATGAAGAATGGATGGTAAGTTTTGTGATGCTCATGAAAGAAACTGACGACAAGACTATAGAGGCTAAAGTGCGAAAGGACGTCGGGGATGTGATTGATTTCGATATGGAAATTGCAAATGTGAGTATTTTACTTAATGCATGGGTCACATTTGCTCCGATCCATCGGCCGACGCCCGGCCGATTGAGTGTTTTGTTCAATATTGTATTCAATTTTGAACAAAATACTCAATCGGCCGGGCGCCGTAGTAAAAATTGGAGCAAATGTGACCAGGGCATTACTTTTATCATGATGCAATGAACATTCAAGTGATAGTACAGGGTGGTAAAAAATGGAAACCCTGCATTTTCCTTATATCTTTGTCACTTTAAAAAATTACTCCCTGATATTTCACAGATTTGTACATCATTCAATTTCCTACCACCCTACTATATTTCATGACCATCAGACTGATAGTCACAATTTTACAGCACTTCCAATAACATGCTTCAGATTTGACCATTATCGCGCTGTTGGCAAAACAGTTGTCAATGACCCGAATGGATTCCTCAGCAGGTATGGCCTGAATGAAACAGATGATCTCACTTTCGAGGTTCGCAATTGTCCTGAGGTCATTCTCATACATTATACTCTTTTTCCGCCATATCCCCACAGGTAGGGACATTTTAGACGATGAGTACACACTCTCCCATGTATACCGTTCCGTATTAGTGAAATTGTTGACATTAATACGGAATAAATCATACCATTTCATGAAAAATGGTGACCTTGTCCTACGGAAATTGAGATTATGTTTCACAGCAAGTTCGCACGGCAATACTGTATAGCATATGCTCAGGGGAATTGATTCTACTTTCTATAGACACCAATCACATCTCTGTCGATAGAATAATAAAAAGCCTTAGGGTCCCAACCTCCTTTGTTTACATTTACAAAAACGTGAAAAAATGACAAAAGTTGTCATAACTTTTTAAATCTTGAACTATTGAAACCGATTTCACTTGCCAGCGACAGATACTTAAGTCGTTGACGAACCGAACATGTCAGTTTGGTTCGTAATATCTCCAAATAAACGATTTCAACATTTTTAAAAACTCGATGCTAGTCCACGTGTTAATACGGAATTGGTCGACTCAATAAGTAAACTCAATCAACGAATCGGTAACTCGTAAATGAAATGAAGCAATTAAGATGATTACATAACCCGAGGTATGAAACATAAAACCTTGAATACGGGTTTCAGTAGCATGGGCATTTAGTTTCAATTATAACGTCATTCGTTATGGAGAAGGTAAGGGTGTCATGCCGGTTTTGAAGGATTTACCAAAACCTTCGCAAGAAAATCATCTAAGTGCCAGCACTAGTATAGACACGGTGATAGGGAATATCGCATAAGTAATGACAACTATACTACAATTTTTATTTCACAAGGAAATAATATGAAAATGTAAGCTTCATTTTGCTGTATTAAATTAAAATGAACAAATACACTGGTGATCCACTCGATTACGCTGGTAGTGGTTACCAAAACGGTTCGTTTTGGTAACAAAATGTCGGAACATCCGGAAGGTACGATTTTTCTCGTTTCCTTATATTACACGTCGTAGGCAGAATTCCCACGACATTTTTTATAAGAAAATGTACATATTTGCGAACAAATAGTTCAGAAGACAACAGAATCGTCGATTTACTTCCTCACTTAAGTTACATAAACGGTTTGGGTTAAAAGTGCAGATCTTAACTGTTTTTCGAAAAACCATTTATGTAACTTAAATGAGGAAGTAAACCGACGATTCTGTTGTCCTCTGAGCTATTTTTTCGCAAACATGTACGTTTTCTAAAACATATGATACTGATGCACGTTGTGAGAAAAAACGTCGTGGGGATTCTGCCTACAACGCGTGAAATAAGGAAAAAAGAAAAATCGTGCCTTCGACGTTCCGACATTTTGTTGCCAAAACGGCGTAACCAACGTAATCGAGTGGATCACCAGTGAAATGGACAGCTAACCTCATTTGGTACTAATTGTCTTTCTAAACCACATTTTTGAATGAAAATGTCGGTAGTAAACTACAACCTATTAGATGCAATGAGAAAAAGTACAACAACCTATCTTTACTATTAATGGGCGTAAAGCTATCGCGTTGACGCCGTCGATGTACAGCTTATCTTTTAAAAGAGAGCACTATTTATGTACATTCAATCCTTGTGATTGACAGACGTGTTGCCGCCTTCGGTTAATGTGCCATTTGCATGCAATAAGATACTGTCCAATGTCCATCAATGAGCAATCAGAACAATCGTCATTGCAAGTTTTATGGAAATTGTGATTTCCCCGGGAATGTATACGATTTAACACCCATTCCGTATTAATACTTGGAAACCGTTTACCCATTCCGTATTAACACGTGGATTAGCATCGAGTTTTTCAAAATGTTGAAATCGTTTATTTGGAGATATTACAAACCAAACCAAACTGACATATTCGGTTCGTGAAAGACTAAAGTATCTGTCGCTAGCAAGTGAAATCGGTTTAAACAGATTTAGATTTAAAAAGTTATTACAACTTTTGTCATTTTTTCACGTTTTTGTAAATGTAAACAAAGGAGGTTGGGGCCCTATAAGGCTTTTTTATTATTCTTTGGACAGAAATGTGTTTGGTGTCTATAGAAAGTAGAATCAATTCCCCAGAGCATGTGCTATACAGTATCGCCATGCGAACTTGCTGTGAAACATAATCTCAATTTCCGTAGGACAAGGTCACCATTTTTCATGAAATGGTATGATTTATTCCGTATTAATGTCAACAATTTCACTAATACGGAACGGTCTACATGGGAGAGTTGTACAGGTTTCCCCACAACGCAATAGTGGCCACTGGGCATGTTCTTTAAAGTACTGTAACATTGTGACTATCAATCTGATGGTCATGAAATATGGTAGGCTGGTAGCAAATTGAATGATGTACAAAAGTCTTAAATATCAGGGAGTTATTTTTCAAAATGACAAAGATATGAGGAAAATGGTAATAGGGTTTCCATTTTTTATACCACCCAGTAGTAGTATATATTAAAAGGGTATATGCCTTCACGAAAAAAAATTCCGGATTCTGACGTCATTATTGCCTCATTGTGGCCGTATTTACTACTTTCGGAATCCTCCGACCCATTCGAACACGAATTTCATACCGTTCGACGATGGCAATGGATGGCGTCAAAACGATTTTTAAGGCCTCAAAAATGATTTTTACGGCCTCAAAAATGATTTTGAACGGCATAAAAACGATTTTGTACGGCTTCAAAAATGATTTTGAACGGGCGTCAAAAACGATTCGAACGACGTCATTTAACGCCGTCAAAAAACGATTTTAAACGCCGTCAAAAACGATTTTAAACGGCCGCATGTGACACGTAAATTACGTCTTAGATGGCAATCAATCAAAAGCAGCGTTACAATCATTTTGAAATACCTGTAGTTTGAAACGATAGCTTTGAGTGACTGTGTAAAATCACTTTTTGACGCCATTGGAAATAGTTTTTGACGCCGTACAAAACGCCACGTACATTTTACGGCGTACAAAATCATATATGACGATGTACAAAATTGTTTTTGAATAAAAAAGATTTATATGGCGTTAAAAGTATGACGATACATTGGCCCAGATGGTCAGCCATAGAATATCACAATACGACGCGACAGGGGTGGGACACACTGGAGAAAATCTGTAAAAGTCAAGTCGTGTACCATATCAAACGAACCGATATCGTGTTGGTTATTTCGCTTTTCTGCACTTCCTTTACACAGTAGAAGCTGCTAATAGACAAAACAAAAATCATTGTTTAAAGTACTATTCATCCTAGTTTTAATTGTAGATAACTATTTCAAAAGAAGAACGTCGTGACAGGGAAAGATTTTACAACAAATGGACTATTGAGTTTCTTCAAAAAAATATCACAGAGGTTTGTACGTGTTGACTATTACCTAAAGATGCACTGTTTCTCAGATTTCTCACCGGGACAATCAGTGATGTCCAATTATAATTACTAACATAATATCTGATATCATCCATACGTTAGATATATTTCCAGACCAACTTATTGGCATAGTATTGCCAATATGTTGAATAAATCAACAGAACAACCACATGTCAGATAGCAGCCGCGCGCAATCACCAAAAGGAATTCCTGTCACGTGACACCAGCGTCGTCGATTGACTTGAACACAGGAAACCAATCAGATTCAGAATGTTTTTTACTTCTTTTTCTAGGTTGATTATTTTAAAGATTATTGTTTGATTTAGGTTGATTGGCTAAGATATTTCAACAAAGTGTTTGAAGGTGTCAACGTAACCATCAAGAAAGATTTAGAAATTAACGTTGCAGTACCACAATATATTCGGAACTTAATAGCATTAGTAAACAGAACACCAAAACAGTAAGAATATGTTACTAAGACAGGCAACTACAGAGTGTAACAAAAAAATACCACCCACATTGCATACTTTTTTTGTCTGCGTGAATTTTGACTTTTTGAGGACATTAAAACTAGACGCAATGGAGCAACTATGCAAAATGTTTCAGGTGACTGAACTAGATGCACTTTCATGAGCGTTATAGAATGTGTTCTAAATGTCAGGTACACCACCCTATGCTGACAGAGCCTGTGGGAAATATATTGGGTGCGGCGCAAATGAGCGGAGGGTGCGGAGCTAACGGTCATTTTTGAATTTAAAATTGGGATATTTCTGAAACTAAGCCGTTTTGGGACTTCAAATATACCAAGATATGTGTATTTGACACCAAATACCAATAAAATTGTGAAAATAGTAGTGCAATTCATTTAATAGCGACGCAGTATGCCTTAAACATTTCCAAGACCTATATATTTTGAGACTATCCTTTTAATACTGCGTCCCCAGCATTCATAAAAAATGGTGTTCAAGATACACTACCCATGCAAATTATTTTTGCATCTTGGAGGCCTGGCAGTATCTGTGTGATTTTATAAAAATTCGGAAATGTTCTTCAGATATGAGCCCCCTCTAAATATTGGGTGCGGAGCTACGTTTATGGAGCTGCTCCGCACCCAATATTTAGAGGGGGCTCATATCTGAAAACGATTCCGAATTTTTATAAAATCACACAGATACTGCCTGGCTTCCAAGATGCAAAAATAATTTGTATAGATAGTGTACCTTGAACACCATTTTTTATGAATGCTGGGGACTCAGTATTAAAAGGATAATTTCAAAATATATAGGTCTGGGAAAGGTTTAAGGCACACTGCGTCGCTATAGAATGAACTGCGCTACTATTTTCACAATTGTATTGATATTTGGTGTCAAATACACATATCTTGGTATATTTGAAGTCCCAAAACGGCTTAGTTTCAGAAATATCCCAAAGGACGATTCTCGGTTTGGAGAACGAAGTTCATCAATCTAAATGAGCATTATCCCTGCTTCGGACAAATTTGATTTTTTACATAATATAGATTTGAATGTATACTTTTGAATAGTCATCATTTAATTTGGGTAATATTTCTAGATTTTTCGCAAAAAAATATTAGCACAGTACACTGATGAACTTTTTTCCCCAAATCGGTACTTGTATTTTATTGAATTGGTCAAATTGAACGTTATCCCTGCTTCAGACCAATTTGTTAATTTTACATCTTGTAGATTTAAATGTCCTCTTTTGAATATTCATAGTTTAATTTGGGTAATATTTCTATATTTTTCATTAAAAAATTATTAGCCCAGGAGACTGTTCTCCAAACCGAGAATCGTCCTTTAAATTCAAAAATGACCGTTAGCTCCGCACCCTCCGCTCATTTGCTCCGCACCCAATATTTCCCACAGGCTCTGTCTGCATAGGGTGTACACGCGGATTGTACGGGCAAAGTTATTGACGATCTGCCACAGAAATGGCGCTGATCATTCTAGTGATCTCTCTCTTCAGGTCTTCTATAGTTTAGGGGTTTATTTCATTCACATGATCCTTCAATCACCACCAGAGAGAGAAATCTCGAGGGTTCGTGTCTGGCGAATGTGGTCAATAACTTTGCCTGTAGAATTGCCGTGTTGGTAACCATACACAGGTCACCCTACACTTTTGACACACATGATAACAAATTATGAAAGGACGATTCTCGGTTTGGAGAACGAAGTTCTTCAATCTAAATGAGCATTATCCCTGTTTCGGACAAATTTGATTTTTTTTTACATAATATGGATTTGAATGTCTTCTTTTGAATAGTCATAATTTAATTTGGGTAATATTTTTAGATTTTTCGCAAAAAAATATTAGCGCAGTACACTGATGAACTTCTTTCCCCAAAATCAAGACTTGTATTTTATTGATTCAGTCTAATTGAGCATTATCCCTGCTTCAGACCAATTTGTTATTTTTACATCTTGTAGATTTAAATGTCCTCTTTTGAATATTCATAGTTTAATTTGGGTAATATTTCTATATTTTTCATGAAAAAAATTATTAGCCCAGGAGACTGTTCTCCAAACCGAGAATCGTCCTTTCGTGGAATTTTGTTTTAGATCAACTTTAGAATTATTACTTTGATAATAGTTAGAAACCCATGCCTCTCTATCGTTTCAAAAAATTTACCTAACGTGGCGGTCTCTGTTAATTTATGGCATCCATACTTTTCTGAAAGGTAACACTTTGAGGTTCAATTTTTTGCCGGATGCCCTTGCAAACTCTCATTGGTTGATCTGTATTGTAGCATTCCGTTACCATGGTTATGCATCTATAGGCATCTTACCTTGGAATCTTAAATCATTTGTAGCTTTGTCATTATTTTGTCTATAGACATGATATTGGTATCAAATTAAACCTAAATAAATTTCTCATATAATTAAAATATTCAATTATGCAAATTAGCTCATTTGCATAAATTGTGACGTCATAAATCTATTTTTGGTTCAGAATTTTCAAGTATAGGAATGTATCTTTAAGAACTGAAGCCGTATGGTAGAATTTCTTCAATGTTATGACTTTTATTCTATGAGCAGAAGGTTTAAGCAACATAGAAGTGAAAACAGATTCAAAATTGGATCAGAACTAACAAAGTTATTAAGCTTTCTGGGCAGCTTCCATGAACGTTATCATTGAACAATTAGCTTTAAACATCTTATCTGAGAATTGAAATGTTTGGTAGCTTTGTCATTATTTGGTCTACAGAGGAGATCTTGGTATTGAATTGATCCTAATTGAATAAATGGTATGGTAACGATATTCAATTATGCAAATTAGCTAATTTGCATAAATTATGATGTCATCAATCTATTTTTGGCTCAGAACTTCCAAGTATAGCAACAAATTTATTAGATCCTAGGTTGGATGGTGTAGTTTCTGCATAGTTCGTCATTTATTCTATGAGTGGAAGAGGTATGAGCAACATCAAAAAATATTCAAAATTGAATGAGTATTAGTAAAGTAATTCAGCTTTTGAGGCAGCTGCTATGAACGTTACTATTTGACAATCATAAATAAAACACTGAAATAACAAAAATGAAACAAAGCTGATTCAAGCTTATTGAGTGAAAAATATATATTTTACATGTCACTGAAGTAGTTGGTGTATAGAAATGATATGGGTATTCATAATTTTGACTATCATTGACAGGGGTCAAAACAGGTTTTTGATTTTGTAACATGATTTATTGTTTGTGAGAAAGTTAGGTTAGGTCCAATACTAATTTTTTAGTTCAGTCTTGCCTTTTTGATGCTTTAACCCTTTATATACCATGTGTTTAATTTCACCTCCTTACATTTCGATAAAAGCCTGCATTCTTACTGCTACATTGTTTATCATATATGACAATGTTTCTGGTGGAATGTTTTGAATTTCCTTTCACATGTTGACCTCAAATTGTTCGATGTCTCTTAGCTTGGGATAAACATAAACATTGGGCTTGAAGTCATTCCAGAGAAAATGTTTGGGGTGTCAAATAAGTTGAAAAGGGAGGCCTTCACACTGTCTTTACATAGGGAGAAGAAACTGCTTTCATGGGAATTTTTGTGTGGCCCTTGCTGTACATGGAGGGGCTCAAACTGTCTGGAACCACAGTGTTCTCATTTGGATATCATTCAGTCTCTGTAACTCTGGCAGATGGAACTCCATTATCAATTAACTGCTAAATCATTTGATGATAATTGAGCTGGTTCTCTGTGATTGTTCTGCCATCTTCAACCTTGGAACTTCTTTCTCTGGGGTTATTTGAAGGAGCATGTTAAGCTAATCCCAAGCCGAAAGACCTAGAACAACATAAAGCCAACACCCAAAAAGAAATTCAAAACATTCCACCTGAAACATTATCAAATGTGATGAACAATGTAGCACAAGGACAGGCTGTCATCGAAATATGAAGTAAAAAGGAAAGGGTTAAATCATCAAAATGCAAGACTGAACTGAAAACTTTGTATTGGGGAGGAAACTTACATGCTTTAGCAACATGATCATGCAAAAATATCTGAAAATATTAATTCGTGGTGTGGTGTTAATATACTTTTGGGTACATTTTTGAGACACCTTGTATTATTTATCATACCAAAGCTATTATAGTTCATAAATAGCATTGCATTTTTTTTATATTAAGTGTTGATGAAGCGAGGACTTGAACCCAAGAGTTCCTACATCCATGTGACATTTATTTCCATGTGACTAACAACACCTTAATAGTGTAACTTTGAACAAATTAACGTTTTATTACCATGTCATCCATGTGACATTGATATCCGCGTTAACATCACCTCTATGGCATTCATTCATATTATAGCCATATATGTAAAATCGATATTACCCATTATCCATGTCAAGGACCCATATGGCAGTGGTTGAATTTTTCTTTTGTTAATCTATTTCAGTGGTGACTTTCATGACAGGGATGGTTTTTATTCTTAATGTTTCCATCATCTTTGTCACATCTCCATGTTCACCTCACCAGTGTGATTTGACTCCCAAATATCATCTGTGTGACATTAATCTCCTTGTTAACATCATCTATAGGTGTGACATTGATTCAGCTCCTCTCAGCACATCTTATTGTGATGACTTTTGCCCCAGCGTCCAGGCCTACATGTACATCTGAGACTTTTTGATAAAATCTGTTACACAAGGCGTTTCAAAAAAAAAACGCAACAGGTAGTTATCACAAAACTAGTGATGACTACATCAATTTCATTCAATGTACCATAAAGCCACATCCCTCCTCTTCATTCACATGTGGTAAAGGTTGGGTAAGAAATCCTTCCATTTGCACAGTGGGTCAAAATTAACTCTGGACCAAGTTTTAAATATTGCAAAAATCAGTGCAAGGGCTAAGTAGTAGTACCTATGGAAGTTCCCCTGACTTGAAATGCTGTGACTTTTTCTTTTGGAGCTATCTCAGGAGCATCTGTGCTCACAATTCCTTCACCAGATATTGCGAAACCTCGAGAAAGAATTGCCCATGGGCTGCTTTTCTCTGCTTTAACCCACAGATGACTCCAGGCTGAACCATGCATGACATGGACAAATGAGCGCACCTTTATGTGCAAGGAAGTGGTGGCAATTTGGAGAGGTATAGGATGTATTCTTGCAAGAGTATGAGTATGAATACTTTACTTTGTCTATGCCACACCTGTCACACCTTCTTCCAATTGCCCCTATGCCCATTGTACTGACTTTTGCAATGTTTGAAACTTGAGTCCGAACTGAATTTTGCCCTACTTTGCAAACTTAATGATTATTCGGCCAGCCATGACTCCCTGTGAATGAATGATATTCCATTGGCAAAGAGGAGTATTTTGGCTTTTCGGTACATTGAATGAAAAGGATATAGTCAGCATAGGTTTTATGTTTTCTTCCAATATTGCATTGGGCTCCGTACACTGACTTTTGCGATGTTTATAACTTGGCCCCAAGCTTTTGGCCCACTTTGCAAATGGAATGATTACTCGCCCAACCATGACCAAATATCAATGAATGATATATCATTGTAAAGAGGAGACACATGGCGTCATGGTGCATTGAATGAAATCAATGATGTTATCACTGGTTTTGTGCTTTTCCGAGATAACAATCTGTTGCGGTTTTTTTTGATGCACACTGTATTGATTAGATCTTCATTAGATTAGAGCATTCCATATTAAAGCTTCTAAACTATAAAAAGTGTAAATTAAAATAGTTTAGATTCAACCCCTGTCAATCATACTACGTGATCAACTCCTTTATTTTGCACTTAAATCTCCTGTTGTTACGGTTCTCAGTTTTGAATGGTATCCATAGTCTATGGGGATATACCTGAAATCCATCCATTTCAGACATATATTTTTCATATATTTTTGGTATTTCATATTTTGGAAACCTTTTAAAACAAGTTCAGATTACAAGTCCTATACCATAATACTTTGGGACATAAGAGATAGATGTAGGAAACCTATATGTAGATGTAGGAAGGGTTAGTTAAAGTCCTACAAAAATCAATTCTTTCAAAAATATTTTAAAGGGCATTTTTTCTTCGTGACTATTTTGATCAATAGACTTTAATTTCAGGATTACTAGTACTACTACTGAGCTCTTGTATGGATTTTGTCATCATTTTTCATTGCATATCGAAGAGGTTATATAATGTAAAATTATATAAAAACTACTTTTCATTTTGCTTCTCTAAGTACCTACTATCTGCTTATAGTCAATTTTCAGAAAAGCTATAACATAAATCATTCTAAGGTTGAATCACCAAGGATTTTGAAGGTTGAAAAATTCCCCTAAAGTAGTTATCACATTAGCTGTATGGGCTCGCCATTTGCCACCGATTGACTTATTTTGGGCATTGATTTTTGGAAATGTTAACATATAAGTTCTAAAGTTGACACTATATCTGTATTTTAAATATAAAATGGTAGTTAAGATTTATTTAGTTTATGTCCAAATATCAACAAAATTTTGTTTTCAGCTTTTTCACATGCTAGAAATCAAATGAAACCAGGAATACTCTTCCATATAGATTTTGTAAATATTGATATGTATATTAGTCAGCATATGTCAAAATAGCATAATAATTAAAGCATTACTATGTATTCATATGGATCATTGACAGTGTATGGTAAATTTGATTTTAAAATACAAGATCAAGATCACATGATTTTGACCCCTGTGAATGATAGTCAAAATACATGTAACATTTCCACATACTTTCATGTACAGTTCAATAAAAAATATGAACAAGTCATGTACATTTTTACTCAATAAGATTGAAACAACTATGTTTGTTTCTTTTTTTGTTATTGTAATATTTTTATAATTGTCAAACAATGACGTTCATAGTAGCTGCCCCAAAAGCTGAATAACTTTGCTAATTCTGACCCAATTTTGAATCTGTTGTCTCTTGAATGTTGCCTCTATCTTCCACTCATCAAGTAAAGGTCAAAACTATGCACACATTTTGTCATTCGGCCTAAGTTATAATATGTATGTTGCTAACTGGGATATTCTAAACAAAAATAGATTGATGACGTCACAATTTATGCAAATTAGGTAATTTGCATAATTGAATATTGTAATCGTACAGGAAATTTTATAAGGTTTAATTTGATACCAATATCATATCTATAGACCAAATAATGACAAAGCTACAAACACTTTAAACGTCCATGGTAAGATGTCTGAATAAAATTGTCAAATATTAAATGACATTCACAGTAGCTGCCTCGAAAGTTTAATAACTTTGGCAATACTGATCCAATTTTGAATCTGTTTTCACTTTTATGTTGCTTATACATTCTTCTTATAGTTAAAGGACCAAACTTTGCCGAAATTCTGACATACGGCCTCAGTTCTAATAGATATGTTGCTATACTCAAAATTTCTGAATCAAAAATTGATTGATGACGTCACAATTTATGCAAATTATCTAATTTGCATAATTGAATATCATTACTTTATGAGAAAATTATTTAGGTTTAATTTGATACCAATATCATCTCTATAGACCAAATAATGACAAAGTTACAAATGATTTAAGATTCCAAGGTAAGATGTCTATAGATGCGTAACCATGGTAACGGAATGCTACAATACAGAGCAACCAATGAGAGTTTGCAAGGGCATCCGGCAAAAAATTGAGCCTCAAAGTGTTACCTTTCAAAAAAGTATGGATGCCATAAATTAACAGAGACCGCCACGTTGGGTAAATTTTTTGAAACGATAGAGAGGCATGGGTTTCTAACTATAAGTAGTGTCCTATGAAAAAATGGAAAATTGAGTGGTAAACGTGTTAATTTGGGAAGAAATGTCAAAATATAGTTCGAGGAAAATTGCAAAGATGTTTGCAAGATTGATTTCTGAGTTGACGAAATAAGATGATATATAGACACTTTGTATGTGATATTTTGTGTTTCCAGCGTCGTGGCCAATTATTTACTGTGGATTGCAATGACTGATGCAGGTGGTTTACATCTTTCAGTAGGGATTGATTTCAAAGAAATCAAATATAGATATAATGAGGTAGGTATAATTTAAAATCGTATTCAGCCTGTTTTTGTCTTATATCATTCATTGTCATTCCTATTTTCGAAAATTCTCACAATCTCTAAGCTTCAAAAAATACACGGATTTTAACATTGTTGTCTATTTTGCACCCCCCCCCCCCATTTAGGTCTGATTCTAACTTTAAGTACATTATATGTAGGAATACGAAGGAAATCATTTGAAACATCTTAACAGTTCCATATCCCAGTTAACCATTGGGTTAACCATGTCAGTGTTCCCCAAATAATTCTCAAATTTATGTTATTTTCATAAAGGTCTTATTTGGCAGTACCCTTGATAAGCCAAGATGGGAGTTGTGTACTGTGTTCACTGCAGATTATCTAATAAAACTACCTTCATCAAGGTTATACCTGGCAAACAACTTCAACCGTGAATCTAAGAAAGTTGTAAGTTGCCTATTTTCCAAAGTTCGATTATGTTTCGGGCATACCTTTTTGTTGGACAGTATTGCTAAATCAAATGATCATCGATCGGAGTAAATGTGACCCAGGCATGAGGCATTACAGTGGAAAGGCATGTGATCACTTCGACATATAATGCCCTGGTCACATTTGCTACAATCCATCGGCCGGCGCCCGCCCGATTGAGTGTTTTGTTCAATATTGCATTCAATTTTGAACAAAATACTCAATCGGCCGGGAGCCGCAGTGAAAATCGGTGCAAATGTGACCAGGGCATAACGGGTTGTTCGTTATTTCAACTTTAAAATATGAGTTAAATGTATGCAAATTACCAATGAGTTGTTTGTTTACACGGGATTACAAGTATTCCACCTTCAAGCCTGAAAATAGGCCACAGGGGACCATCATTTAACACGTTTGACGTACGGCGTTTTTCAAGACATTGGAGAGGTTAAGCAAATACGGTTTTTCAAAACGTATACGTAAACGCAAAGTACATTGAATCAACATAGGATTGTATCGCTTTAGTCTACTTCAGATACCCGTTCAACTTCAAAGTTGCGTGTTTAGAACGGGAGATTTAGAAATTTCACGTTGCTATCAACGGGAATCATTATACTCATGTCTGTTGAATACTATCCTTGCAATTTTGATTTCGATGCAGAGTATAATTCTTTCTGAAGAAGATGATGTATAATACGCATGATTTAACTCCAATAATCTTACGAAACGAGCTCGTTTAAAATATGTATTAGAAAACCAGCTATTGAACTTCATCAATGGGATACTATGTAATCATTACAAGCTATGGTGTAGTCTAAACAAACACTAGAGCTGAACGGCTATTTATGTGTGAACTCTACATGTATTTGTATAGGGCCGATTGATACGTTTAAGTTGCGTTTTGGATTTTATACGGTAGCTTAACCTCTCCATTGCTACTTCAACCTCTCTAATATTTGGATTGATAAACGGCCGCTGTCGTTTCGAAAATCTCATATAAACAAGCGTCTGGGTTCTTGACGACTCAAATATCCTTTTATGGCTTTAACACTTTGTTGATAAAGTAATATTATATTTCTGCAAATTATTTAAATCAGGCCCTGGATATGGTTCATGAACTAAAACTCTCTTTCGCTGAGATGGTGAAAGAATTGGATTGGATGGACGATGCCACAAAGAAGGTTGCCCTAGACAAGGTGATTAATATTTATTTGAATGGAGTAAAACGCTCCCCGAACTTCGTTAAATGCAGTTTGAGGATTTAAACCTTGAACTCAGTGCATTGTTGATAGATTTGGAACATTTTGAAAAAAGAGACGACAAATTTACGTATATCAAGACATAAAGTGTATGAAATGTTTGAAATACTTAGAGGAACTTAGAAAATTGTTCATCGCAAGAAATATTGAAAGATGAAAAAGAAAATTGAAAATTTGTGAAAATGAAAAAATGACCTAAATTTTGACCTTTGATCTAGATAAAAAAAATTAACCTTATTTCATATCATATACCCTGATTAATTTAATTCGATTTTTTAGTTACTGAGAAAACGTGGGTCGATAAGAATACGAATTTAGACAAAAGCAATTAGACTCTAGATTGACTTACAATATATTTTTAAGAAACTTTTTGCAAGGGTCAGCTTGTCACCTTGACAACCATTCAACACTTACCATTTGACCTTTATAAAAACTTGGCTCGTTATTCCATTATATATTGTGTCTGAAAAAAAGACTCTTGTATACTCATTGCTTTTTAGTTGGAAGCGATGCGAATGATAATAGGATTTGAAGATTTTATATTAGAAGATGCCGAGAGGCTTAATAAGGAATATGAAGAGGTATGTACATCCTGTAAAATATGATACTATCACTCAATATCTCTATACTATCTCTTACTATATCTCAATTATTAGATTACTCAACGAGTAAGTAGGGTCCCCCCATTTGGTGGGCCAGGGAAAAACTCAATTAGTGGGCCTTTTGGGCGTTACGTGGCCTTTTTGGACCTAATCATATAAAAATTTGCCTCGAATTTTAAAAATCTAGGAACAATTTTTGATTAAGTGGCCCAATTTATTTTTTCCACGTTGATGTGATGTGTTAATCGATGTATATTCTTTACATCTTTCTTAATCTTGACGTGTTATTGGAAAACGCAGCAGGAATTAACATTTTTTACTCCACATCCTGTCAGTGACAAATCAGCGAAGATGGGTCATTTCATTGAATTTGAATCATGTGGTAATTCCCTTTTTTGTTGAAATATAAAGTTATTTGTGTTATGAAACCAAAGTGTTCCGTCGATTTGCTTGGAATTGCACATCCACTTAAAATATCTCTTGGAGTTACAAAAGTGTTATTCCTGAAAAACATGTTTTGAGCTTTTTTACTCATAACTAACACCAAGTTTCTGCAAAATATTACAACACTCTACTATACCGTGCATTTGGTGTTCATGAGTAACCCATATGGATTATTAGTAGTGATTATGTTATTTGTTTTTATGTGTCTGTTCCTTATGAATGGTTTATCGGATGACTGTTAGGTGGTAATAAGGTACTTTCAAAAATATACTAAACAATACAATTAGACACACAGAGTACCTTATGCATTTCTAGAGGTTACAACGGACAGAAGGAGAGGGTAGTAAGCCACATGTGTCTAGAATTACTATATAAAAAACAGCAGCAACATACATTTTGTAATGGGAATTTCATTTATCAGTATCAATGACTGCCACTGTTGTCGAATTATTACCATGTCCAATGTGGTGTGTTAAGAATCAAATTATTATTAGATTATTGCAATCACTTTTAGTTCAGTGGCACATAGTTAAACTAGTGCAGCAGTTAACACATACAATACATGTGAACAAGCACAATTCTAAAGCAGAGCTAAAAACATTTACAATATAAGACATAAAAACAAAACTAAAACATTTGCAATACATTTACTTGTTGGTGCTACATATATGTTTTTGACAAAATACTTTGAGCATGTATCAAAAATATAACGTTGTTCTTGACCCAAGATAGCATAGGCAGCATCCCCAAGCACCCATTCTAAACTATTTTGGGGAATGCATGTCTTAAAATAATTATAAATGTGTGGTGGTCTATTCTCAATGCTATTATAAAATATATACCTTTCCTCTTTAAACTTTGGGCAAGTAAAAATCGATGTTCAGTAGTTTCATATTCCATCACTTATACCCCATCTCTCAAGATCAATGGCCAGACCAACGCATCCTGATCTGGCCTTAGGTTTAAGTTTTTGAGCATAGAAGTCAAAATCAGTTTTAAGGTATTTTTCCTTAAGTGTGTTTCTTTTAATATTACTACATACTGCAAGTGACTTTTTCTGGTTTATCGAGTCAAAAATGTATTGCGTAACAGATCATTAGATATTTTCAAATATGACTAGTACCAATCTGTGTCCTCTCTGTATATTGTCGACACTTCTTTGTTCAAAGGTATGAAATGTATTTATTTGCTGTCTTACATATTTTTTGTAGTTGAAAATCAACAGAGGCCAAATGTTTGAAAGCGTTGTCGAAGGCATGTACTATTTGGCGAATAATGGTTTAAAGAAAATTGGTCAATTGGTTACTGACGAAAATAGGTATTTTAAAACATATCGTTCAGGTCGTGTGACTGCATAGAACTCTGTTAAAACCATTTTCATATACTGTATCACAATCAGTGATGTGAAATTGGTATATTTGGTGAAGCCAATCAGACCTATTAATAATGGTCAACATTTTAAACATCTTTTTTAAAAGCAACACACGGAAATGCAACTTTCTACCATATTCAGTGCAACAATATGCATTTATAAGCCTGCTTTCATTCTAGCGGTCTCAGTCAAGCATTACCACCTCATCAAGTGAATGCCGCGTATGACCCTTCGCTAAATCAGATGAGTATGTTTATTTTGTGACAAGTTGCTATAAACATTTTTCAAATAAAACAAACATTTTGTTTTAGAATAAACACATTTTAATTGGAAAACAAAAGTAATTATTTCAAATAAGAAATATTTAACATTATCTAGTCCCCTGTCCCATGTCTCAAGTAATTTTGTCATTCTTTGACAGATGATTTGCAATTTAACATTCTCTAGTTTCTTGCCCGTTGTCTTAGTAACATGTGATGGTAATGTTATCCATTTATGTTTCATTTTTTCCAGTATTCGCATCCGGGATTCTACAAGGGCTTTTTTTCAATAAAGATTTTCCAAAGTAAGACCTTTTGAATTTATACCAAGAGTTGTAATTATTATGGACTGTAGTGATAATGATATGTATTAATTGTGATGGTGATGCTATCCCAGGATATGTTAAAATACGTTTAAATGGCGACAATTTTTCAAAATTGCCTTCTTCAGGTTGTCTGCCATTCTGTCTACAGTATACACTCCCCGCCTTGTATCTAAAAAGTTAAAGATATTCCAACATATACCCTCAGTCATTATAATTTATCATTTTGCTGATGGACTCAGCATTTCGGGTTTATTCCCGGGGAATCCATTCCGGCCTCAAAACCACGATTCTCTGCAAACATATCTATCTCACGAATTTCAACAGCAAGTTTATGAATATCTTGTATCATGCTACCCTTGTTTACAATATTCACTACACCAGTCTTGTCCGAGAATGAACAAACAATTTGAACCTTTTAATTTAGTATCTAGACAAAGTAATCAACACCCCTTTAACTTTTTGTTTATAGAGCTTTTTGATTTCTAAGTTTCTGACCATTTTGATAACATACGTACGTAATTCTGTATATTCCACTGCAACTTCTCCACAAGTCTTACTCGATGCATCCGAATAAACAACTCTGGAGTGTTCAGGACACGTTTTAAAAACCTTCCCATTCAATCTCTCAAGATTATTTTCCCCAAAACCCAATTCTTGCTTGGCTTGATCAGGTCTCTTGATTAGATATTCCAGTATAATCAACTATTATTTGCCACGCCCTTGTTTTTGTGACTACATGTATATCACCTGTACCCTGGCAGATTTTACTTTTCTAAGTATAGAAGCCACAACCCTTGGAGTGATTACATAACCTGTACTGTACGAAACTTTTTACAGTTTCACTTCCGGGATATAATTAATTTCCTTTTCAAATCTTGACCAAACCTTAACCAAACCAAATCAAGTTTTGAGTGAACTTCAAAATAGGAACAAATCCAGATTGAATCAGATCGGGCCTTAGTGTTCAGAATTTTCTCAGACATTAAAGTCCACTATTTCCCGTCCAGATTGCATCATCCAAGAATATTAAAATCTGAATCCAAAAGCCCTCCGATGTTTGACCAAATATCTGACTTTATACGGTAATAGGATTGACAACCTTGGAAACTTCAACTGCTTAATATATACAACCCTGTTCAAACAACCATTCTTTATTTTCCTCTACGAATTCAGTCGTTTGAGCATTATGTCCCTCCTGTGGGGAAAACAGGAAATTTCCTGCACATAATTATCAATTCTAGGAAGCTTTACTTCCCAAAAATAAGCATTATAACAATTCAATTTACTTACAAGGTACAATCAAATGCTATAAAAAGTAACACAGCTTATTGTCAAATGGAAATAAAGCTAGGGGAAGTAACAAATATGCAAAACAGTGTGAAGTACCTGTATTGAATAATTTTCAAACTTATTCGCTCAATCGTTAGAAAATATCATTTATTGTGATGGTGATGCTATCCCAGGATATATAGTAAAATACGTTAAAATGGCGGCCATTAAGTTCTAGGACACTATTTCGAGGAGTCAATTTTTTGCAGATTTATATGCCTATGTTAGGTGTTTAGCACTGATCTTTCTCGATAAGCTTTTAAGGGATTTTGTAAACTTGTCACGTTTCTTTCTTTCCCGAACGAAATGTGGCTCATTTTGGTCAAAAATGAATCAAAGCTATTTGTGTTCATTGCCTTTTGGGATTTGGTCACCCCAAGTGTCATAAATTGAGTTTGGAACTCTGATTTTTTCTGATCAAAAAAGGTTAATTCTGCACTTTTATATGGCTGTGCAAAATCTATGAGTTTAAAATGTCTTAATAGATTATATCATAAAGCATTTGTTCTGGGGTCATCCATGGATCTTCCAATCATTAAGACATGCACTTATATTCTAAATTGGCCAACACTTGAAATTCGTAGAAAACTGCATTGGATGTTCCAAGTTATAAGGAAAAGGCCCTTCATATCGCCTATTGAAGCATGCGTGCGCAGTTCTCGATCAAAAACAGATCATGCATTTTTGTTTGAATAAATTGAATTCTCCTGGCCATCTTTAAAAGCTCCATATAAAGTTTAAACGTATATTGTAGTCTTAAAATTTTAGTTGTCATAGAATATGTAGAAACCAATGGTACGGTTATATTTAAAACATAACATATTCTTCTTTTCAACCTAGTTAGATATCCAACGTTGATTAAGTTTGAAAGTTTAACGTCTTTAGAAAAGATTGGCATCGAAGAAAATCGAATTGAATTGAACGATGAGATCATTTAGGGTGCAAATTTCTTTTAATATCACATTTTAAGTGGCACATTACACTGTACATATGACTTTTTATTATTGAAATAGTGTGTCCTTCGTTCAATCGTCGCAATAGTGTTAAAAAATGATGTGTTTGCACTGTTTAATAGAATATTTTATTGTTCAAAATCTCAAAATATGGCGGGAAATTTGAATATTTGAGATAATAAAAAGCTGATAACTTTTTTCCCCATTTTTTCCAAAATCTGTAAAACTTGAGGGATATAAATCTTCAAGTATTTGACTCAAAATAGTGTCTTAGAGCCTATAGCACGTTGTGGAGTTCTTCAATGGTGATATTTCACTGTATATCAAATGTAAATGATGCAAATTAATTACAGAGCTCTTAATTTTGGTGCTATCGGTGTCGTCATTGGACATGAGATGACACATGGATTCGATGACGAAGGTACGACATAGTGTTGACTTGGTATCTCGGATTTTGTTTTATTTCGTTATTGTCAATACAATTTATAGCAATATCTAACATTTACATGAGTAAGTATCTAAATTAGGAGCTACATGTAGCAATCGTAGTATGTTTTACATACCGTTGCCAGCAGATTTTCTAAAAAATAATTTTCAATTCACGTTTGACAACAGCTGAACAGCAAACAGCATTTTGTTTTATTTAACAGCACTTCTTAATCTCACCAGTGTATATCTTTTACTTAAATGTCTATAAAATATATCCGAAATCAGAACACTCTGCCTTACCAGGAATTATAAGTTCCCTTATCCCTGCATTCTCTGACCAGTACGTATCTCGATATTCTTTCACTTCATCGATCTGTTATATTTTCATCAGGTAGATTGTATGACAAAGACGGAAACTTATTCCAGTGGTGGTCAGAAAATGTAATTAAAGATTTCAAAAAACGTGCTCAGTGTTTCATAAACCAGTATGGAAATTTCACAATACCAGAAATAAATATGAACGTAAGTAATTCAATACTGTTACGCATTGTTTATCATTGAATGTTTACATCTATGTACAGGGTGAGCCAAAAAGGTAACCCAAAGAAATGTAGGTCAATAACTCAGTCATTCAGCATGGGTTTAAATCATATTAGTCACAATTAAATCTTGTTCAATATTCTTTCATTCTACAAAGTGTCATTGGTCTATTCCCTAATAGTCACGATTTAATGGCCATTTACAAAACATGCTCAAAATGCCGAAATGTGCCTCATTGACTGGACATAAATCCCACCAGATTTTTATCTTTGGGCCTATTTTCTACACTAAAAGTCCTTGAAACATTGAAACCAGGGATATGAAGGAAAATGAGACCCATATAACACGAGATGGTTATGCTCGTGTTGTGAACTACGCCCAATACAAGACATGACGCCCATATTTATAAGGCATGTTTCGTAAAATGGCCATAAAATTGTGACCACAAGGGAAACTTGGAAGAATGGCAATACATGAGACAAGGCCTAATTGTGCCAAATATGACACTAAACCCATTTGTTTTGGTGACCTTTTTTGGCTCACCCTGTAAACATATATATTATCCCATCGAACGAAGGGATAGAGGGAACGCCTCCCTTCGTACGTCCATCCGCTAGTTTTGGTCGAAACCCGATTTTCAAAATGGCCACTCGTTTAAAAAATGGCTGTGCCGATTTCACAGTAATTAATGTAGAATATATAAAAATGTAATAGCAAATGTTTTAAATGTAAAAAAGTTATTAAGGAAGTCAATACTACTAGTTTAGATATTTAAGAAACACATGCCAGCCATCTTGAAAAAAAGTAGTAAAGCAATTTTGTTCATATTTGATATGTGAATGTTCAAGAGAATGGCAAACTGATTTTGACAGTTTGGCTAGAAAGTCGACATTCTAAAATGGCCACCATTTTACTTGTGTTATTTTACGTGATTTTTTACTGGCCTATGACTCAAAATGTAATACCTAATAATACCTATATAAGCAGGACACACTGTCTGCTAGTATGTATGTCTGGCGATTTTGTTGAAATTTACCCTTTATTGTGACAATTTGGCAAGTGAGCGACTATTTTGAAAATGGTGGCCATTTTTATGTGTGTTTTATGCGGTTTTTCCTATAACTGAAAAAGTAGTAAAATGATTTTGTAAAAATTACAGCCATGGCTGTTCGATGGGATTTGTTACGCTTTGGCGTCGCTGTTATCTAATTTCCCTTTATATAATGAGAGTGTTGATATAGACGGCAGTGAATCACTTTGACGCCTCTAATCTAAAACGTACTAGCGGGGTCAGATGTCCAGATATAACCCCTTTTTTGTTCGGCTTTTTCAGGAAAGCAACAAACTTGGCACATTTGTAGAAACATATGATTTGAGTGGAAAATGATTTCAGGGCAAGTGGTTGGGGGTGGTCTTCATGGAGTTTTTTACCTCTGACCCCCACCCCTATCAGGTGGGGAGGGGTAAATTATAAAAAATAAATAAAAATGGTTTTAAAGTATTTTTGTTTAAATGACTTCATTTGGTGATTGCTTTGAGCCTTGAAATGATGTAAAACTCATTTTAGAAGTGGTAATTAGTGAGGAAAATACATTTTAACCCAATTATCCAGGAAAAATTCATTATCTTAAAGGGCCAAATATGGGACGTCCATTACTGTATTTCAAGAATGTGATGACTAATAGTCTTAAAAAAATTCACAGTAATAGAAGTATAAGTGTTTATTGCAGATACAAAATATTGTTTTGGTAGCTGAAGTATTCTCAGAGAAAAAAATTATCGAAATTTCAATTTTTTGGTGCATTTGGCTCAGGGGTAACCTTATCTTACCTCAATAATTTTTAAGATAGCCAATGTATGCATCTCATATGAGCTCAGAATGGTGCTTCTAGTCTTGTTTTGTCATATTATTGCTAATTAGATGTACAAAAAAGATTGGAATTAAAAAAAATTCAAATTTTCATTTTCGATTCTGAATGGGCAGGGGTAACTATATTGTACCTTAATAATTTTCAAAATATGTAATATATCCATCTCAAATGAGCTCAAAATGGTGCATACTAATATTAGACATACTATTGCTAATTAGAAGTAAAAAAAAGATTGAAATTTTTTTTAAATTTAATTTTCATTTTCGCTTCTGAATGGCCAGGGGTAACCATATTGTACCTTAATCATTTTTAAAATATGTAGTATATCCATCTCAAATGAGCTCAATATGGTGCATCTAGTCTTTCTTTATCATATTAACCCTAATAAGATGTAGAAAAATGATTGATAATTCTTAAAACTCTAAATTTTCATTTAAGCTTCAGACGGTCCAGGGGTAACCATATTTTAGCATAATAATTTTCAAGATATGTAATATATGCATCTCAAATGAGCTCAAAATGGTGCATATAGTCTTGTTTTATCATACCCCAAATAAGATGTAGAAAATTACTGGACATTTCTTAAAAATCTGAATTTTCTATTTGACCATATTTTTAACATAATAATTTGCAATGTATTACATATGCATCTAAAATGAGCTCAAAGTGGTTCATATACCAGAAGTCTTGTTATCATATTTCCTCTAATAATATATAAAAACATAATTTGACATTTCTAAACATCTAAAAATCTAAATTTTATATTTGATGTTTTGACAGCCCAGGGGTAACCATACTTAAGATAATAATTTTCAATGTATGTTACATATATGCATCTCAAATGAGCTTGAAATGGTGTATATAATCTTGTTTTGTCATATCATTTCTAAGGAGGTGGAAAAAATGATCAGCTTTTGACTGGTTATAGGTGGCCTCATTTTACCATAATAATTTTCAAGATATGTCACATTTGCAACTCAAATAAGCTCAAAATGGCATTTTGTCATATTCATATGTTCATATATTCATACTGAGATATAAAATGATAAATCAATGAAGTATTATATAAAGATGTAAGGTTTAAGAACACTTGCATCACCTCTGGGTACACCTTCCATTCCTCCAAATCAGATGATTTAGAGTAGTAGTTAAATGCAGATGTGACATCGCATAGAATGATTGAATGAAAAATGGGGAGGACTAAACTTTGGTCATGGCCAAGTGATCTTGCAATATCATGCACAGATAGTTATTGAATGGATTTTCTTTTACCAAATGCAATCCAAGATGTAGTGGGAACAAGAGGGAGCTGTCCTCCTTCCAGGCATCAACACTGAAACCCTCAAGAACATGGCAAGATGATAGTGACCAAGTAATGCAATGTCTTAGGTGCCATCAACGATATTTCTCCATACGAGACCCTGCTTCAATCATTGCCTAACAGTTGATTTTGATGTGGTTTATCCTGGTGGCAACTTGTGCTGAAAAACTGAAAATGTCAATTTGGATTGCATAACAATATTACAAGACCACTTGGCCATGACCAAAGTTTAGCCCTCCCAATTTTTCATGCAATCACTGGATTTGATATGTCACCTTTGCATTCTACTACTTCTCTAAATCATCTGATTTGAAGGAATGGAAGATGTATACCCAGAGCTATTGCAGTTGTTTTTAAACTTTGAATCTTTTTTAGAAACATTGCAGTTATTTGTTATTCTGATGCATTCTAATGTGAATGAATGTGGTTGGACTACTCCCACTGCTGATACTGAGGCCACAACATATGAAAATGTAGGTCCTATGAGGCGGATATCTGTATAATAACAAAAGATGTTGCATCCGAGGCATGCAAAAAGCTTGTTTGATGTTTAAGGAGTGTTGAGGGAACATATGCAAATGTTTGAAATCATATCTCATTTGCTCTGGGCTATGTAGCCGTAGGGGAGACTGTCAGAATCTATAAATCCTGACCTGTTTTTATTATGTTTTATGGATTTGGATTATATTTTCAAATGATTATACACAGAATCTTAACAATGCTACTACTCAGTATAAACTGGACTGTCAAACATTTTCAAATCTTAGAAAAGTGCTCGATAAAACTATAGTTCAGGACTACAGTATTGAGCTACTGGTACTAAAAAGGAATAAATGGATGTTGTGATTCTTTATATAAATAAATAAATGGATGTTGAGATTTTTTATAATTTTTTTAATCATTATTTCTTATTTCAGAAGGAATAAATGGCAAAACTTGACTATAATCAACATTTTGAGCTTGCATCAAAAGCTAAGGCCGTAAGAATTAGTTTCTTTGTTTTGCGTCCCCTTGCTTGCATGATTTTGAGTAAATCAGAAAAAAACAAACACATCCAAATAGCAACCAAAAGGGTCTGAAAGTAACATCGCATTTCATTCAATCAGAATCAGACAATTACTTGGGCATACAATGTGTATTTTTTTTTTACCCTTGAATAATACCTATATTTAAATATATTGATCTGTGTTTGTATCACTGCAAATTGGTATGTCATTCCTTTTAATGCCCATAAAATGTATACATTTCTCAGCAAACAAGTTTGTGTTTTTTTTGAGTTAGTGTTTGTTTTCCTTGTACCCTTGCATGATTCGGATTTTGCCAGGACGCAAAACAGAGAATCTAATTCTTATGGCCTAATATGAAAACATCATTTTTTCAAGTTTCCAAACATTTTTTACATTCCCTAGAAATAATATATGACAAAAGAAGATTAAAAAACCCTTTAAAGCTCATTTGAGATGCACACGTCTTGTACTTTGAAAATTATTAAGGTAAAATATGGCTACCCATAGGCCGCTATAAGCTAAAATGAAAATTTAGATTTTTAAGAAATGTAAAATCATTTTTCTACATCTAATCAAGGGTAATCTGATAAAACAAAGCTATATGCACCATTTTGAGCTAATTTGAGATGCATATATTACATATCTTGAAAATATTAAGGTAAAATATGGTTACCCCTGGCCTTTTAGAAGCGAAAATGAAAATTTGGATTTTTGTAAAATTTCCAATAATATTTTTACATCTTATAAGGAATAATATGACAAAACAATACTCTATACATCATTTTGACCTCACATGAGATGCATACATTGCATATTTTAAAAATTATTGAGGTAAAATAAGGTTACCCCTGAGCTGCATGCACTCAAAAATTGAAATTTCGAGAATTTTTTTCTCAAAAAATACATGAGCCACCCATGGTATATTTTCTATCTGTGATAAACACTTAAACCTCTAGTACTATGAATTTTTCCAGGACTATCAGACATCACATTCTTGAAATACAGTACTGGATGTTCCGTATTTGGCCCTTTAAACAACGAATTATTCTTAGATAATTGGGTTAAAATGAGTTTTTCTTGCTACAGACAACTTCTTAATTGGGTTTTACACAATTTCAAGGCTCAAAGCAATCACCAAATGAAGTCATTTAAAGAAAAATACTTTAAAACCATTTTAATTTAATTTTAACAATATACCCCTCCCAGTCTGGTAGGGGCGGGGGGTCAGAGGCTAAAAAATCCATGAAGACCACCCCAAATCACTTGCCCTGAAATCATTTTTTACTCAGATCATATGATTCTACAACTGTGCCAAGTTTGTTGCTTTCCTGAAAAAGCCGAACAAAAAAAGGACATCTGACCCCGCTATACATGGCATGTCTAGATACAAGAAATTATGATAACTGTATTGTAACTGTCTATGCTTGGTACTGATGGAAGTACCGTGTAGTTGCCATTGTAGTGGCCAATGCATAATACACTGGCAGTAAGGTCTGTTTACGTACCATCATATTCAGATCTACGTGTTTTTCTCATTCAAAAGTCTGAAAATGAAACAATATTTTATTTATCAGACCAAAGGATTGTTATTGAATAGGTACATATGCTTTATATTCATCTATAGTTGAATGGCATCAACACACAAGGAGAGAATATAGCTGACAATGGTGGTTTAAAACAAGCATTATCGGTATGTTAGTTTTCCAAATTTAAAGAACTATGGAACATTTGGTGACAATTGACTAACCTTAGTGTATTCGCGAATGCAACTAACGCCAACTGTCGACTACCGGATAAACCTACTATTCTTGATGACCAACTGATTTAAATATGAATGGAATAGTGGCAGGTTCTATTCATATTTATTGAGTTACCTGTATAGTAGTAGGTTAATCCGGTAGCCGACAGGCGTTAGTTGCATTCGCGAATACAAGCTTATTGACGATGATTAACACAAAGTACCAAGGTGGAAAGGTGCTTTTTACTAGTGAAAATATGCAATCCATGTCTCATAAATATATTTGCAAAAATATTAGTCGGTATCTGTATCTCTTTATATTTTTGTCAATATGAATTATTGATTATATTTGATTAAGGAATATTTTTGAACATTTTTACATCTGTTTTTTGTCTTTAGAAAACAATCCGAGAATATTTTATTTCCATAATTCAATTTCCTTCAAAGGAACGTTGCAATAAAACTACAGTATCTTCAACAAATGATGAAAAGAGATGCAGAAATAGAAATGTTATTTGATACGTTCATACCTTTATGTTACGGATAAACCATGAGTAGTGGGTATCAAGCGGAATAATACCCGAGGCCGCTAGGCCATTGTTTTTTCTAATACCTCTCGTTGTTTATCCATAATCGATTTTTCAGTATAAGGACGATAATTTATATTTTCATAATCAGTTCTACTAAAGCCTGCGTCGTGTGTGCTGATACCAGCGACATTTGATGTGCTCTATTTTTAAGTCATCACAACTAGTTATCATAATCATGCGATGTTTACTGAAAACATTGCTTATTATTTCTCAAAAACAAAGTTTTATTTTGTTTGTGGTGATACAATCCCGGATTAAGCACATACGGAGCATCGATCGCGTTGATATTTTTCATACGCCATAAAAAATATGTTTGACATCAGCTCTTAAAAGGGCGATGTTAGATTTGTGTTACCCATGCAATGAAATACTTGTCATCAGCTTGACGGGCGGGGAGGGGGGGGCGGCGTCTCACTTTCTTGTGATCACGATTCCAGGAAAACCACTTAACGGATTTACTTCAAATTTTCACACATGTTTCATAGTAAGAAGTTCTATAGCTGATTAACTTTTTGGCAGCCATCTTGCCTTCTGGCGACCAATTTGGAAGTTTTTTAGATAAATCCTGTCATTGCGTTTCCAGGAAAACCACTCAACGGATTTTCTTCAAATTTTCACACATTGTTTCAGAGTAAGAGATTCTATAGCTGATTAACTTTTCGGCAGCCATCTTGCATTATGGCAGCCATCTGGGAAGTTTTTAGATAAATCTTGTCATCTCGATTCCAGGAAAACCACTAAATTTTCGGCAGCCATCTTGCTTTCTTGGTCATCAAGCCCACACTGCTATGTTTTAGGTACGATATTGTTCACCCTGTGCCTTGTTCTATCTACATACCATTTGTCTAATATTTTGCATCCTCCTGGTTAAATTAACATTGCTGATGCATCATTTGTTAAGATTTCGCCAGAAAGTGCCCTTAAGGGTTACCTCTTAAATAACAAACAATGAAAACATCAGACAAAATATTTGTGGTGGATTTAGTTTGGCTGTCCAATACTTTGTAACCTCCGAACATGATCCCCACCATGATCCCCACCATCATGATGCAGCACATGACACAGTACCAGCACCATCAACAGAGGTCAATCCAACATCTACCTCTTGCTGTAGTCCAACATCCCCTGTGCTGAAACTTGTTTCAACTGCCATCAACAACACTCCAGTAGCTCCATCAAACAGTGAACCTCTTGACTCACCCACAATGAAGACATCCATTAATGTTAGCCTGAAACGGAAGGACGTATCACCACTTATGGACCCAAATGCCAGTAAAAGTGTGAGAGTTGTATCTCCAGTTAGTGACAAACCAGTGAACCATGTATCTGAAACTCAGAAACACAAAGTTGTCAATGCTGATCCAGATGATAAAGATTAATTTAATAAACACTTACCCCGATACGTAATGGTAAACATTTTTACAGGAAACGTCCAAGGACTACGGAAAAAAGTAACACGCCACACAATGTTCAGATATCTTAAAAGGGAAAAGATTGATATTGCATGTTTGCAAGAATCTTTTGTGATGGAAAATGATATTGTCAATTGGAGCAAGGAATGGGGAGGGCAGTTGTTTGCCAACCCAGGAACAAATCACTCTAAAGGAGAAATTATTTTGATTAACAAGACTTGTGAAGCAGAAAATGTAAAGTTATTGGTCAAGGAAGACAGAATATTGATTATTGAATTAGATTTTGAAGATGAACATTTCATTATATGTAATGCCTTTACCCCAAATAAAGCCAGTGAAAAAATCAACTTTTATAAAAAAAGTTCAAAATTTGATCAAAAGATATAACACACATGATGTCAATTTTTTAATTTCTGGTGACTTTAATTGTATTTTAAACCAAAACCTTGATAATATATCAGGGGCTTTACATTCTCAAAGAGAAATTCAATCATTTAATGCATGCATAGATAAAAATGATCTTATAGATATATGGAGAATTCATAATCCAAATGACAAATGTTATACTTGGAAGCATAAGACGCAGAATATTATGCGTCGAATTGATTATATGTTTTGTAATGATGTTCTGTTTGATAAAATAGTATGTACTGGAATAGAAAATTTTCCTACCTCTGACCATAGAGGAACCATCATTAATGTGAAAATAAATAATTTTGAAAAAGGTCCAGGATACTGGAAGTTTAATAATAGCCTTTTAGAAAACCATGAGTATGTTAAGATTATTAACGATACTATTGAAAATTTGTCAAAAAATGAAGACAAATTGGATAAACAAATCCTTTGGGATTACTGTAAAGTAAAGATTAAGGATATATCATGCATTTTTAGTAAACAACTGGCCAAAAGTAAAAGAGACCAAATTAAAGATATGAAAAATAAGCTAGAAAAAGCATCTAGCGAATTGATACTAAATCCTGGTAATAAAGATATAAACCAGTTGGTAAATAAATTCAAATTACAGTATGAAATGTTATGTGCAGGTGAATCAAAAGGTGCTCTTGTTCGGTCAAAAGTCAAATGGCATGAACAAGGTGAAAAGAGCACAAAATATTTTCTTCAGTTAGAAAAAGCAAGGGCCACTAATAAATGTATTACTAAATTTGGCTGACAATACAACTATTACAAATCAAGAGCGAATAGCTGATGAAATATTGTCATTTTATACGAATTTGTACTCAAAGAAAATTGTATTCAGAAAGGCAAGTTTGGATGATTTTTTGAATAATGTAGATGTACCAAAATTGAGCCAAACGGATAGAGAATCTTGTGAAGGTCTAATTACTGTAGATCAATGTAAACATGCATTAAAATATATGAAAAATAACTCTAGTCCAGAGGCCTCATTATCATCTGGTCGCAAATAGTTGCGTTGCGTCTGCGATGCGATTGCGATCGCAATTCGTAACGCATGCGATGCGTGATATTATCAATTGAGCGCAATCGCAGACGCAAAGCAATCGCAAAACAATTAAAACGTAAGTTGCGATCGCAAGTCTAGTGTATTTTGGCGCGAAATTTAAAAGGACACTGGCGCTAGTTTTTGATATTGATTGATTGAAATTGATAGAAATCCAATAATTGATATGATTTGATTGGTTACGCATGCATTACACTTGTGCAAGACATAAGTGCGCCAAAATGCAAATCGATTTACATTGAGACGGTAGTCGAAGAAACATCTCGAGGGCAAGGAATTGGACAAATGATGAACAAGAATTATTAGTATCTCTCATTGAGAAGGATGCAAATATTCTTTTGGCACCACTTAGCTGTCAAATAACAATACAGTCACAGGATAGTTGCTGGGCAAGGGTAGCTGAAAAAATAAGTTCACTTGGTGTGAAATGAGGACTAGAAAAAACGTTATGTAAGTCACACATCACTGAAAATAAATAACTGTTAAAACGGGAAGTTGTCATGCTACTGAAACTAACTGAAATAAAATGAACTTTTTGTCGTTGTTGTATGTGTTCTACAATGTTTCTATCTAAAATCCGTCAACATAATTTTTCAACAGACAATGAAACGATAACAGCTTATGAGTTTTCTATTTGGTGGTGTATATTTTACATTTTATACACATGCAAGAAAATTGCAAGTTGTGTGGGTTCCATATCGATATATGTTTAAATATGTCTCCAGTGTATTGCATTTATTTTCCTTTGGAACAAAATATGAAACACGTCTTTTGCATTGTGATCAAAGCAAATCATGTTTGAATCAGGGTCGGGATGAAAATGTGAAAATCTACAACATCTTGGTGTTCTTGTACTTTTGCAGACGATGTAGGTGAGGTACATATACACTAGGAATACTCAGAACATTAGTGTAGTAGTGGCAAGATTAATTCACCAAACAAGCTTTATTAGCTAGATAAATATTCAATTGGCGAAAATCCTATGCTCCAAAGAGCACGAAATATTGCAGGCACCAATCTAAGACGTATACAGTATGTGATGCGTTCGCAATATTTAGAAACAAACGTGATTTTTAAGGATTTACAGGCTCAATTAAATGTATATTTTAATCATATTAAATAAATAAAATTGAACAATTTCTTCGATACTATTGATTAATTCTTAACAGGCAGTGAAATGACCGATATAAAACACCACAAAATATCCATAAACATAGATAAAATAACGCTCAAAGATGAACTAGATTTGCGATTTGATTTGCGACAGGGTAAACGTCGTCGCAACTTTTTGTTTAGTTGCGATCAGAAAATCGATAACTTTGCGTCAGACTTGCGATGCGATGGAATGATAATAACATTTTTGGGAAATAGTTGCGTTGCGATGTCTTGCGATGCGATTCGCATGCGATTTTGCGTTGCGACCAGATGATAATGAGGCCTCATGGCTAGATGGACTATCAGTAGGTTTCTATAAAGTATTTTTTACAAGAATTAGTACATTATTTCTAGAGTCTTTTAATGCATCATTTATATCTGGTGAATTATCAAATTCTAAAAAGAAAGGTGTTATGGTTTTATTACCTAAAAAGGGATTGGCACGGTCTTATTTAAAACATTGGAGACCCTTAACCCTTACAAATGTTGATTATCGTATTTTGGCTAAGGTTTTGGCAAATAGATTGAAAAAAGTCATATCAAAAATTGTACATGAAAATCAAAGTGGTTACATTAAGAAAAGAAGTGCAGCTACTATTTTAAGGGCGATAGATGATATAATTTGTTATATTGACACAAATAATTTACAAGGTATTATGTTAGCAATAGATTATGAGAAAGCCTATGATTCTATTTCTAAAGAATTTATGTTAGAATCCTTAAAAAACTTCGGATTCGGTCCTTCATTTACAAAATGGGTGAATATTTTAAATACCAATGGCACTAATCATATTTTAAACAATGGTTGGATATTAGGTAATGTAAAACTAGATCGGGGGATTAGACAAGGGTGTCCATTATCACCTTTACTATTTATTTTAGCCACTGAGCTTCTTTCATGTAAAATTAGTCAGTCAGAAAAAATCAAAGGTATAAAAACACCTGGCCAGGATAAGGAATTTAAGCTTTTTCAATTTGCAGATGACACATCAATGTTTTTAAATGATGATGTATCATTTAATCATACCCTGAAGGTGTTTAATGAATTTTACAGTATTAGTAGTCTTAAGGTAAATCCACAGAAAACTGAGGCAATGTGGCTTGGGAGATTCAAAAATAGACTAGATGGATTGGGTCATGTAAAATGGAAATTAAAGCCTGATAATAATATTAAAATACTTGGAATTACTTTTAGCAAAATATAAAGGTGGTTAACAATCCAGTAAATTTTGAGCCAAAATTTTCGAAATGTGAAAATATTATGAAGTCATGGGTATCAAGGAATTTAACCATAATTGGGAAGATTGTACTGGCAAAATCTTTATTGTTATCCCAATTTTCTTATCTTTTACAAGCATTTATACTTCCTGAAAATCTACTCAACAGAATTAATACATTGCTTTTTAAATTTATTTGGGCAAAGGGCAGATTCAAAGAGGAAGATCTAAAAAAGATTCCTGATAGAGTAAAACGGGACATCTTAGTTCAAAATTATAATAACGGTGGGTTAAAGATGATCAATGTTAAGGATATGCGAGTAGCTTTTGCTTTAAGATGGGTTTCAAAGTTAGTAGAAGGTGGAGTAGGTCATTGGCGAATTATACCATGTTACATGTACAACATACTAGGAAGAGATTTTAGTGTTTTTAATAGTAATGTACCTTATGATAAAATCAAAGGAATCAATAACTGTAATGAATTTTATAAGAATGTTTTAGAATATTGGCTGAAATACAGCAATTCTTGTGATTCATCTATTATATGGAACAACCAGTGCATAACTAGATTTAGAGAACCACTCCTTTTTGTTAACTGGATTAAGAAAGGTATAATTTATGTGACAGATGTTGTTAGAAACAGTAAACTGGCTACATATGATGAATTGTGTCAAAAGATTCATAGAAATGGCCAAAGTTTTTTAGAATACCAGGCTCTCAGAAATTCATTGTCTGATGAAATGATGCAAACGTATGGAAATGTGTTGCCAAATAAATCTTTAAAGTTTCGAGACATAGACTGCAAGATATTAAAAACCCAAACAATCAGAGAAAAACTTACCTTGGATAGAAAAATACCATTATATCATAACAATATCTTAATTGAAACAAATGTATGGAAATGTTTATATTCATGTACCAAAGATACGTCTTTGCTAACATTACAATGGAAGATATTTCACAATATTTATCCAAATGGTGTATTTTTAAAAAAATGTAGATTACAACAAAATGACTTTTGTAAATTTTGCCAACCAGATGTCCAAGACACTTTAGACCATTATTTTATAGACTGTAACTTTATTAAAAATATTTGGCGAAATAGCTTACTCAGTAATGATGAAAAATTGGGTTTGTCTACTGTGCCAAAAGACAAAATGCTAGAGGCATTAATTATTAAAAAAACCATTCACAGATATAAATGTAATGAAAATTAAAAGCAATTTTTGATTTAGAGAAAGAGGCCTATTTTGTTTTGTAAATATGTATATAATTGTTTGTGATTAATAAACTGTTTTAAAGAAAAAAAAAAAACCTCCGAACATGAAAATTTCATCAATGCACATTAATGATTTCAAACAATCATTTTCAGAATTGGGACTAATCCAATGTAGTATTTAAATGATTGTTATATACATTTTCAATCATATTTGGTAGTAAATTGAAGATGTTGAGCATGTGTTGGAGGATACAAAACATATGGACTTTATAAAAAGTGTTATCTTTAACGAGTATGACATATTAAACAATCAGTTTTGAAAGCTGGTTGGAAACATATTTTATATATCAACCAGTTAGAAATTATATTGGCGGACTTAATGTATAATATATGTTGTCCGAGTTTCCATAGCAACATTTGAGTTTTGTCTAAAACACCATTTAAGGTGTTTTCAAGAAATAATAAGCAATATTTTCAATATAGATCGCATAGTTATGCTAAACAGTTGTGTTGACATCACGATAGCACACATATAATGTCATTGATATCAATACATATGGCGCAGGATGGGGAAGAATAGCAGAATTCACGGAATTAAAAAAGTAAAATTGCCCATAAATTATATCAGCTAATGAAATAATGAAAAAGCATTGAATGTTATTTTAGGCATATAGGAATTGGGCAAAACGACAAGATGGAAGGGAAAATGGACTTCCTGGATTGGCCTTGAGTAACGAGCAACTTTTCTTCCTCAGCTTTGCTCAGGTAATTTCGTCTCAAGACTATTAGCACAAAACCTCTCAAGTACTGTGTGACATATGTACTCCTATAATTTCTCAATTTATCTAAGGACCAGAATGTTTTTAAATGCAAAATGAATAGAGAATGGAGCTTTTCAAAAGTCTACGAATGTGATCATAAGGAAACAGAGAAAATACAACTGTCTACTACAGTATTATCGGGAGTATTATATGAGTATTTTTCAGATAATATACTTGATTTGTACTATCAATTCCAATAGATATGGTGTGGAAAAGAAAGACCAGAGCAACTGATAAAAAGAGTCAGAACTTTACGACATCCAAATGGAAGGTTTAGGTAGAGCTATTGCAAATATTCATTGTGTCTGTAATTAGTGCATCATAACTTTAGGCACCGTTTCATCGAGTCTTTTGATTAGCATCTTTTTACGTGTCGCAAAATATTTTTACAGTATCACATGAAATTGAATTTTTCGCAAGGAATTTTTTTAATGACTGGACTGCAATCGCCTTCCCCTTGACATATATCCTCTTGGTGTCAAGAGGATAGGTCCATGATGTAATCAATTTAATTGAATCTGATAAAAGCCTAGGTAGCTTTGTCTTGGTTCAATGCATTGATCTAATATAATTAATATGGTAGTTTTTTTGCTTGATGTGTCCCATTCGTGCAACAGTCTCCAGTTTCAATTCAATTGTTTTGTGAAATTATTCCTGTTTCTATATTGCTCAGAGAAACATCTCCGTGTCTGATTTATCACCATATTTCTCATTAGGGCATTTGGAACTCTACAAAATTGTCCGGATTTTTCGGAGGCCTTCAACTGTAAGAAAGGAGACAAGATGAACCCTGAGAACAAATGCAAACTATGGTAGAGCCAATAGTAGATCCTGGAATGGTAGGATGACTGAGAGTGCATACTAGGATTATGGAATACATGCAATAGAATGATGGAGAGCATACGTTTAAAATATAGTAGTGTAGATTCCAGTGTTATTATTGTTATCAATTATAATTTATCAAATTCTAAAAATATAAATCGAATCTTGAAATACTTCTTCTGTATTATGTTTGCTCTTGGAGTATTAAACCAGAGAACCAATGATGTCCTTATATTAATTATTTGTCACTAGTCCGGTAACCAGAAACAAGACTATTTATTCTTGGCCTTGAGATGAGGAAAGACCTATTATATTATTAGTGACATTATCCAAAAGGATTTTAAATTAGATGAAATAATGCTGATATGAGATTGTCTCAAAATTGTTGCATTCTAATTTTTAGCTCGATTTGCTGAGTGTCCAGAATTTTTTGGACTTACCTATGTCAAAGGCTGCTGACTGATTCTGATATTCAGGCTGAAAAAGACAAGTCCAGCCTTTGAAATAGGTCATCTTGGACTATATTAAATAAAACCTTTTGACCTTCCACTACACACATATTCACTGGTACATGGTTTCATTGAAATTGATGAATATTTGAAAATCGTAAACGAATGGGAAATGGTAGGTTTGGGCCAAATCTGATTTCAGAATATCTCTCCAGTAGAAAATTGAGTTGCCTTACTTTTCTGTACGCGGCTAAGTTTTCAGTTTATTTTATGAATATTTAAGTTACAGAGCTTCAAAGTCATTTTTGAAAATCATTTTCGCCTCCTGCGTTATTTCAATGGGAGGAGTTTTTTGAAAAATAAGATTTTGATTTGAAGACCTATAACTTTTTTAAACCTGAAGGAACGTATTATTTTTTTATCAAATAAAATTAGCAAATTCGACTGACTATTTAACTTGTATTTTTCGCAAGAACTCGGATGGATGAATATTCTGCTGTCATTTGGCTTGCGGCAAACCTACCATTTCCCATTGGTTTCCATAGGAATGTCGATTTTCAAAAATTCATCACATTTATCGTCAACTTTCGACCTATTGTAATCGAGGAAAAAAATTGGGAAAATTTGGAGGAATTGGAAATGAAGTCAAGTTACACTTGTACCATTAAAATTGTAAATAAAAATTCAAACATAAAGAGCAGGCTTTAACACGAAGTTCAATGAGGGAGCTAAGGTTGCCAAATTTTTGGAGGGGAGTGTATAAGTGACATCATCATGATGTCATTTAGGGTGCAGTGAGTGCAGTGGATGCAAAATCTTTTTGATATATGCATAATGATATGCTAAAACATTTACGTGGCACATTAGATACTTGATAATATGGTGTAACATTTTACATTGTTCAATCTTTGTATTGCATGGTGTTAAAAAGAATGTGTTATGCACTGGATGAAAATACTTTTATTTGAAAAATGGTGGGAAATTTGAATATTTAAGAAATTAGAAACTGAGAACTTTTCAAAATCCCTAAAATAACTTAAAAGTAGGAAATGAATTATTTATAAAAACAAGTTATCAAACCTTACTTCAAGTTCAATCTAATCAATTAATATTTTTTGTGATTTAACCTTAGCTGTGATCGACGAGGGTTCAAATGCAGTCTTCGTTCAGTGCGATCCGTGCCTCTTCTACCTTACCTTGGGTAGTAGTGAAACTCAAAACGAATGATATGAATTTTGAGAATGGATGGGAGAAAAGCGTTCATAGATCCGTGCTGACATCTTTAGATAGAATTGAAACACACTTGCCTCCCGCTAGAGGCAGCACTTTCCTGGCAACAATCACGTGACCAATTAGAGTGACCTTGACCGCAGTGTAAACTAGTCTCAAGACTGCCAATATCACATTTAAAGACGATTTTACTCGTTTATTAATGTATTCTGGACAAACTTGCGCTACCAATGTATGGTACGACTAACAATCGGTCTGTTCAAGACGCACATAGACCAAAGTCGCTGCTAGAATAAAGAGAACGGCGAAAATCAAAGTGAATAAAAAAGCAATTTTTGATTGAAATGTCAGAATTCACTCATCAATTCAATGCAAGATCAAATCGTTTTACTTGACTTGGCTATTAGCACAGGAATTCGTCTAGACGAAAAAAGAAGTCAATAAAGCAAGCCTCGACTCGAAGACGTCCGTGCACATATTGCTTGTTTAATTTTGAATTCAAATCAGAGATCAGGTGGTATCTACAGCCTCAATTTAGACGAACTAGGCTAGTGAAGGCAATCTAGCTTTTAGAATAAAAGAATCAATCCTTGACGGAAATTTGAGGTCTTGCCAAAAGGTGAGACGACCACCTGATCTATCAGATGAAAGATATGACAAGCAGTGATCTAAATGTTGACAGCATTATTGAACAACTTCTAAGTGTACGGAACAGTCCAGGAAAACAGGTAATAATTGATGTTTAGCATTGCAATTCTCTTTTACATTTTATATGAAATTCATTGTAGATCAATACTCCTATTCGCGATAAGAGTTCAGGTGGTAATTTACACAAATATCTCCCATGATGCATCGCTTTGGAACATCCTTGCTTTGGAAGGGACAAATTTTCATTGGCCCGCGGAACGAGTCGATTACTCTGAATGTTTTTCAGCTTCTGATCTTCAATCAGCCCTCAAGCAGTTATATGATCCAATCTATACCATACATGAGAGCTCTTCAAACGGGAGGTAACTGAACTAAACTAACTGTTATCGCGTATTGGAGTATTGAATGCTTATATTCTATTAGACCTTAAAATTATTATTCCATCGAACGAAGTTCGGAGGGATATAGGGAACGCCTCCGTCTGTCCGTCCGTCCGGGCAATAACTCAAATACCGTTGGCCCGATTTTGTACATATTTTGTACACATATACCCAATGGGGGTAGAAGTTCTGCTCGAAAACGGATTTTCAAAATGGCTGCTCATTTAAAAATGGCGGCCATTTTAGTACCGATTTTACAGTTATTTAGGTACTGCATATAAAACTGTAATAGCAATATGTTTTAAATGTAAAAAAGTTATATAGGACATTGATTAAGCTAGAAATGTAAATACAGAAGAAATACATGGCAGCCATCTTGAAAAATGGCTACCTTTGCACGTCTTTTTACGATTTTTGCCGTTAAACTTGAAAAATAGTGGAGCGATTTTGTTCATATTTGGTATGTGAATACTTTAAGCATGACACAATGTCTAATGACTTTTTTGTAGTAGGCGGCCATTTTGAAAAATGGCCGCCATTTTTACGTGTGTTATTTAACTTTTTTTACTGTAAGTCAAAAAGTAGTTGAGCGATTTTGTTCATATTTGGTATGTGAATACTTTAAGCATGGCCGAATGTCTAATGACATTTTGGGTAGTAGGCAGGCGGCCATTTTGAAAAATGGCCGCCATTTTTATGTGTGTTATTTTACATTTTTTACTATAACTCAAAAAGTAGTAGAGCGATTTTGTTCATATGTGAATAATATAAGCATGGCACACTGTCTAATGACACTTTGGGTAGTAGGCAGCCATTTTGAAAAATGGCCACCATTTTTTATGTTTTTTACTATAACTTGAAAAGTAGTGGAGCAATTTTGTTCAGATTTGATATGTGAATACTTATGAACCTTGCACACTGTCTCATGACATTGCGTAGAAGGTGGCAATTTTAAAAAATGGCCGTCATTTTTACATCTTTTGCTATAACTCCAAAAGTATTGGAGTGATTTTGTTCATATTTGATATGTGAATACTTTTAGCATGGCACGGTAGTGGGCCATTTTGAAAAATGGCCACCATTTTTATGTGTGTTATTTTACATTTTTTATTATAATTCAAAAAGTAATAGAGCGATTTTGTTCATATTTGATATGTGAATACTCGTAAGGATTGCATACTGTCTATGACATTTTGGGTAGTAGGCGGCCATTTTAAATTTTATATGTGGCTACTTAAAAGCATGTTACTTCTTCTGATGACAGCTTGGCTAGTGAGCAACCATTTTGAAAATGATGGCCTTTCTTATGTGTGTTATTTTACGATATTTGCTATATATTTTGTTTGTAAAATGCCAGCCATTTCTGTTCGATGGGATTCGCTACGCTTTGGCGTTGCCGTTGTTCTGGTTTAATTCAACAACATGTCAACTGTAATACATGTATTTATGTTTTCCCATTCGATAATATGGGTGCAATGGCGCATGAACTGGTAAAAGTACACATTGTGTATTTTAGACTAATAATGACCTGTGAACAAGACAAATACGAGGGATGATCAATAAGTAATGGATGTTTTCTTCACAGATATTTTTATAATTTTATAAAAGTCCTGGTCCAATAATTTTCTCCTACCTGATTGGCTGATTAGCTTGACAACCCATGTTGCCATATCGTTGCGCCGAGAGAAGTTCAACTTGTAGATAAACACAGTTAATGACAATATAGTAAACAAAAATATTTACACAAACATAAGAGTACATTACAATATTGTATATTAGTATTACAACTGATCATTTCCAAATAATATGAGTGTACTTTTCATTATTTCGTTATCTTGAAATTATTTATACGTTTAGGAAATTACACTATATTGTAATCACGGGGCGATAGCTCAGTCGATAGGGTGTCCCACTTCAAACCTTAATGGTTTTCTGATTGCTAGTTTCAAATCCCGTATATCACCGCAGCTAACGAAAATTGACCGGTACGGGTCAAAAGCTGGACCGGTACGGGTTAACGGTTTTATTTGAATTTAAAATAGCCATAACTTGCTCAATATTGACTTCCTCGTGTCTAATTTGAAATATATGATGCCTCCCGATGCTTTTAAGTACCCCAATTTTTTACAGATTTTTAAACGGACCAAAACTCTCTAAATGCGCATTTATGCTCTTTTCTCTCGAGAACGACTGTCTCATTTTCACGATAACTTTTATTTAGTAGTTCTAACATATAAGATATATTTTTCCCCATCAAGGTATGATGTAAATGACATGCTATTTACATCTTGTGAGTTTCAATGGCGCGCGTTTGATTTTATAAAAAATGCCAAACTTTGTGACAAAGAATTTCATCAGCTATTGCCCCGAACCGGTCCGTCTTCTCGCTACAAGCAGATTGACCCGTACCGGTCAATTTTCGTTAGCTGCGTATACCAAGGGTGTATATACCTTTTTTGAAACAAAAATTACATGTTTCTAGCTACTGAGCTATGTTAGTTAAATATTTATTACCTTTCAAAAGTTTTAAAATATAGATAAAACGATTGTATATTGCTTTAGACTAATTGGGTTTTATCTGACAGTTGGTTGTTCTGTTGGTTTTTCCATTCATTTTCTCAGCATATTGGGAATACTGTGCTCAAAAGTTGGTCTCAATATATAATAAGATATGTAAGATACTGAGCCATTAGAATGGAACATCACTGGTTGTCTTGGAGAAAAATCACAAGACATTCTCCCTTTAATCAATAAATATCATAAACCCATAAGATAACATAATTACTTACAAGTATTATTGTATAGTACATTTTTATTTTCGTCTAATGCAGTTGTCAGAATTCCTTGGCGAGTAATACATCTTTTATCAACCAAAAAATGAGTGAGCTGTGAAATACACTGTGGTACTTTTGATCACATGCTGATGGTACTGATTAAGCCAATCAAATCACATGATTTCTAGCAATGATATAGTAATTGTTTTTATTTACAAATGATTCATTGAATTTAAAACTTCAGACTACATTGAACACATAACACTTGTTGTTGATAGCATATAATCATATAAAATGTTTTGAGGTAAGTGTAACTTCAGTATGTCTCCCACTTAAAGATGGTTTCAGATCTAGTAAAAAGTAGTAGTAGTGATAATGACAATGATTATTTAATTTCGGAAATTGAGGAAATTCTAAAGATTATTACAATAATGCATCACTTGTAGTTACTATTTTTATTATTTGGAAGAATTTAAACATTTTTCCTCCATCTTTACACTCTGGATCCTTACCAACCTCCGATCAAAATCCAGAATATATTCTTTCTTTTTACCCCCAGTGATAAGCAGTTAGCATTTCCCCGATTAAGAACTCGCAATCTGATTGGCTGTCGCAACACTGCGACAGGAATCGTGTATAAGTATTGCGCATAATAAGATCACGTGATTCATTTTAATCGGGCGCTTCCAAATTGGTTATAGCAGGGGGGAAAAAGGAGGTACGGATTCTGGACACCTGCTTAGGAAGATGGATCCTTAATTACTTCCCCATATTCATAATATCCATGATCTATTGGGAGATGTTATATTTGAGATTGAAAGGAATATATTGGTAGGTCAACTACATGTTGCTTGCAATTTTTGTTCTTATATTGGTACAAGTACAACCATCTCGTTTTGCATGCTTTACACACAGTCGTATGGTATTTCAATGAATAATCAATTTCTTATATCTGGTATATGATATCTTGCATCTCACATTAATTCCTTCGTTGATATCAACAACATACAGCACAAATGCTTATTGAAGATCATTAATTTACATTGATTCCTTTTGCCTTGAGTATCTTGGTAAATGAATATCTTAAATGTCAATTTATTTATACTTAGTGAACTAATAAGTAGCATATATATTCATTTAGGGGTCCATTTTGGAGTGTTCAACTTTAGCTATCTCTTTTAACTTGGTCTTCAATCAATAGACAAGATGTGAATAAATATAATCTCGATTTACATCAAAAATTCATAAAAATTCAGTCAATTCAGCAATGTTACATTTGAAATCAACATTTAAAATTACATCAAGAAATGTAGTTTTAAAAATTGTTAATCAACTTTGAAATTTGAATTTTCTTTGAAAATGTGACTTCTACTTCTTCTTGTAGGTCGGGGAGATTCCCCATAGGCCCGATTACAAAATCACAAAAAGTGAAATATATTTCCTTTATTGGACAGATAACATTTTCTTTTACTGGACATATTTTCATTTGTATAATTATCAGATATACTGGTATTATAGGGGTCATATTAAAATTGATACACTAGAACTGATAGATATTCAGGGAACTTTCTACCATACCCTGCCATGTTATCTGATCAGAATTAACCACCTGGTGGTGAAACAGGTAGCTACCTGCTGGCACCTGGGCTAGTACCATTGCCCTGTGGCAAAATTTATATCTTAATAAGATACCATGAATAGTACTATACCTGCATGATAAAGAAATAATCAATAATTTACCAATTTTAGAAATAATATGAATCAATAATGGTATGTACAATAGCACTATGTCTGTATGTGGATAGAATTGCACATAATGTATTGGTTTTCATGAGCTCTTATGATGAGCTGTTGCAGTCACTCACTTGTCCATATGTCTGTCCTGTCATCTGTCTGTCAACTTTATCGGCTAGTTTAGAAATTATTTTTGTTAATATACCAATAATCTCATTTGAAAAGTCAACATAGTGAAATCTTGGACCAAGGGCCGAGAAGGTGAGATCTCATATATTTGGTTGATTACATTCATATGAAAGCAATCCCGTTAAGTGGGCCCAAGACTCAATACATTGTTTGTGAAAAATCCATCACCACCATGATAACTGTTTAACTAATGACCTTGCATGTATTATTGATATTTCACACACTGTTGATTATGTGAATACTCTATTCGGATTGGCTGGAATCGAAACACCTTGCCTAGCTATGATTGAATGTAATTTAATGTAACGCTTTTTCTTTATGATTAGGTACAACTCCCAGAGTCCCAAATTCGCCAACTATGTCAGATTTCACGCAATATATTCTTGGAACAGCCCATGTTGGTAGAGTTAGAAGCCCCAGTGAATATATGTGGGGACATACATGGACAGTATGATGATTTACTGAGGCATTTCGCCAAATGTGGTTATCCACCTGAATCAAATTATTTATTCTTAGGAGATTATGTTGACAGGTAAGGCTCTATTGATTATTAATTGAAGACTAGTCTTGCCTTTTATTATTAATTAGTAATATCCCAACATTTCAACAGTTGGGAATTAGCACCATTATCACCATATTTAATAGTTTTAGTTTATTTATTTATTTATAGTGGTCAGTCTTACAATTCAATAAAATATATAACAATTAATTACAATTTTACCCAGCCCACCTTTACTGATCTACCTATTAATAAATAATTGTTTTATGACCAGTTTTAACTACTTTTTGTCAGTTACATTTTCATAGATGCACTTAATCTCATAGCCAACCCACAAGCCCTTTATTCCAACCACAACCCCTTGTGTCTCACCTACAACCCTTTGTGTCTCACCTACAACGTCTTGTGTCTCACACAACAACCCCTTGTGTCTCACCTACAACCCCCTGTGTCTCACCCACAACCCCTTGTATCTCACCCACAACCCCTTGTATCTCACCCACAACCCCTTGTGTCTCACCCACAACCCCTTGTATCTCACCCACAACCCCTTGTGTCTCACCTACAACCCCTTGTGTCTCACCTACAGCCCTTTGTGTCTCACCTACAACCCCTTGTGTCTCACCCACAACCCCTTGTGTCTCACCCACAACCCCTTGTATCTCACCCACAACCCCTTGTGTCTCACCCACAACCCCTTGTGTCTCACCTACAACCCCTTGTGTCTCACCTACAACCCCTTTTGTCTCACACAACAACCCCTTGTGTCTCACCTACAACCCCTTGTGTCTCACCTACAATCCCTTGTGTCTCACCTACAACCCCTTTTGTCTCACACAATAACCCCTTGTGTCTCACCTACAACCCCTTGTGTCTCACCTACAACCCCTTTTGTCTCACCCACAACCCCTTGTGTCTCACCTACAACCCCTTGTGTCTCACCTACAACCCCTTTTGTCTCACCCACAACCTCTTGTGTCTCACCTACAACCCCTTGTGTCTCACCTACAACCCCTTTTGTCTCACCTACAACCCCTTTTGTCTCACACAACAACCCCTTGTGTCTCACCTACAACCCCTTGTGTCTCACACAATAACCCCTTGTGTCTCACCTACAACCCCCTGTGTCTCACCTACAACGCCTTGTGTCTCACCTACAACCCCTTGTGTCTCACCTACAACCCCTTGTGTCTCACCTACAACCCTTTGTGTCTCACCTACAACCCCCTGTGTCTCACCCACAACCCCTTGTGTCTCACCTACAACCCCTTTTGATTCACACAACAACCCCTTGTGTCTCACCTACAACCCCTTGTGTCTCACACAATAACCCCTTGTGTCTCACCTACAACCCCTTGTGTCTCACCTACAACCCCTTGTGTCTCACCTACAACCCCTTGTGTCTCACCTACAACCCTTTGTGTCTCACCTACAACCCCTTGTGTCTCACCCACAAACCCTTGTGTCTCACCTACAACCCTTTGTGTCTCACACAACAACCCCTTGTGTCTCACCCACAACCCCATGTGTCTCACCTACAACCCCTTTGACCAACTCACAATCCCCTTTCCTGACCTACAACTCCTTTGTCCAACCCACAACCTCTTTCTCTAACCCACAATCAATTTGTCCAACCCACAACCTTTTTGTCTTCCTTACAAGCCCTTTGTTCTACCCACAACCCATTTGTCCCTCACACAACCCATTTGTCGAACCCATAACTCCTTTGCCCCACCTACCACTCTCTCCATCCAAAAGTTTGGTAATTAATAGAAGAGTCTGACTAGAGACTTGGTGAACACGATTAGAATGCGTCTATTTTTTCAAATATTGATTGCATTTGCTAGACTTTATTTGCCAGTACCCTATTGTATGACATCAAGATTACCTTATTGTATGACATCACATCAAGATCAAGAATTATGATCAAGATTACCTTATTGTAGAATAAATGTCTTACTTTGTTTTTCTTCAGGGGTAAGAGGTCACTTGAAACAATATGCCTGATCCTGGCCTACAAGATAAAGTATCCCAACAATGTCTTTCTTCTTAGAGGAAACCATGAATGTGCAAGTATTAATAGGTGAGTGATATTATTCTGCCATTGTACTATCAAGTACATGTACCACTTACTTGAATTGGAAGCCTTTATTCTTAGTATTTTGCCATTTTATCCAAAGGGTGTGTTTAGACATTTTCTGTATTTTATAGAATGGAATATTTGAGATAGATATGTACATTGCTGATATGTGATATGTATTTGTTGATACATATTTGCTGATACATATTTTTTCTACATGTTTGCATTTTGTTTTCTAGAATCTATGGTTTCTATGATGAATGTAAAAGAAGGTATAACATTAAATTGTGGAAAACATTCACAGACTGTTTTAACTGCCTGCCTATAGGTAAGTGTAATATATCATGCTAAGATATGTTAAATATAATTTATTAGATATAGGGACATGTTTTACACTTCATTCATACTTTTATGTTCACGTTGAGTCAGTCAAAGTAGTGCTTCTGATTAGAAAGGTCAAAGTATCATTTTGATGGTAAATATTGTTTTTAAAGAATCCCAGATATTCTGAATTAACTGTTGAATCAGGTGTCATTCTGCCAGGATACAAAACAAGTGATGAATAGAGGAGTTCTTCTATTAAGGTTGAGACAGCTAAAGTTGGAGCTTGGAAAGTAATAGTATATCTTCAGACAGTCAGACACTTGAACTTTCTTTTATCAACATTTCTTATCAAAGTTTATCTCATTTTTCCTCCATTCATGTAAAAATGATTATAGTCAAACATCATGTTTCTTATTTTCCCATTATTTCATCTTTACTCATATTTCATACTCTATGTATATGTGAACCCTTGCCCCATTTTATTCATGGAATTTAATTTTTCTAATTTGATTTTTCAATTTTTATGTCACTACAAATGGTGACATATTGTTGTGGTCTCCAACTTTTTTGTGGAGAGTGTTTGGCAGTTGGTGTTTGGTGTTCAGTGGTTGGTGCTCAGTGTTTGGCATCTGTAACAAATGCCAGGTGGTGACATTTTGCATGTTAATGCCTTGTCCAATTTTGCATTTGGCATACTACATTTACATGTAGAAATGTTCTATGTTTAAGCTGCCTTGATAGAGGGAACAATATTCTGCATGCATGGGGGACTTTCACCGGATCTCACTGACTTAGAACAGGTATGGTATATTTCATTAAATTTTATATTGCAGCGTGTTCAATGTACAGTAAAACCTGTTATGAATACCTCTTTATAGTTAACAATACTCTCTAGTGAACACCTATCTTTAGTGAACACTCTATCTTTAGTGAACACTCTTTGTCCAATTAACACCATTGACATCTGCATAAAAACACTCTCAGTAGTGAACACCAACATGAACAATTTTAAGGCTCGTGTGGTGTTCTTTATACACAAGTTTTACTGTTATATTATAACAGTTTGTTTAAACTATTGCTTAACGTTGGGAATGAGGGTGTAAACAATTGCAATGTACAGTTTGTGTCACACATTCATAGAATACAAAGCCCAATCAGGAATGAGACTCGGATAAATCAACGAAGAATCAATTCATTTTGAGATTTGTTGGGGCTGTGTGTTAATCTAAATCACAAGAACACATGAGGCAAGGATAGAATTTCCTGAATTTGATGCAAATAACAACCATCATATCCATGGACTTGTCAGTTTCTTATCAAACTTTTAATAACATTTTGTTTCAGCATGAAATCAATTTGGATTATCAGATTATTGCAGGTAATCAAACACTTCATGCAGTAAAGATTTATCAATTTTGGTTCAAGAAGGTGCGATCAATACATTAATGATTGATATGAAGTCTACACGATAATATATTACTCTGTTGAGTCGATGACATTTAAAGGCAATAAAGAATATGATACTCAGGCTTCATTACACAGGTCTAAAAACATATGAAGTATTAGCATAATTTTAAGTGATTATAATTCAACATAGAAACATATTTTTCTGGAGATAATAGGGAGGGAGGGGGGGTTAAGGTAAACACATGCAAGCTGCTAAATAACCCTCCCCCGCCCCTTTGTTCAATAAACAAGTTTCTTTTATCAGATATATCACCTTGTTTCTCTTGAAAGAAGGTGTAAACTATGTTTCAGTATAGAATGTTATCCTTGATGTTGTGGCACAGTCAATTCTGTAGGTTTGTAAAAACTTGAAGGAGTACTAACATTGATTTCTGTAGAAGTCAAGTGCCTTAAGGAAAAGCAACATTTATAAGTGTCTTCATGTCAATTTAAGATTATGATTGATTCATTTATCCACCTTGCCCATGTGTTTTTAATATGTAGATTTCATAACTTTTATGAATTATTATAAGTCTGCTCCCAGGGCAACTGGTGAATTTCAATGTAAAAGACAGTACAGTAAAACCTGTCTTAGTGGAACACCTTTGAGCATAGGATTGTGTTTCACTATCTATCATGTTTTAAATGGTGACTTGAAAAATTGACAATATTTGAAAATTTCTTCGGACCCATATATTTTAGAGGGTAATTTTGAGTGTTTCTTAATTACTCTACCCTGGCAGGGACAGACAGGAACAATGACTTTCTTAGACACTGTTATAACCATTTCTAATGGAGGCTCTTGGGACTTTGAATCAATTCATTTGGCAACAAATCTATTTTGGTACCTTTTTTGGTATCTTTTTCGTAATTGTCATCTCTAGTACTGTTTTATCTTTTAAGGACATTCCCTGAAACACCATGCCTTCTTTTGTTCTCAGACTTATGAAAGCTTTTTCTGATTGACACTTATGTAAGGGAAATAAAAGCTCATATTTAATGTTCACAATGTAAGTCATACTGACTTATGAACAATAACATTAATGATGCATTAGTTATCCAAAGGCAACTCAGGTAAATCTACCTTGAATTAATATTGTCTCTGTCTGTCTGCAAGCAGCAATTGGCTAATGATTCCATCATTTTGCCATATTCCTGATCAAAATATATCAGTCACAAAATTTTACATGAAATGGATAAAATCAATTTATTTGAGTAATGGTGTTACTTCGTAACATATACAAGCTAGGGATTATCGCTGATGTTTGTATTAATTTTATGTTGACTCAGAAAGTCAAGGCTCCTTTGCAATTGTTTTGTTTAGTATCCTGAGGGAATCCTGGGAGGCAATCCTCCTTTATTTGGCTGTCTCATTAAAACTAGATAGATGGCATGAGTGTGTATGGCCTTACGTATAGAGTTCAAGGTTATAGATAAACATGTAATTATTAGTTCAAAGCTATAATCAAATTGATTCAGGGCTTTTCAGATTTAGTCAGGGCTATGTGTAAACAGAATTCTGTCAGGGCTATATATAGACTGAATTAAATAGGAATAATTTGTGGGAGAATGTTCACTTTTAGTCCCCTTTCTGTATTGACATAATTATGATGAATTCCATTTTTTATTAAATTATCAATACCTAGATAATCATGTTTTTATTTTTGAGTTATTTCGTTAAATCATCCATAAAAAGTACAAAATAAGATTTTCTTGAAATGTGTACATGTAACCCAAAGACAATGCTTTTGTATGAAATATTGGAAGTTGCCTACCCTTCTAGTTGAAAGTGAAGCCCATGGTTCCAGACAAGATAGCTAGTGGGCACTTATCACAGAATCAAGTAACAAATGTTATATGGCTATATTTAGAATATTTTAGTGCTATGGATATAAATTTTGAGTTAGATAATAATTTTTGTTTTAGATTAGAGAAATTGACCGTCCCTTAGATGTACCTGACCATGGCTTGGTGTGTGATCTTCTCTGGTCAGATCCTGATGAGGTATGTACATTTATGGATATTGACCTCTCTCGAAGTAAACTGGCTAAATTGTTTACCTCCACTCTATGCTAACAAACTGCAAACTTCCCAAAGAGATGAATTAGATTCATACTCAGTTATAGTCTACCAATACCATACAGTCTGGTGGAAGTTAAATCAACCATTCACCATGCCAGTTTCTCTGACATATGGGTTACATGTGTTTTGTACAGTACTATATAATGGTATGTAGTCAGCGAGGACATAGTGTTTGTAGTCTGGTTTGATGTGTTCTTGAGTATCAGATCAATCAATATACACACAAGTAGACATAGGTGATAGGTATATGCTGCCACCCATTGCCTACTAGAGTATTTCATGTATATTGTGTTTGGAAGAGCAAATATTCTACAAGATGGAATCTATTGATTATTGAAGGAAATTCATTTATTCTCAATAATCAGCAGCCATGTAACTTGGACCAGACTACATATACATACAATATATTCTCTGTTATATTATGTTCTGTACCAATTTGACAATGGCAATTTAGATTTAAATATTTTTGTAACAGTTTTATCGAAAGCAGACTTAAAAGAATCCCTTGTTTCTATTTTTCATCAAATGTTACTGTAAAACTACTAAAATATCACCTACATGTACATGTAATGGGGTGAACATTTCCTGTTTGTACAATGTTCCTGTGGTGATGCCCTTTATAGCAATTTGTACATGTATTAGATGTTTAGGTTCTTCTATGCTTTGTTTTGTAAACAGGACATAACAGGCTGGGGTGAGAATGACAGGGGAGTCTCCTATACATTTGGTGGTGATGTGGTGCGAGGCTTCTTAAAGAAAACAGACTGTAGTTTGATAGTCAGAGCACATCAAGTCATAGAAGATGGCTACCAGTTCTTTCAGAAAAGAAAGGTAAGGGATGTTTTGTCAAGGTAGTGTGATTTTTGGAGTCGAGGAAACAGTATTTTGGAAATACATTTGTATGTGATTTACTCAAGAAACACAATATGTTTTTATTATGTTAATTTTGATACTGAGAAAATAAACAAAAAATTTAAATGAGAAAGTGTCTTATTATTTTGATGCGCTGGGGAATAGTTTTTGTATTTTTTATCACATGGCAGATTTGAGAGGTGAGTTGAGTAACATGAATGATCACAATATACTGTAGCAACATAGCACCCAAGGGTGCGATAAAAACAATTCATATTCTGTGATAGAGGACAGGGAGGCAATGTCGTCCATGTAGTTAATTGTTGGACAAATGACTGCATATACTGAGTGTCCGACAATAACCTACATGGACAACATTGCCTCCCTCTACTTTAGTCAAAATGTTGTCAAAGTATTGCAGCATGACAGAAATATCTTGTTGTGATACTTTTTAAGTTGTCCAGTTTTGTGCTCTCCTATTTACAACACTGGTGTAATTATTTTCAGTTGGTAACCCTGTTCAGTGCTCCTAACTACTGTGGGGAGTTTGATAATGCTGCAGCTGTAATGATTGTGACTGAAGACCTGACATGTTCCTTTAGGATACTACCTGTAAGTAAAGCTTGTTTCTCATATGTTTCACTCATCTTAATTGAGTCAACTTTGTCAACTTAAAGTGCTAATAGGTCTACCATTTTTAGAGAACCTTTGTTTTTGCACTTCCAATGTTTCATTTAACCAAGGTGGGCTATCTGGCAGCAACGAAATGGAATTTGTGTAAAATCTAGAGCAAAATGTTTGAGTTGGCTCATTAGCCAGAAAACAATACTTTGTCATTTAAAAAAGGAATTAAATGAAAGTAAACCTTTTGAACATCACTGGTGTACTGGATATTTTAAACAATACTGGCACATTCTGAAAATCACTGTTGCACTGGTACACTTTTTGAACATCACTAATGTACTATACTTTGAACAGCACCGGTGTACTGGTACACATTTGGAACAGTACTGGTGTACTGGTACACATTTTGAACAACACTGGAGCGATGGTACACTACAATGGTAAATATTTTGAACAACACTGGTGTACGTACAATGGTACACATTCTGAACTAGTGTACTAGTACAGCTTTTGAACTTCACTGGTGTTCTGAGATACATTCTGAATATTACTGGTGTTCTTGGGCATGTCTGAAAAGTATTGTATTCAACAGTTGACACTTAATGGTTATTAACGCTCATCATTTCTGTTCATTTTCATTTGCAGCCTGACAAAAACAAAGTCATAGGTGTTGACAATAAGAACAAGAAATAATGACAACATATACTAGACTTGATGACACCCAGGATTAGATGGAAGTATCTGGCTATTAGACTAAGTGATAAAAACATCATATAAGCTCATGGTCTTAAAAGTGATTCCTGTGTTTGGTCTTTTAGATTGGACAGAGTAGACCCCGTTTTACATTTATTAGGATCAACTTTTTCTTTAGAATCAGAAAACCTGTATTGCGTTGATGACTGCAACATGCTTATGATAAAGATTTAACTTACTGCTTAAGCTGCTATTCACAGATGTATCCAAGATGGATTATACAGAAGGATCTTACACTTGGGCCTTCTCGAACCATCTAATTCCTAATGCAATCAATATTTGCTACGCATTTACTCCTTATTAAGGAGTTTGGAAGTTTGCTGACAGTATTAGAACAATTGGTACATACTGTATTACAAGGTAACATACGCTATATATTAGTCTGGAAAATGTTACCGGATGGAAACATTGAAGAGGTATCCCTATAAAAAATAGTATAGTACTATAGTACATGTATATATTACAAAGAATGACAAGCTAGGTCTATTATTTATTTGTTATACAAACCTAATGGAGCTGCAGACTGCGAGTTTGAGACTGAATGGAGTTGAATTAAGGCACTCGGGAGAATTGTTGGTATCATCACCTGTGGTTTGCAGTGGTCACCCTGGTTACAAATCAATTTAAAGTCAGTATGTTGTGTGACCGCTTTCAAGCTCCAACTGAACCCTGACTCTGATAAAAAAATTGAAAAGCCTGAATGAAACTTCTAATCCATTCACTATCAGGCCCGTAGCCAGGGGGGTTCGAGCGAACACCCCCCTGACCAAAAAAAAATCTTTCAAAATCATGCAGTTTTTCACCATTCTGAGCACTTTTTAAGTGATTTTGGCCATTTTTGGACCAAAATTGTCACAAGTGAACCCCCCTGGAATTTTTCAAAAAGTGGCAAATCCTGGCTACGGGCCTGACTATCTTACAGTTTATGAATGTACCAAACCACATGCTGGTAGTCTAATTCAAGCTCTGGAAGCAATAGACACATACAATTTTTTTTACATGGTATTAAATCCATGTATTTAGCTGCCATGTGAAAAATACATTTTCAGTGCAATTGTAACATTGACTTTTACATTCCTCTTATCAATATTTTAAAAAGTGCAAATAAAAAGTGAAAACTTTGATATCAAATTGTACATGAATTTGTAGTTTATTATTTAGAAATGTACTATTGAATATACTCATTTTAGTTTAAAGCCCAATTTATTGAATATTTTGTATATACAGGAACTTTAAATGCATCCAAGTGCTAGTATTATATTTAAATTGTGTATTATTCAGTAATTTACTTTTAAGAATCCATCCATTTGATCATGATACATGTAAGAAGGGGCCAAAGTAAAACATGTAAATGTAGTATTGAATTTAAAACATGGAATCCGCTGCACCTGTTTAATTAAATTGTCCTTTGCTACAGTGAAGAATCTTCATTTTCTCTGTTCAAGGATACACTGATCTATTTTGTGTTATTAATATATTATGTTGTTATATATTTATATGGAATTGTACATTCTACATCAAAATGTAACTTATTTATGAGGGTTTCGTAAATGAAACATGTAATATATGTCTAGATTGCATATTTGTGACGATTATTTTTTAAGAAAATAATGCATAAATCAATTAAATTTTTGAAAAATTGCAATATTATCAAATACTATTATTGGGTCTCCTGCAATCATAATGATTTTTAAGAAGCCATGTCAATATATGTATCAGTATATCGATGTCTTCAATCATTATAAATTACATTCTTGGGACCAGTTCTGCTGCACTTTATGTTGGGAAGACGAAAAGAGTCTGTTGGAAATGTAATTATTCACGTTGCGGGACAACACTATGATATCGACCTGGTCTCTAAAGAATGTGTATAGAGTAAATGCACAATGCTAGAAATCAAATTATGGCGCAAGGGGCATTCATATATTTTTGACACTCCTCGTGTGGAATTATATTTGTCTAAAATTAGGAAATTAAATCAGCTGGTTATAAGTTTTAGTTTATGCTTGAAGCCAGTTCTGAAGTGAAACATGCATTTAGCACATTTTTTATTTTACATAATTTTATTTTTATCTATTTAGAATGAAAATATATATGTACAGTAAAACCTGGGTGTAGTGAACTTTCATTACATGTGGAATTCACTTGGGTGAAGTTTTGATTTGGTTATTGTTCCTCCCCATAGAGGTGAATTCTATGAATTTGCCAAGGTTTGGTATTCACTGCTCATGGTAAATAGGGTGTTCACTGTGAAAAGTAATTTAACATGGAAGACAATGTGATGTTCATTAATGTTCACTAGTTCAGGTTTTACTGTTTATAACAAAATGGATTTACATAGATGGCTGAATGATTATATTATAATTATTATTTACTCCCAGACTATAGTATTATAAATATTATATACAATGTTTATTTTATTCAAAATTCTTAAATGTAACCTGGGAAATTTGCACAGTATGGGTGTATTATTGAAGCCTTGCATGGGTTTTTATGTAACAGGCTCCTAACACACTTATAATTACACATACATTTACAAATGTGAGGAAATAATGATTGATGCAAGGTATCCCCGATATAAGCTATAGTTTATAGATGGCTCTATAGTATTTTGCCAAATGTTATCTTTGATTTCCTGAAATCACACATTTATGGGATGTTTTTATTGACAAATACTTCCTACACCTTACGTGAAATCACATTTTGGACAGATGATTTCATTTTAAACCAAACAAAACATTCATCTTTACTAGAGTTGTTGTATGGCAGTGTTTTTCAACCTCTTTAACCTTGTTCATATTCCACTTGAACTAAACATACTTAATTATTGTTATTTGTTATGTACAAACATATTTGTTGTAATATAATAATAGAACCAATATAATTATTGTATGGTACATTATAAACTTGTATTTGTTGCTTAATGGAGTATTTTCGGGAGAGGCCATATAGAGGAACAATGCGTTAACATGCAAAAGGTCACCACCTGCCATTTGTTACAAATAAAGACCACCAAACACCAACTGCTCTACACAAACAAGTTGGAGATCAGACTAATTAATATGTCACCAATTATGGTGGTTCATTATGCCCAATATCAGGCCTCTTAGACTTCTAACAACGCAAACATCAGTTCTGACCTCGCGAGCTACATTCCTTGCACTCTAACTCGAGGTGAGAACTGATGTTTGCATTGATAGAAGTCTAGGAGGCCTGCATATGATAGCAACATCTTAAACACCATCCTCAAATTGCAATGTTCCAAGATTCAGAATGGAGGTATAATTTATGGACACCTCCTTTGGAGGACGTATAACATATATATTCTTTTTTGCGTTAAAAGTAAATGAAAAAAGGCCATCCCTAATATAACGACAAAAGTCAGTATTGTTTGTGCACATTTATTACTCTTTACATGGAATATCCCAATACATTGATATTCAGACTTTCTAATGTACATCCATATGTCAATTAAGCTCAAATCATTTTGTGGCAAACACTATTTTAAACTATGGAATGTCTACTAGCAGCACCATCTTTTAATAATATAGCTATATTTTCAACCCCTAGACCCTGGCATCATTCTTCCAACCCTCGACCCCTTCACTATTATAGTTGTCTAAGTTTTCAACACACCTTCCAATTGTAGCAACCAGACTTTAGTGTTATTCTTACTTCCGCCGCTATAGTTGCCTATCTTCCCACTGGCTTCTATGACCCTATGACAGGGTATAAGTATCTGTACTGGATTATTGCGCATGGCTTGACCCACAGCCCTACAAGCACCAGTAGGGCTGCCACTTAACTTCCCAAGTGCCCCATATGACACTGTTTGTCCATATTTGATCTTATGAGCAAGGTTGTGTAGAACACGTGATGTAAATGTAGCACCTGAAATGGAAAGATGAAACTAGAGTGAAACCAATCGTGAAAAATGATGGAATCAACGAAGTGTTAACATCAAGTGGTGTTTACATTGAGTGGTGTTCACATTGATTGAAAGGTGCTCACGAGTTGTCCAAATTAATAAGTGATTGTACATTAAATGCTTAATCTTACAGATAAATTTTGACATTGTTTTCCTGCCTTGTGCCTTTTCAAATACAAACCTTTGTTTGATTTCTTAAGGAATGAACATATGGCAGGTAGGGGTAATGTATGCAGAGTCGGGTCCTTCTTGAAGTAAAGACTCAACCATTCTACACATTTCAATGCAGGTTTGTATGTGTAGCCATTGTCCTTGAATAACTGTGTCTTGATACACACTTCTTGACTGCAATCATAAATCATTCAATATCATATTGACTGACTGGTACCTCATAATCCAGAGGTCACTAGTGAAATAATGAACTTTTACCTAATGTCTTGCAACGGACAAAAAATAACTGGACTGGTGATCAATCAGCAGTTCAACATATCTGTGTGCTTGATTTTCATTCTAGTACACATCATTCTTAATTGTTTTGAATATCATCATTAAGCCCTTACGACTCATGAATACCATTTGAGTTATGCTTCATTCTCCCCATTAAGTCAATCTGAGGTTGTACCCCTCTAAAATTCTCCATCCAAGAGACTGGTTCCCCTTTAAATTTCTGTAAAAATTTTAAAACGAAAACATGCGCATGTGTGAATTGCCACTCACTTTTCAAAGAGCTGATACATAAGACGTCGTATAGATGTCGTGTTATTCGATCAATTCATTAAATACAATTTACATGAATATAAATATAAATTGATCATTAAACAAGTATCTTACTCAGGTCTTGGTATGAAGTTATCATCATTGATTGTATTTAACTGTCCTAGTGTATGAATCCCTCTTGGGCAACTGACTAGCTCCATTGTACCTATAGGTGTCGCCAGAGAGTAGGTGTTGGTCGGGCCATGGTGACATTCAGATTTCATACATCGCATAGGACGAGAACCAGAGGGTTTCCTTGGCTTCCTTGGTTTCACTCTAGTTTTAGTTGGAGGTATGGAAGCCATTCTGTAGGAAAATAGACCAAGATATGGCATATAATCAAGATATATTGAAAAGACAATGTTTCTATAAACAAACGAATGTAGAAGATCAACAATTAAAGCTAACACATTACCATACTTTGCCAAAGGCATGTGTCTGTTTTTGGTCGCTTACTATTCATTTGAGTTTAAAATTACATCAATTTGTTAACAATATTTCGTCAAGAAAGGACCATGGAAGGTATGTTTTTTCAATGCTTTATTCATCAATATGTTGCATTTGGAGACATCATTAACCTTTTACCAGGACAAATGGATTCAAGCAGGGGTTTTAAAGATATCAATTATGGGTGAACATAAAAAACAATGGATTGCATGAGTTTTCACTAAGGTTAACAATGGTGAGAGATGATGTCACCCGACTGATTATGACTGATTTGCGAGAAGTTTAGAGATACATGTATGGACCATCCTCAACTTTATGAATTTGTAACTTATTCAAAACTTTATCTTCATAACAGATTGTCCCTACTTGTTCATGGGTCTACTTGTAAATATACAGTGGCAATCAATAGGGTAGGGATGTGTATCAATCGAAACTAAAAAAGCAATGAAAGACCACAGTGCAATAATGGAAAAATCCATTAATAATTTACATACAAAACATTTGTATATCTTGGATTGGTACTGGCTTGTCTCATTAATGTGCATCCTCTTGTCTTTTGATTTTTCTGACAATTTAATTATTGTAACGACCCTTCAGCCCTTGGGCACGTCTGTCGCAGAGCCCGATACGAGACCCGAAAGGGGGTGTGGTAAATTCAATGCCCAGTGCAGCAATTGAACCCAGGTCCATTCCGCTCTCAAGTCAAACGCTCTACCAATTTGGCTAAAAAGGCTAGCCTCTTCACCCCCCCCCCTCTAGTCGTTATATACTGATTCACAAGGGCAATCCCACATCTGAAACCACTGTAGTGACCACTGGGCGAAGTGACCAAATATAAACAATTTTAATCACAAATAATCAGTGAATAAATGATTATTATCTGGTTAAAACCTATTATCGAGACTATTATTGCTGGTTATCGCTGATTATCGAGACTTATTAATCAAAAATAACCAGTGTTTTCACTGGTTATTACGATAATCAATTCTTATTAATGTGTAGCCAATGGCAAAAATTCCAACTGATTATTATGTCAAGTGATTATTCCCCCAACTGATTATCGCTTTGTTTTCATTAGCAATTAAGAACCGTCTGCCATTTATGCGTCTAGTGCTTCCAATTATTATCCGTTGAATAAACAAACTATAGCTTTTGTCCAGCTAAAGAATATGAGTTTTTGCGAAATTGAATTTTTCATTCAAATATCTTTTCTTAATTCATTATCAACCAAACAAAAAATAAACGAAACACATTTTTAGAATTTCATTTAATGTTAGATTTTATTTAGCTGTCCAACTTCAAATACCAGGATTCAAGATTTTTCATTAGCAATTATAATGCAGCAGATTTCTGCAATTCAATCAATAGTTTATACTAATTAGTAGTAATTAAAGAATATCACCAAGAAAATATTTTATCATCGTGTAGAAAGTCCAATCCAAAATCTGGTAAATGTGTTGCATTTATAGAAGCAATAACGTTGTGATACCACTGTAAAACTATAATTAAAATGTTTGATATGAAATTCGATTGTCGGGAATAAGAAATACACATCAATACTTTTACATAATATCCAGTGTATTGAAATAAGATGTTATAACAAAGGCAATTGAAAAACTTCAATCTCAGTGAAACTAGTAGTGAAACTCCCTAAATCTGTTAAAGGGAAGCCTTCATTCAAGCACTGAAAATTAAGTTTAAGAGGAAGAATTCAGTATCCCGTGTGTTCACTACCCCCTCCCATCCCCAATCATTTAACTACATGTATGCTCCAATGTGTTTCATTTCTGTGTTTAATAAATGCAATCAATATGATAGTTCTATATTACTCATTATTACCGTAGAGCAAATGTGCGCAAGGTTAAATTTTAATCTTATTGAATTATGTTAATTAGTTGCTTGGATGGTAGATTGTTTGTTTGCTTGTTTATTAGCACGATTGATTGCTTGATTGGCCGTTTACTTGCTAACATTCTTTCTTTGTTGCTTTGCTGCTTCTTTGGTTTCTTGCATTAGAGTTTAATTAGCTACTTGCTTGGTTGGTTTGTCGGTTGTTTGCTTGCTTTATTTGTAAGTTGCATGGTTTGCTTTTTACTTGCTTCGTTTCCTGCTTGCTTGGATGGTCGTTTGCTTGGTTGGTTACTTGCGTGGTTGGTTGCCGAGTTATTGATTTGAAACTTTCTAAATATCCATAGGCATAGCCAAGGAGGAGGGGGGGGGGGGTTGCGAAAACCAATAAAGATTAAAAACCCTAAGAGAGAGGACTCAAAGAGTTTTAAATGCTTTTTATTTGAAGCTTCTAGCTCACTTTGGAAGGAACTTGCATCCAGTTTTTGTAAAATTCAATATAAAAATCATTTTTGGCTTGTTTATGTCATAATCGCACCCCCTTGTTTATGTCACAATCACACACACACACCCCCCCCTGACTGAAAACCGAAATATTTTTGGCAATCACATTCCCCCCTGACTGAAAGTAGGCTACGCCCCTGATATCTGTTATTGTGTTATAACAATAAACTATATTTATATTGTGAGCATTTATGGGTTTTGATAACACTAGGCTTTATATGTGTATAATTAATAAAATTTAATATTGTATCATGTTGGCTAAATTGTTTCAAGTGAAGAATTAAGAACTGTAATCGGGGTTTGCTTAGTTTGAGCCAGGGAACAAAATGCAATCAGACGGACGGATTAATTAATATTTGTTTTGATAAATGAGTATTATAGCTTATAGGCAGTATCATGGGAATCAAGTAATCGGGTATAGGATTATTTTTTGTTTACTTCAGAATTAAGTGAACCATCTGTAGTTTTAAAAACAAGGATCAATAAATACATCTGATCAAGATCAAATATTAGAAATCTATTTTTGACTGGACAAATTCTTGTTCTCGAATGTCAGACAGAACCTTCATTATCTTTATTCATTTCGAACTTTGATTTGAATTATTTCAATCAAACGTGTGTGTTGATGCTCCGAGCTAATACTATTAATTGAAAAAATGTTGCAATAGGGGGGGGGCATTATTTTCTTTATTACATTACTTCTGTACATTATTACATACACAGTAAACGCGACCCGATCGGGGAGGGGATTCGGGTTGTGCACAATTTGCTATCTCTTTATGCATGTTTTATTGCCAAATAAAAACAAGCTGGAGAAACATAAGTATTTATTTTGTATTTTGTTACCACACGTCAAAAGGCGCATTTGAAGTTCAGAAAATGTAAGAAGACTTTGCTAGACATTATGTACTTATATATTTATATGTTACGTATTTATTTTGTATTCAATTCGAATTCTGTTCACTCGCACTCCTTGAACCACCCCCACCCCTTGGCTACGGGTATAAGTACTTTCGGCACACGGAGAGAATAACATTAGACTTCTGCAATGCAACTACATGTAATAAGAGAGACCTCAAATGAAAATAATGTAATGTAAGAATATACAATTGTAGCCCATCACAAAGTTCATTTATTTCATAAAAGCGTCAAGGGACAATGCCTATAACTAAACACTAAGATAAACAAATTAACTTCCGTAGAAACATCCTGTTGTGGAAAAGACAAATGGCTTTTCATAACGGATTAAAATAGCCAGTCTGTCTAATTGTATAATATATTAGATACATTTTAAATTCCTTTATACTTCTTATCACAGACAGGTTGATCATTTTATTTAGACAAGAGATTGTATTCCAGCAGTGTCATTTGTAATTAGCCCTTTGAAGTTTAATCAATCACGATAATCAGTTGGTCTGTTATTCAGTAAAGAACAAAGTGATTATCGCCAGGCCATGCCTGTTGCCATTGTATCTAGCCTTAAAAGTTATAATTAGGTCAGGATCAGACTGTGTCTGGTTATTAATGATTATTCTAAAAAAGTAATCGCTGATTATTATGTGTTAATTCCAACCTGTTTGTCTAGTGGACCCTTGGGCACATCCATCAGGGAACTGTTACGAGCCTGGTACTAGACCCAAAAGGGAATGTGCTTAATTCAATGCCCAGTGTGTGAATCGTACCCAGGACCTTCCGCTCACAAGTTAGATGCTCTACCGTTTCGGCCACCAAAGAGGCTAGCCTCTACAGCAGAGACTATAGTAGTGACTTTCTATCAAAGGTCATTACATTATTTTCAATAAAATCATCATGACTCAACTCCCTAAATTACAAGAGGCCACAGTGTTACTCCATTAAAACTAATTCATCTGAAATAGATTATTTTTCCATATACATGTACATGTACATGTACATGTAATATTGGACTGTGGTTTTGAAAGCCCCATTTATGTGAGACCGTATCTGTTGCAAGACTAACGCCTGGCGTAACCGTCACTATGTTATTCAGTGTTTTTTAAGTAGCGCAAGGATCCTGCCATGACCGTGGTAATGTTATCGTGAAAGCCTGGTATAACCGCGACGATGCTGTATTATATTGCAATGCCTGCCATGACCGTGATAATGTAATATAGTTCTACAAGGCTCGGTATGACCGTGACAATGTAATATAGTACTGCAAGGCGCTGGCATGACCGTGACAATGTAATATAGTATTGCAAGTTCAGGTATGAGAGTGGTAATGTAGAAATTTACGATTAGGACTGCTATAACCGTGACAATGTGTATTGCAAAGCCTGGCATGACCGTGGCAATGTAATATAGTACTGCAAGGCCTGACATGGCCGTGACAATGTAATATAGTATTGCAAGGCTTGGTATGACCGCCGTGGCAATGTGATATAATATTCCAAGTTCGGGTATGAGAGTGGTAATATAGAAATTTATGATTTGCTATAAGTGACCATGACAATGTGTTTTTGAAAACCTGGCATGACCGTGGCAATGTATTATGGGATCGCAAAGCCTGGTATGACCGTGACAATGTAATATAGTATTGCAAGGCCAGGTATGAGGGTGGTAATGTAGAAATTTAGGCTTAGTCCTACTATGACTGTTATAATGTATTGCAATGACTAGTAAATATGTATGACATAATGCCAGGAATATCCTTAACAATTTTATGTGATCCGCATTTCAACTAAACAGTTTAATACTATGATCATGGTGTTTAACTACCTTAATCATGTCAAAATCAAAATTACTACTATTCATTAATATTCACATTCACTTATAAACCACAATAAAGGCTACGGTCGCGCCAGGCTTCCACGATAACACTTCCAGGGTCATGACAGGCCTTGCAATATAATACAGCATTGTCACGGTTATACCAGCCTGTCACGGTTATACCAGGCTTACACAATACAGTGGCGTAGCCAGGATTTGGTGACCGGGGGTTCTATTTTTATGTTATTCACAAATCCCCCCTTCATTAGGGTTTCGCAAATAATTCAATTTGTACAATTACACTCCTTCCAAAAGTTTGGCAATCCTAACTACCCCATTGGAATCTTTAAGTTTGAATTCTTATTTGCATAATTTGTAAAGAAAAAACTATTTTGGGAGGGGAAATATAATTCATTTCAATACCTTCATTAAAGGCAGAGTCTGATCTCTAGGGGGTGATAAAATTACAAGCAACATGTATAATTGACCTACCAATCTATTCCTTACATTATCAAATACAATATCTCCCAAAAGATTCACAACATGTTATAAATTGGTGAAGGTTTGAATGATTCAAAGTGCAAAAATGAGTGAAAAATGTTTAAATTCTCCCAAATAATAAGAACGGTAACCATTCTTATAGAAAAATAATACATTTTGTAAAAATCTTTAGTTTTCCTGGAATAAAGTATGCACTGTTGTGATTTTTAGAAAATAGATATGATAAGGAATGACATGAGAAAAGTCTGGACGTAAAAATGATTTTCAAAAATGACCTTGTAGCTTTGCAACTTTAATGTTCACAAAGTAAAATAAACAGGCAACGTGCAAAAAAGTCAGACAACTTGTAATTAATTTTCTGCATCAAAATATACTTCGGTGAATCTTTTACTGAATACATATCCTGAAATCTGATTTGCCCCGAATCCACCATTATTTCAACTGATTTCTGGAAGACCCTGGAGCATGATTTGTTTCCAAGGAATATCAACTATTTCGCACAATTTATTCTTTAACTTAAGCTACTTCATCTAGGACAAAATAAATCACCTCATGCAATGACTTATCATTATTTTTCAGGAAATTTGTTGGAAGCCAGTTCGGATCAAATGCAAGGTTATTGAAATTGACGCAAACACCCTATACTCCGAAAGATCGTTGTTCTTTGACAACTTTTCACAACGTTTACACAAAGGCTTTATAAACTATCCGGGATAGTCGTATTACTGATGAAAATATCTATTATTCAAATAAGTGGGTCTCGGTTATGCTTTGTTTTAAAAAGTTAAAAATATTTCTTTGGACGTCATCGGAGCTCAGTGGTAAGTCCTCCAGAGCAGATCAACTGCAATTGATAATAAAAACGTTTTAGTGGATAAAATTATATATTTTGTTAAGTTCAGACGGCTTGATAACAAATGAGGCCTTCATTATTTGAAGATAAATACCATATCATTTTTCAATGTTTTTTTTAATTATATTATTTATTCGCTAAACATATCATGGCATTAACATGAAAATGGAGAGCAAGTAAACTGGAACGATAACAATTTGAATTCTATACAATCTCTTAGATGAGTGGAGTGTATCTGAAAAAACAAAATCATTTTTTTGCAATGATTGATTTTTCTTTGGAAAGTGATGGGTAAATAAATACTGAACAGATGAAAGAATGAATGAATTTGAACAAATCCTTGTATTTATAAATGATATACGCTTTTAAATAATTCATTTCACAACGTTTTTAATTATTAATTGGTTTCGGGGACTTGCCAGCCCCAGGGACGCCCCAAGAAATATTTTAAATTTTAATCGAAATAAAACAAAACAGAGATGTACACATTTGAAAGAACATGTGTTTCATCAATATTACGACTATTCCAGATATTTATTCGCCAATGTTGTAAAAATCATTCGGAGTGTGGGACGTCTGCATTGTTTTCAATAACTTTCAATAACTTCGTATTGAACCAGAACTGGCTTAAATAATAGTTTATTCAAAATGAAGAAAAAAGAAACCCCTCATTGTACAAAATGTGCTGATAATGTGCTAGATACTGTGAAGCACAGATTTGCATCATGTACTTCTATTAAACCTTTATGGGGTATTATTAAACAACACTTTATGTATAACATGTCAGAAGATGAAATAATACAAGGCATTTTTAAAGATGATGTTCAAACTAACAAGTTAAATTATATTATACTCATTGCAAAGTGGTGTATACATAAACATACTCTAGGGTTTTATAATACTATTGACTTGTACTATAATTTTAAAATAGAGCTCTCCAAGAGAAATATTATTATGTAATGCAACAGGTAACTTATGTAAACAAATTTTTAAATTGATGTAATCTTTTTAAATTATCTGAAATAAAAAAAGAATTTTAAATATAAAAAGAACTGGCTTAAAACAAAATTCCTACAAAGGACTGATTTAGCCATTGCTCAAGATGGGTTATTTTGTCCGAGATGAAGCATGCCAAACGTTTTGAGGGAAGTGTAACTTCACTATGACATGTTTTTAAGAAAATAATGCTCTCGTGTTCACCATCACACATATCAATTCATTTACTGCACATATATGTAGTTTTCAAATAGCACAGTAATTTAATGGTTCTGGTTATATGCATTTTTCCGCAAAATTATATTTTGGGAAATCCTGACCGGGGGTTCGTTCGAACCCACCGAACCCCCGCTGGCTACGGCTATGCAATAACACTACCACGGTCATGGCAGGATCCTTGCGCTACTTAAAAACACTTATTAACATGGTGACGGTTGTGGCAGGCGTAAGTCTTGCAATAGATAGCATGTGATTTATGTAGACTCTGGTTTAAGCTGGGGATGTGAATAAAAATGTTTAATAACACCAAGTCAATCGTGCAGTTGTTCAGATTAGCATGTCCTTGGTTATTTACTACTCTGCATGATTTAAATCGCATTCTAAGTCAATGTACAGAAACAATTCAAATTTTATGAAGATTTGACATGTGAAAGTGAACTTCCGGTTGTTAATAAGTTGCTTTATGAGCTTATAAAGCATTGTCGTTTTATATTAATAAGACAGAATCATCTAATAACATAGGCACATATTGTTACAAGTAGTTGACAATCGTAGAATGTTTAACTAGTGCAAAATACCTACTTTTATTTAGGAATATGAAATTTCTGCTTTCACCTTGTTTTGGTCTACATCCGGGTGTTTTCAACTTGGATGATTGAAAGTTTTAAAACTTTTCGCGGGAAAACATTTTTTGATTCTAGGGTGGTCTCAACACATTTGCGGATCCAGAAGCTCGCGAGGGAGGGGGGGGGGGGGGTGCAAATTTTGAATCATGAAAAGAAATTAAAAAAAATCAAAATTAAAGCCCCTTTGAAAATTTTGCATTAAAGGCCTAATAAGGCCAAATTATGCCCAAAAAGGCCCATTTTTGAGGTCCTATATAATTGTTAGGGGCTTAAATTTTTCTTGCCTTCCCCCTGGATCTGCCAGTGCAACCTGTCATTTTAATTGCGGACTCAAGATTTCATTTGAATTGAAGTTATATCATGGAATCTTGCTCATTGAATCCTACTCTATAGAATGGGATTTCAAGGGCTTGAATATTTTGAATGATTAAGTACAGGGATCAAGGTATTTTTCAATAGGTCATTTTACTGAAAACAGGCTACTAAATAATAGGCTGATAAATAATGTTTACTATACTATGATGGATAAAGTGAATAATGCATGTTACTATATTTGCACATAGCCATCTTTTAGATATCTCCCAAGAGATAGCTTTGTGCAAACTAAGTAAAATGCATGCCGGTTGGTCAATCTTACTTTGGGATTGCAATGTGAATCCTTAGAACTTTAAGTTTCATCATGAACTCTTTCAATATTTTGATTGTAACCCCTTTTAAAAACAAGTGTAATGACCTGAAGGCGCCCCAGGGGAATGGCTAACTAACGAGCATAGTGTTTAAAGCTAGATAAAGAAATTGAAAGAAAGTGTGCTAAATTCAATGCACTGTGTGGGATTCGAACCTAGGACCCTTGAATCCAAAGACTGATGCTCTAGCTACCGACTAAGCTATAAAGGCTTAAGCCACTACAGCTGGGCCGTAGTAGCAACTTACTATCAAGGGTCGTTACACAAATAGCAGCCAAATTAAAGCAATTCACAGAATGTCATTATGAATATTTTGTGTCAACAAACATTTTACAAATGGGTATGGGTACAAGATGTATCAGACTGAGTGGACAAATTATTCGGTTTTAGCTTAAAGGGATGATATAATATGGATTATCAATTCATATATTAAGACCTAAGGAACATCATGTGGCGCTACTATACATGTATGAATTTGTATCTGAATCAAATAACAGAACAGAGTATAAATTATGAAAATATCTTGGCAGTTTTTATTCTATATATTTTATAACATCCTGGCACTCATCAGGCTAAGTGTATACAATGAATCCAGACTTATTTTTCAGTCACCTTATTACATGTATTAGCAAAACTTCCTTTTTATCATAAACAAAATATAATAGTGTCGGCTTTGAATTCATTTAAATGATGACGCTTTAATTAAAAAGTGAAAGCCCCAAAATAAAATGTACATTGTGGATTATTCACAAAGTAAAATTAAGTAGATACTGATTTTATGACAGGATATGATACTGTATAAGATATTTTTTTTATTCCTATTTGGCACAATCAAGTGGACAGCTTAGCTCAGTTAGCTAAGGCTTGTGGTGTGACTTAGTGTTTAGTTACCATACCAAGTAACACCAGAAATGTCCCATTCGCACAGTGACTGTAATTAATGAATGCTCTTAAATCAATGAAACTCCTCTTAGAAAAATAATTTGGAGTTGAACAATAAAATAAATTGTTCATTGTAACAGTGTTGATGTTGAGTTCAGTTGTATAATTAATTCTATTCCAGGCTGAGATTAACATGAATGATAGTAATCCAAAGATTTAAAAAGCCAGGCCTTATAGGCCCCCTGTAAAGTTTCAACCACATAAGCTCTGTGGAAGTCTTACTCATTGTTATCAACTTCGTTTATTTTGAAGAACATTTGCTTGAAAAATTGTGAATTTCTTCAAAATATAATTTTGATTGTCAAATACATGTACATCTACTATTAAGCATTAATTATTCTAAGTTAACATACAATTGCATCTTTACTACAGTAGTAGCATATACATGTATGTATGTTTATTGGCCTACATACTAGAGCTGGTAGTGTATGGAAGAAATTTGTAGAATATAAAAATCTTTGATAGTACAAACTTTATATCAGCCATTGAACTTTTGAGAAACTTCATGTTCAAACAATAATTAAACTTGTTTTTACAATTCCCTTGTGAGATTCAGTGAGTATGAAACGTAAAAAGTTGAACAGAGAAAAGATACTCCACAGCTTATGACACATAACTCTTTGCCATTAATATTTATATACAGTGAACTCTGTCCCTTTATTGCTCTTAATCTATTAAACCTTAATTTAAATGTACATGTATTAGAGGGAGATTATTTTAAGATGTTCACGTTTATAAGTTCTCTGTATCTTCCTTGATTGCATCAATTAGATTTGCAAAATAATTTTCCTGGTGTTTGCCTAAACTCGTCCAAAATGGGGTGGACATAATACACTCATTGTTAAACCCATGGTTCCCATCCTCCATACACTCTCCCCAATATGTTTGGATCAATCGCTTGGTCTATCAATGCCTTAACTTGATCCTCCACACTTAGTCCTTTTTCGGGGAGTTTAGATCTGAAACTCTGATAACCGTCTCTTTTACTGTTTGATGCGCCCAGTATTACACTGTCAAATGCCTTCTTGTAGGACTCTGGGAATACATTATGGTTGTTATAGGTAGCACCAAGGTGGAATTCATCTCTGAAAACAGAATGTTTGGATGACAATAAAGGTTTATTTTTAAGTTATTTGTAATAAAAGTAGTCAGGTGAAACGCCTCTATACGAATAGAATATCTTTGTAAGTAAAACATTTTGCACAGTCTCATTACCAATAAACATTATGCTGATCCAACCTCCATAAGTGGAACACTTCCTGATAGGAACCATGAGCGTTCCACATTTTACTACAATACAGTGTTTATCATGGTTATAGCAACGTCAAGTGCTAATCACCACAAGGAATTACATGTATAGCTCAGTGTATAGTATATAAAGTCCAAACTTCATTAAAATCTAGAATCTTTAATATCTCACCTGATGATAAAAGCTGGATTGCCCCCCTCTAACTTGCGTCTAGCATAGCTAATCTTCTCTCTGGGGTACCACTCTCCAACTTTGCTTTCTGGAAGGACAGGACATATCATATGAGAAATAGTTTCCAAATAAATTAGCTGAATTACTAATTGGATTTCCAAGGGAACATGAGATCTGAGATACACTGTAAGCAAAACATAAATCCGAGTCAGGCCTTTCAAATAAGAGAGAGCAGGGGCATAGCCAGGAATTGTCAAGAGGGGCTGAGATTTTTGGGTTTGTATCACTGCGAGTTAAGCGAGCCCCAAAAAGTGGGGTACATTGTATACAGTACATTGTGCATTCTAAGCATTTCAAACTATAATTTGTTAATTTTTTTCAACAAATTTTACAAAATTTCTTTTTTGTGGGGTGGGGGGGGGGGGGTGGAATCACACCCAATGACCCCCTGGCATTGCCCATGGTGAGTATATATTTTTCAACTATTTCTCTAGAAGTAAATGTCATTTACGTTTAGTTATATTTTTAATATTTATAATGTCTACTCTATCATGTACAACATCACCAGCGGTACTGTTCATGTAAAATATGTTGTCTTTACCTTCACTGTCACTATCCTCATCTGCATCAACATTTTTTATCGTCTGCTTCAGGGAAAAGGCCTGAAATTAGAATAAAACATACATTAACAGGCCCGTAGCCAGAAATTTCCAAGGGGGGTTCACTTTTCCCAAAAAATCTAGGGGGGGTTCACTTAGCAAATTTGGCCAAAAATTTCTCAAAAAATAGTCAGAATGGTGAAAACTGCATGATTTTGAAAGAAAATTTGGCCAGGGGGGGGTTTGCCCGAACCCCCCCTGGCTATGGGCCTGATTAAAAGTACAGTCTAAGAGACCTGAACTACAATAATCAATGAATGTTGAAATTTAATATCTATGAAATATTGACAAAATCATATCACAAAAATAATATTGGATTTAATCCATGATTGCAATTGATTTGTTATGTTTTGATTTTAGAACCCAATATTTAACAAAATAATTACTTACATTTCCACAATTTCGATAATTCCAAAATGTTTGGCTTAGAATTCAATGTTATTTATAATACAAATTACTCAGTTTTGATGCTTATTATAGCATGGACCTCTATCCATGTACATAAGATTTAAGTCTGATATTTCCTACTTACAACCATGTCTAGTGAGACATCATGAATGAATACATCCATTGTATTGATTAGGAGGTCTGTATTGCCCCGTAACGCCCTGAGTGTGTGCACCATTGTCTGTTCCACTAAGCCTGTATCCCGCAACGGCATCATTAGACTCAACAGTTGGTTCGTCAATCGGAATGGCATTAGCTCAGGGATTGCCAGAAACTGAAAGTCAACAGTCTTATGAAATACAAATTTTCATTTTGTTGTAATTGATCAGTTACTACATAGATGGAGAATAGAAAGCAATAGTTGTTTTGGTCAGACTAGATACATTATTACATCATTACATAATATGGAGAAGGTCACAGAAAGCTCATCATAACATAAATACTCACAATTGTTGCAGAACCAAACATGTGGCCAAAATCAATTCCAACCACCTCACCAGTGGCTGTATTCACCATAGAGTTGCTGAGATGTCGGTCTCCAATACCCATGATATACTGACATATACACATTGTGGAGTATGAACGCATGAACTGAGATCTAAGAGTGAAGAAAGCCTCCGGAGAACGACTCATCTGTTTGAATGCACGCCTATAGAAAGATAAATCAATGAATTACAAAGTAATTTATATACTCTTGCCTCTTATATGAGACAACTGAACAATTGTAAAGGGAATTTCATAAAAAAATGATTTGAAGTTGTTTTAATTTACTTTTCAAAAATGCTACGAAAGTTTAGTAAGGTTTAAACCATAGAAATGCCTGGGAAACACTCAAATACATGTATTCACAATTTGAAAGTGATTTTAAGCATGGTTCTTATCATTCTTAGATAACCAAAAAGTAAAATGTAACATAATTAACCATTGCACCATACCACTTGGAGTATATGGCTAACCAGAATGATATCTGTTTTATTTAATTCCTATTCAACAAAGAATGTGGGTTAATACAGCATACCTTGATAAATCCCATGGGTAATAATTCTGCTTTTCTTTGAACTCCTGTTCTATTGCTGTTTTGGATAGATTACCATACATATACCAGTATGCTTGATTCTGTTGCTTTCTTGTGAATTTCTTGCCAAATACCATGTTATAATGTGAAGTACCTGCCCTGAAAACCAGTCAAATATTATAACATACATGTAAAATTATTAGCCATGCATACACAATGAAAAGTACTTATTCTCCAGGAGGGATTTGATAGGAGGAATATCACAAGGATAATATCGATATTTCCCTCTCATACATGTATGTACACTATTGGTTTTGGATATTTGGTTCAGCCTTGCAGATACATACATGTATACTGTACATGTACAGGGTGACCGGAAAAAAAGGAGACCATTGAAATAGGCAATATCTCCTAAAATAGACTAGTGACATCAATGAAATTTTGCATACATCAGGACAGTTCTATGGAAATTTGTTCCTGAAAGTGTCAATACAAGCAGTCAACTGGTTCAGGAGCTATGATCATTTACATAACATGCTCCAAATAGGCGCAATTGAGACCAACGCAGAGCTGGATACATTTGGCAAATACCCTTACATATTCCGACCTTGTTATGGCATTACATTTAGCATTTTAGATTGTTTTGGTACACATTGTCTTTCAAATTGCCCCACAAAAAGAAATCAGGTGGATTCAAATTTGAGGTGTATGGAGACGAAGCTTATCTGACCTATGGCTTCTGACTCAGTGGTCCCACTCAGTTACAGTATCATCCTAAGGAGGTTTTGGGCAGCCCTTGGTTTTCATATGGGATTTAATTGTGCCATATAGTGGTTTTAGTAACATGGCACTATGCCCAATACCTAAAGTGACTCTTAAGATTTGGTAAATCAGCACTTTGGCAACAGGATGATGAACCACATGTCAGATAACCCTTCATTGCCATTACAGCCTAGACTTGAATCCTGCTGATTTCTTTTTGTATGGATATTTGAAAGACAATCTATACCAAAACAATCCTCAGACTATTGTTGACCTAAAGAAGGCAATCACTGCTATATGTAATGCCATAATAATGCCATAGAGGGCAGAACATGTAAGGGTAGTTTGCCATATGAATCCAACTCTGCGTTGGTCTCAATTGTGCCTATTTGGAGCATGTTATGTAAATGATCATAGCTCCTGAACCAGTTGAATGCTTGTATTGAAACCTTCAGTAACAAATTTCCATATAACTGTTCCAGTGTATGCAAAATTTCATTGATGGCACTTGTCTAGTTTAGGAGAAATTGATTACTTCAATGGTCTCCTTTTTTTCCGGTCACCCTGTACTTCCCTTGGGACAAACTCTGCACCCTAAACCTCCCTGAGTATATAACCCTTATATCTGTAAGTCATTAATTTTATATGAGCAAAAACTTTCTAAGGTAATATTATTGACAGTGTGTAAAGTTGTGAAAATGTGTAGTTTACTAACTGTACTTACTTGCTTATTCTAATCATCTCATCTTTGCTCAGAGCATCATGGAGAAAGGTCTTTAATGTTGTACTGTTAGAGACCCACTCTATTATACCAACCCTACAAGATTTCAATAAAGCTCTTTAATGTTGTACTGTTAGAGACCCACTCTATTATACCAACCCTACAAGATTTCAATAAAGCTCTTTAATGTTGTACTGTTAGAGACCCACTCTATTATACCAACCCTATAAGATTTCAATAAAGCTCTTTAATGTTGTACTGTTAGAGACCCACTCTATTATACCAACCCTACAAGATTTCAATAAAGCTCTTTAATGTTGTACTGTTAGAGACCCACTCTATTATACCAACCCTATAAGATTTCAATAAAGCTCTTTAATGTTGTACTGTTAGAGACACACTCTATTACACCAACCCTATAAGATTTCAATAAAGCTCTTTAATGTTGTACTGTTAGAGACCCACTCTATTATACCAACCCTATAAGATTTCAATAAAGCTCTTTAATGTTGTACTGTTAGAGACCCACTCTATTATACCAACCCTACAAGATTTCAATAAAGCTCTTTAATGTTGTACTGTTAGAGACACACTCTATTATACCAACCCTATAAGATTTCAATAAAGCTCTTTAATGTTGTACTGTTAGAGACACACTCTATTATACCAACCCTATAAGATTTCAATAAAGCTCTTTAATGTTGTACTGTTAGAGACCCACTCTATTATACCAACCCTACAAGATTTCAATAAAGCTCTTTAATGTTGTACTGTTAGAGACCCACTCTATTATACCAACCCTACAAGATTTCAATAAAGCTCTTTAATGTTGTACTGTTAGAGACACACTCTATTATACCAACCCTATAAGATTTCAACACACATATCTTAGAATTGAAACCTTTCAATTGATCACCTCCATGTGTAGGTTTGCATGAGACCCATACTATGAGTTGTACAAATCAATTAAAACTATGATCACATCAATCAAATCTGAAAAATACTACAAAAAGACCACCTAAAAGAAATGGAGTAGGCAAGTAGCAAACAAAACACCACCCGGATATATTTTTCCCAAAATTTTAAAGTTTCCTGCTGAATTGTCCAGATATAGTAGAAATAGTGTTTTCGTTTGGAAGAACTACATCCATGACACATGATTATTTCAAGAAACATATTTCAAAACCTCGATTCATTAAGATAGACATAATATTCAATTCATTATACCGTTTATCTTATTGAACTGAAAATTCTTTCTTCAGCTGTGGCAGTATACCATTTCAGCCCATGCTTATACCCATCAGGTATGGGGCTATAACATCCTCTTTATCCCTACATGAACTTTGGTTGGACATTCAATAATACATGAAAAAACAAAAAAATTAATGTAGATCCACCTTGTTGTCATTGGAATAACCTGATAGGTAACAAGCTGTAGGTTTCTATGACTACATGCTGTGTCTTTCTTCAAGATTTGGTTCATGATGACTTGTAGCTGTTGTACTCTCTGATCCTGCCTCAGGTCCTCGCCTCCTGCAATGTCAATAAAGTGAATAATGAATATGGATCATACATGTACCTACTGCCTGCCAGAGGAACAATATATTGTGGAGGCACAAGAAAAAAATGTTCTGTGTTGGAGGGTGTTCACTACAGAGAGGGTAATTTATACAGAAGGGTGTTCACTAGAGAGAGAGGGGCGTACACTAAATTAGGTTTTACTGCATGCACAAAACCTGTGTTCTTGTGTCAATATTGTAAAATCTGTTATACATGAAAACTGATGTGTTCAAACATTTCAGAATGCAATACCTCAAATGACATAATCAATGATATTGCTTTCATTGAATAGTGCAGTACTTTGTATTTTAGGATTGACCAATAACGCTAAAATCTATGTATTTCTCTGAAATGTGTACAGTATACATAGAATAGAAGTAAAGAATTAATACATGTATCTTAGAATAAATAGTACCGTGGGTACTGGGCTCACATTGTGTTGCTCAAAAGTGAATGATGGCTATAATGGCAGGTAATAAAAAATGGATATAATTTTAGCCGATTTTTTGTGACAAAATTATTTCATACAACTACTCTTTACAGTGTCATAGCTTTTTACAATGCAGGACACCTGAAATTATTTGTAAAGCTAGGAAATAGGCCAAAAGGGAATTTCACGAGAAAATAGCGACCATTTTGATAGGCGAGCTTTTGAACCAGGAGTCCACCCGTGTACATGTAGCGCAGTGGTAGTGCAGGTACCTCTTACGCAATAGGTCCCAGATTCGATCCCCAGTTCAGGCAAGACTAAATTTGCTTGTTTGCGTGAAGTACTTCAGGGTGTTTGACTGAGTGGTCTGCAACTCGTACAAAAGGCTGTGGTGTGTACTTGTATGTCTATGTATAAATGCACATAAAAGAACACAGGGCTCCTTCAAGGAGGGGTTTCTGGGTCTATCTTCCATGTTAATTACGTATATATACGGGACATACCCAAGAGGTATTGCTCACCTTCATTGGTGGTAAAACAAAATACAACAACAATAGGGGAGTTTTCTGTATTGATGTTGAACAAAAATAACTTAAAACAAGAATCCTGTTGACAGAGGTTTTACAATGGGCTAATTGTTGACAGACAGACGGACGGACGGACGAACAGACAGATGCACAAGTGAGTGATTGCAATAAAAAGGAGAGGTGAGGGGGTTGATCCTCATTTCTGATTTCAATATTTTAAGAATATTCTTTACCTTTAACAAGATATTTATGCTCCTTCTCATCACTGCCTCGTATGCTTATACGCCTAGGCCTGCGTATGGATGTTAGAACAAGGACCTAAAAACAATATGAAATAGTTTAGATCCAAGAGATAGAGTCAGTTATAAAACTGTTTAATTAAACATACATTTTTAATTATTGAAAAGCGGCATAAACATCATTATTCATAGCGCCTAAAAATCATTTGACGTCATATTGTTGTACAAAAAACCCAAAGAAGGTTTAAAATGTTCTCACCTTTTCCTCAAAGCCTGCTATCTTGGTGTGGTACTCAGGCATTGGCTTAGACTGTCCATCATATTGACCTGTAATGCAGCACTCAATCTTGACATTCATAAACATAAAATTCAAATGCAATGTCGAGGTCTATTTTAAGAAATAGCTGATATCACCAATCCGAAATGATGACAACACAGCACTTTAAGTACAACAATAATATAAACATGTTGCATTATCCGTCAACTTACCTGGTATTTCTAAAACGAGTGGTTTGTCTTGTTTTGAAAACTCCACGAACCACCTTGAGTATTCTGATAGTTTTTCTGGAGTATTCTTTTCCTTGAGTTTATCAGCCTTTGCTTGTATGTCCTGCAGTTATAATTGACATTCAAAGATTCATCAAAATTAAGCAAGGACAAGAAAATATATTATCATACATGTATTTCAGGTTGATAACAAAAATTGACCAGCAGCCCTGGAGTCCCTTTTAAAATGGCACATCATTGACAAAACTTGCTTTTTCAGAAGCATATTCTGTATTCAAAATAATGCACCACCAAAGGTGTTCCACTTCGACAGGTTTTAATGTAGTTTTAATGTTGACTCATAAAGTAGCATCTGAAAACTTCAAAGATATATTTGTTTTTGCCATTCATTTTAACTTTATTGTATCTTGAACATATTTTTGTATTTTCTTCTCAAATAGGAATGAAAACAAGTTATGTGATTTGACCATAGTTTGGGATACAAGGGTTTTGTTTTCGATATGACTTAAAGTGCTCATGAATGTATGTTTAAAATAAACAAGAATAACAACACTGACCTTCAAAGGCATGTTCTTTATGAGTTCAAACTTTTTTCCAAACAGTTTATCTGCTTCTTTTTTAAATTCCTGAAACAAGGAAATAAATTGTACTACTACTAAATTTATGAAAAACTACAAATAAAGGAAATGATATAAATTGCTCAATATTTATTTGATAACAAGTATATATACATATGGTAGAAAATTCAAATATCTGTGTGAAAAAACTGGTTTCATACATACATACATGGTATATATGTAAGTTCCCAGCATTCATTAAAAGCCTAAAATAAACAAAATACATCTAATAAAGAATAGTTATTTCCTTACAAGTGCAAAAGTGGATCGATAATGTCCAAGTATCATTGGCATTGGGTCCTCCCTAGCTTCACTATCACTGTCATCATCATACAGGTCTTTCTGACTTGATGACACATCTGGTCTTTCCTTTTTAACATCAGCTACAGTAGTAAGTAGTTGTTCATATATCTCCTTATACAGGTTCACAGCATTTTCTTTGGTCATATCCCTTCTTTTCAAAAGATCAACAAAGTCCTTCAAATAAAGAAATCATGGTATTATCAAAGCATGAGGGAAGGCTTCATGACAAATGTTGCCATCTGGTTGATTTACAAAAAAAGTAGCCATTTATGATAGATGCCATTTTCAAGTAAGGTCAAGCGCCATAAGGAAAAAGAGCCATAAAAAGCATTAAACAATATTCCCGCATTACTGGTTATAGGATCTCTACATAATGGTCTAGGAACATACAATGAAACAGTTGAACAGGAGATTTGGTTGTCCAAGTTGACTCAGGGCTTGTATCAGTAGTGTGGCTTGGTCTTGGGATGCTGTGGAGGTGGCTCTCTTCAGCAAAGCAGAAATTCTAGAATAAATATAACAAAGCACATAGAATGAGATTTTAACCTAGACAAGCTTATCCCTTGCCTTCTAGAACTCCTGTTATTTTTACATACTGAGTAATACGATATAGTGTATTTACATCATTCCAGCTACATGTACATAAACTCAATGCTCAGAAAGAACTTAGAAAGTCCATGATGTCTATGATGATCATTTTTGTGATGAATGCAAAGGCTAAAGGCCAATGCCTGCCTAAGTGTCTATCATGACCCATTTTGGAAGAATATAAAAACAAGCACCTATTGGATACAACTTGACTCTTCTTGCCAACAGCTGAATCCTTGAAACTGTAACCCTCTCGTGTGATCCTAAATGGATAGACCAATGCCTGGAAGTATTCAAGAGCAACAGTGTTACATTATACAGCTTTACAAACTTTGAATCAAAGAATGCCAAGGGTATCTATATGATGACAGTTAACACATTAGTACTTAATGGTCAATGTTGTGTATTCACACATCCTAGTTTTCTGCATGAGAAAAATGCAAATTCTGCACAGAAATTCTGCATGAAAAAGCCAAATTCTGCACCAAATTCTGCATGAAATCTTAAATTCTGCGCCAAATTCTGCACGGGGAAAAGTGAAATTTTGTGGTACAAGTATGTGCAAAAAGTGAAATTCTTGCTAAAATCAATAATTTTCTCCAAAAAATAAACAATTCTTGAACTCAACTCATGTTTCTTTATTCAGCGATAATGGACAATTGCAGTAATAACACCAGATGCAATGTTAATTAGCGACAAAACTTACCAAATGTTCACTTGTAAACTATCACGAAATTCGAACTATCACGAAATTCCAGATCAATATGCAGGGAATTCAGATGTCGTCTATTTATATAAAACGCAAGAAGAAGCATGATTATTTGCGTTAGAATACTATAGAATACAATATTAGACATATTATTGCAAAACAATCACGAGGACTGTCATTGGTTTCAAATTTCGTGATTATGTTAGACGCAGTCTTACCTCTAAGTGCAAAGGCGGAAGTTCGAGATTTAAAACAGATTTCAGATTTCCTCTTGAAAATCTGACAAAACACAAGTATCTCACAACAAACGAGCGGAGTTTTTTGGTGTTTAGGTGAGTGACAAATATGAGATGAGATGGTTGACTGGAAAAATCATGTTTTCCGCGAAATTCCGTGCCAAAACAAAAATTCTGCAAAAAATATGAAAATGCAAATTTCTGCGGTTTTTCTGCGGCGATGCGGAATCACGGAATACTAGGATGAGTGGATGTGGGGTGTATATGTGTACATGTTATTTACCACAAGAATTAATTGATAACTACATGTAACAGTATACAAATAGTGACTGCCATTGAGGGCAATAGTGTAAATTATTTCCCCGAGGGAATATCCTCTACAATGTACTATTCCCGAAGCCGCAGGCTGAGGGAATAGTATATTGTAGAGGATATTCCCAAGGGGAAATCATTTACACTATTGCTCGAAATTAGGCAGTCACTATTTGTTTTATTATATACCCTATACTGACTCTTGTCCCGTTTCCTCTGCGAAGGCCAAAAAGGCTTAGAAAGCCCCCTCCCCGGGTCCATTGTTAGCATTATAAGCTGTGACGTCATTAGATGCTCAACAGAAATTTTTGCCTCTGAGACTCTCACTTGACAAATTCAATCGCGTTTAACACGCGGAATAGATTATCATAACACTATAACACTTGAAATTACACAGACGTATTGAGCTTAGGGAACTTTATACACGTTGCTTATATTGTATCGTTCACGCACGTCTGTCATGGTGAACGGAGTTGATTTGTGTTTGTGCTCATCCTCCATTTTTCTGTTTTTCGTCTGCGCAGTGATGATGAGCAGACGTTTCCAAGGGTAATAGAGCTTGCAATTGTGACGTCAGCGGGCAATAGTTCAAATGTATATTCCCGCTGACGTCACATTTGAGGGAATATAACTTTCCGAGGGAAATAGTAAATCTATTTCGGAACACGTGACTAGGTATTGACCAATCAGGATTAGTGTTACATGTTGGGTATATAATAATACTAACTGAACAAACAGTAAAGTCTTACATGTGGATAGTGTTTGGCTATATCTTCCAGTATATTCCATACTGCAGGAGCCTCAGCCTTGTCCATCACTGCCACCATCTGCCCCAACCATCCAATGAACATCCAGCAGGGCACTTCAGACACCTAATATAACAAAGAATGAAAGGGATAAGGAGAGAGAAAACTGAACACTTTTAACAAATTAAATTACATTATAACAATAACAAAGTTACAATGGTCATTCACATGGACCATCCAATCTAAGTGACTATATTTATTCAGCAACTGTTTCACAAAGCTTATTGATATGAAAGAGACAATAGACCAACTCTAACACACAGAAACATACATTTTATGACCATTCTCTTACCAGTCCTTTAAACAGGCTCATTGTATCAGGATAGAGCATAATGAGCTGTAAGAGTCGCGGGAACCTTTGACGAGCTTCGTCACAATTCAATTTCATGGCACATAAGGTGGACGTCATTATCTGTTCAGGGAATGCATTGAATGAGCCACATTGGACTTCAGGTTTAGGATCTGTTGTGTAGAATAAAGTAAAAATCAATGGTTTTCCATGAAACTTAAAATGTTAGGAGGTTTACTATAAACACATTGAGATTCATTATTGGAAATACACACACGCCAACTGATTCCATTATATTTAATATTTGAGAAGCTACAAAAACAGAGAGGGTTTGAGCCTTCATAAATTAGTTTAATAAAAAGCACTGATATGTTGACACAACAGTGAAATGAATATACAGTTCTTACCTGATTCTTGCTTTCTTATGAATGTATCACAATATCGCACAAGGGACATGTGTGCTTTCGCTACATCATCCTGGTTCGACTTTGACATCGCAGAAGTATCTTTTGAGTCTTCTAGGGACTTCTTAGCATGTCTATAGCCAGACTCTATCAAACTGCTGCAGATCTAATTAAACAAGTAGGCCTATATACATTTAGTTAAGGTAGATACTGTATAACATATAATGAAATCAAATCTTAGAAAAATGAGACAGCAAACATAGCATATTAAGTATCTATGCAGTAAAATTTGTTGGAGACTTAATGTTATCATTATAATCTTCAAAAGTATTTTAAGCCCATTTAAAAAAGATAGCTGGTCCAAAATAAAAGAAAATTTGGGATGGAAGCCCGGCCCCTTTAGATCCCTTTTAGATTTTCCAGTGCAATGCATCACGTCAGCTAGGTGGCTTATTTGGCATGTGTTTTTTATGGATCATTTTTGCATCATTTAAGACTGAAATTGGGTGCACAAACAAGTGTAATATATATTCAAAAATCAGTATGAAAACTAAATTTGTACAAAAGTGTTCCTGAACGCCTAAATGTGTCAGGAACGCAGAGACAAAAGGCTTTGAGTGGACAGCATCACCAAGTTACATGTATCTTAATTACTTCCACATTATGATTCAATGAGTCTTGTAATCAGTTATATGGCCCTAGTAGTGGTAATTAAAAATGAAATCTAAGTTCTTGCCTGGTTTCCTTATCAGAGACATGATTAGAATGGCACACAGCAAAAAGGTGGAAACAGTGAAACTTGTTAAGTGGAACACCTCTGTTAGTGGAACACTTTTCTGAGTCCAAAGAACATCTGACTTAATGCTAAATGAACCTCTATAGGTGAAACACCTCCCAAGTGGTACCAAAGGTGTTCCACTTAGACAGGTTATGCTTGTACTTTAATATCTTACATTTACTTTTATTTGGTGTGATATTACAAACTAAATAGCAAAATAAGGCAGCAAAAGTATGCATTAATATGTGTTTCTCTTGTCAACAATGAGTGGCAGTTCCTCTAGAAGGATAAAAAGTGATAATTAGTGAAAATTCACAATTTTGAAATGCAAAAGTATGCCAAATGCAGCACATTAGAAATGTTATACTGTCAGCCTTTTTGGTCAAATCTGAATTAAATTTAATAAATTAAAATTTTGAGAATTGCATTTTTAATTTAATCAAAATTGATCAAAAATGCACAAGACATATTTCTAATGTACATGTATGTTTGCTGTTAACATTACAGTAGTATATATATATTATGGACAAAAGGCACTTTTTCAAAAATGCCAAAGTTTTTATACCTCTTCAAAAGAATTCTTTTTGGAGCCAGTCAAGGCTGTAAGTTTCCCAATCTCTTCATCATCAAATGGTCTCATACTTCCAGATTGCAAGATAGTAGAGGCAGCCATCTTGAAACCCCTAGAGACAAGCATATGGTGCCCCCTCTTGAGGTGAATATCAGAACTAAGAATTTCAAACCGGCAATGGTTTACTGAAAGTAAAACATTAATATGATTATTCATTTCTAATAAATATTCAGAGAGATTTATTGAAATGAAATTACTGACAATTGGTGTCATAAAAATTACCATATCTTAATTCTAATTATTAAGAAATATATTTTAAGAAACATGCAGAAATAGCTACAATGATACAGTATGCATTGTATCCCAAAATACATTTTCATATGGCAATAACTCAAGATAGTTTCAGTGTTACGGATTAATTATACTCATATATTTCAGACTTATTGAGATGTGGGATAATTATTTGCTTACATGTGCAGCAAAACCATATCAAAACGTAAAATGAACACTTGTTAATGCTATTCTGTGATAAACTACCCCCGGGAACATATCCTGTAACAGCACAAGTACCATAGGCCATGGGAACATACTGTATCTAAAAGAATCGAGTCGAGATCTGTACTTTTAAGAGCTACAGATCTCGACTCCATTTTATAGACATGTTACCGGGGCCTACATGTATGATAAGTACACATAAAAACACATGAATCACTTACATAGCCTGTCTAATGTTTTGTGGAGTTCTGTCAAGTTGTCTTGTTCAGGACTGGCATTTGATTCAATGGTGTTCATCTTCATCTGGGCAAATATATGATTCCATCTTAGTGCATTCTCTTCACTACTCTGGCCAAGAGACTGTTAATAGAAAAGAAATAATGGGAATGATAATATGGTCTTTAAGATAATAAAAAACAAATCTAACAATTTTAAATTTGAGCCAAGGTCTCCCAAAGGGTCAAAGAATGTTCATATTCATATGATTGATGATGGCTCAGACAAAAACTCAGTATATCATGGGGCTTTGAATAATAATTAATGCTTTTAATAAGTTTGATGAAATGTGTGTAGCTGAGTAGTCATCCAATGTACGTGCTACAATTTGTGACACCCATTTCACTTTATTTAAAAGATTTTTTTTTAAAAAGTGACATTTTTTTGGCCAACCATTATGTACTTACATTACGTGTTTCTTTCAATATAGCCAGTGTGACTCCTCTGTTGTTCTGCTCCATTGCACTGCTGGCTTGCGCCAATCGGAATGTCATGGACGCCTCTTTCACCAAATCCTTAATGTTGCAACCCCTATCTTCTAGTTTACCTTCTAACAGTCTCAGGTATGCACATCTGAAAAGAATTTGATTGGATATTTAAAATGTTTGGATTATATAGACTACAACAAATTGCCTGTACCAATATCCATTTGAGATTACATTTTTTCTTTCATTGACATAATGGTTCTGCGTGCGTGGTAAGTATTGGATTCAGGTTGGATCTGGGGGATAATGTAACAATTTACTGAGGAAAGCTTTTGATGATTTGATGACAGGTGTGAAATGAGAATGAGTGTGAAATGAGTACGGGTGTGAACAAATTAATGTATGATTTCAATAATCAAAATTATTAGATCAGTAAAATTTATTTGATGTTAAAACAGCGGAATGACTTCTGATCATAATCCTTTTATCCAAATTTAACTTTATAACAAGTATGTGGAGATTTGGGTTTTACTGACCTATTTGTGATGACATCATCCCATACTCCAGAGGGGTCATTTAGTACACTAGGACTTCGCTCCTGCCATCTGTTGAGCAATCGCTTAAAAGGCTCTTTACTTTCAAAGTTACCTGGTAAAAAACATTTGATGCTCACACTGGTTTCACTATATTTTATATACTGCTGATCAGGTTGATGCTCTTAACAGTACATTCTGGTCTAGTTGTTATAAATATCTGCTTACATGTGGTGTGTATACATGTATTTGTGTTGATTGTAAAATAAAATTTAAAAAACTAGTACAATAGATACAGGGCTCGCATAGTGCGAGTGCTTTCAAAAGAGCGCCACTTTTAAGATGTGCAAAAAGTGTTCCTTTCACAATAAGATGCCTCAAAACCTGTAACTAATTGCACCACTCTCTAGAAGTTGAATAAAACAGAGAAATATTTACTTTCATGTGTGATGAACTGCAGATATTCTTGCATCTCAGTGAGGCGGTGAACCTGGTGAAGCTTAGATGATCTGCTGGAGCGCATCAGAACATCCATAGCACACCAATCCTGAAATATAATGGCAAATACATGTAAGAATAGCACACCAATCCTGAAGTATAATGACAAATAAAATTAACACACCAATCCTGAAGTATAATGACAAAAATTAAGAATAGCACACCAATTCTGAAGTATCATGACAAATAAGAACAGCACACTTAAATCCTGAAGATCACATAATTAATGAGAATTCTCTAAAATAAATTCATTATCTTTAATGTCTCTGGAGCAATCACCTTTTCCTTTTAGGTGATCCATGATCAGAAAATATTCAATATTCAAGTTAAAATTATCTGAAATTGTTTGCGATAACCTACATGCTCCTTCCAAGCAGTAATATTCAATACTTTGGTTGGAAATGAAAACTTAGATTTTCGTGAAAAATCACCACACATTCATAAGTGGAACACTATTTAGAAGTATCAAAGGTGTTCCACTTCAACAGGTTTTCCAACAGTCTGTACCTGTATAAAGGCTTGTTCTGCAACAGAAGCATAATGTCTGGCCCTGTCATCCTGTTCATTCCACAGATACATCATGGCTAACTCCTCACAGTAGTAATTCTGTAAAACAAGAACAATTGAATAACACATGATATAATCTCGATCATGAGCTGTCACAATTAATGGCCTTCAGAGAATTTATAACTCCATTTTCCTCAAAGATTGCCCTCTTTTTGGGACCTTCTTCAGTTTAAATATTAGCTTTTTTCCAAGAAATATTCTATTTTTGACCAGTCATAGCATTGGTATGGTATTGGTCCTATATTTAGAGATTTGGTATGGCATTGGTCATATACATGAGCATTTTGACAATATATTGGTTGGTATGGGAACACATCCAAATTTGACATTTTGGTATGGGAATATATTGATATCTGAGGGTTCAGCCAAGGACCCCCGCCAAATTTTGTACACAGTGAACCCCCCAGGCTCTAGCTAGTCCCAAATAAAATAGACATGCAAGTTTTAATAGCCAATAGCTATCCTGTTAAATAGCAAGTAAATTACCTCAAGAAGGTTTTTCCTATCTGGGTGATTCATTGCATTGTTGACAAAATCAAGCAGATCCTGCTGTTCCCCTCCAGTTTGGCAGATCATCTGTTTCACCTTGCTACGCAGCACAAATGGCAAATAATACTCCTAAAACAGACACATAAGGGACATTCAAGAAGTTCAGCACAAATACTGTGTGGTGAACTATAAGAATAGTTAATCAATTGTGTTCATATTTATTAAAATTTGTCTTTTATTTTAAATTTTATAGTTGCTACTGTAACCAAGATGGTTACATTTAGAGATGTTTTTCATCAATGGATTTTCATAAAAACATTAAAAAATAAAATTAATCTGAAATCCAAGGCCCAGCCAGCTCACACCATAGAGCTGATATTGAACACATATTATGACACTGTAGGTATTATGAAATACATCCCATGTGCTACTTACCTGATAGTATGTATCATCCCAGATGTTATCAAGTCGTGGTGGATCATTATCATCTATCTGCTCTGTACTGACCTCCTGCAGTTTCTGCCATTGTGTAAGATGGTCATAGCACTACAATAAATCATAGCACCACAATAGATCATAGCATTACAATAGATCATAGCACTACAATAGATCATAGCACTACAATAGATCTTTCTACTATAAAGAAATCAGTTTCTAGATAAATGGACAGATGATTGCAATAGTTTTGATCAGACGAAACAGTAAATAACGAAAGTACATTTTCATATATTTAGTGACCTACTCTATATATGACATTTTTGTAATAATGCTTGGTCTTTTGTATGGCCATATATACGAGGCCTGATCAGAAAGTAAATAACCAACTGCCCTTATTTCTTCATACTTTATTCAATCACATTGAAATTTTCACAGATGATGTAGAAAATATTAACCTATTGAAGGAGACCAAGGACAATGGGTTAGTGTCAATTCCATTGTTATTGCTGTTGCTATGGTGACGATTGTTTTGGGTAGGTGGGGCACCCTGTTTTTAGTGGCGTTATAAGATAATTTGTAGAGTTTTTCTACATGTTGTAATACCTCCAAAAATATCAAATTCAAATGTAAAAGGCTACATTTTAACGCATAGTCCTTCAAATTAATCGCCACCAAAGTCAATGCAGTTGAGGCAATGTTTCACTCCGTATTAAAGAAGTGCAACATGGCACCAGTCAATGACTGCAAACTGCCATTGAAAGCTTTAATGATGGCCTTTTTGCTACCCAAGCGGTCTCTCGGTAACAACATCTTTGCATTTGGAAAGAATTTAGTCACATGGGGCCAGGTCTGGGGAATAGTGAGCCTGGGGTAGTTGTGTGGCCATGGAAAAGGCTTAATCTACTGTATCTTCTGTAATGTTGGCTCTGTGGAGGTGGACCATTGTCATCATGCCACTAAAATCCACTAAAATCCCTCTTCAACAACATTTGACTGCATTGAAACTGTGACAGTATCATGACCATCATTATGACAGATATACCCATGATATCTTTGTGTCGATGACATATAAATGAGACAATGGAGCGTAGTAACCATTGTTATAATACATAAAACAAATTATTCAGTCTTGCATAAAAAAATGTTAGGTCATTTGGAGGAAAACAGCATGTAAAAAACTCTACAAATCATCTTCCAAAGCCACTTACGAAGGGTGCCCCGCCTACCCAAAACAATCATCACCATAGCAACAGCCGTAACAATGGCACTGACGCTAACCCATTGTCCTTGGTCTTCTTTAATAGGTTAATATTTTCTACATCATCTGTGAAAATTTCAATGTGATTGAATGAAGTATGAAAAAATGAGAGCATTTGGTTACTTACTTTCTGATCGGGCCTCGTACATATGAACTGTAGATACATACTATGGTGCTATGAAGATATTCTCAACTACCATTGTTTAGCCACACTAACATCTCACTGAAGATGACCATATATGGAGATGACCTACCTGAAGTCTGTTGTTGTCCCATAGATCTTTCTCAGCAGAACTTGGTGCCTCATCCCCAGGCCAATCTTCTTGCTCCAAAGCCTGGAAGATGCAAAATGATTATGATGTTACTGGTAATATAACACCTTCATCAGGTTACAGTGACTTATTTTTGAATAAGGTTATTTCATTAGAAAATAAAATAAGTATAAAAAAAGGAGACATTGTCCTCATCACACAGTCCTAAGAATGTCTAAAGACACCATGTTATCTTTTACACATTGATTTTTTAGTTTCTTTTAACGCTTATTTAAATTCTTAATTAAAAAAACATACCTTGTTATATTCCTTTGCAGCAGCCAAGTAGTCGCCACGGGCCTCTAGCATAAGTGCATTCTGGGTAATATTTTGAGTGCCGATCTTACCACCAAATATACCATGTAAAACATCATACTCTTCCAAAGACCTATAAAGCCTGCAAGGTAATGCAAAATCACTATTGTCATTTGCCATAACATGTATTTTCCTATAAAATAAAGATCAAATCCTATAACCAATACTTAAAAAATTAAAAAATAAAAACATTCATGGAATTAAATGGTGGCCATTTTTAATTCTGTGGCCATCTTGAAAGCTGAGGTAAGGTAAGGTAAGGTAATAAAGCCTATAAGATATTTGCCAATAAAATTAAGATCAAATCCTATAAACAATATTTAAAACATCGAAAATTAAACATATTCATGGAATTAGATGGTGGCTATTTTTAATTCTGTGGCCATCTTGAAAGCTGAGGTAAGGTAAGGTAAGGTAATAAAGCCCATAAGATATTTGCAAAATAAAATAAGATCAAATCCTACAAACAATATTTAAAATATCATAAATTAAACATAATCATGGAATTAGATGGTGGCTATTTTGAATTCTGTGGCCATCTTGAAAACTGAGGTCATATGCCCAAACGGCCAAAAGGCATCAACATATAAAATATGAACCAAATTTATTTACTGGTATTTTATTGGCCAAATTGAAAAATAATTTAATTCAGTACCCATCCTATCACTGGTATTTAAGTTCTCAAAAACACATTTTTTCATGACAAAATGGCGACCAAGAATTCAGGAGCTGACTTGAAAACCTATTCTTGAACAAAGGTCCTAATATACCTATAAGGAATTAATCTATAAACTCAATCTGTTAGCCAGTATATGAGTTACATGTATCACAGTTACAGACAAAAGGCTTCTTTATATATGGGAAAATTATGTGCACAGGTTTCTTCTTGACCCTTGACTTAAACATTATTCTCTCCTATTTAATTTTCCAAGGTTTTTAACTAAGTCTAAGTCCATTCTGACGCAATTTAAAGATCTTTAAAAGTTGATTTCCTCTTTTAAAGGAAATATTTGATAAAGTCAGCTTTTACACATTACAATTGATATTATGGCATTATCAGAACAACTACTGCCATCTATTTCTCCATCTATTACATAAGTCATCTATTTGTTTAACATGTTCCTTTGGTGCAAGAGGCCACATGTTTGATTCCTGGTTCAAATGAAAATATGTATTGTATTTATTATACTAATGAATGTATGGGTGGTGGTCAACAAGTCCCTATTTTTTAAAGCAGTCGGGTGTGCTTGTAATGTGTTTCAGATAGGCTACAAGTGATAGAAACAATGTTCATAAAAAGATGGAAGTGAAATTAACCTACATGTTATCATGTTTTCAAAATGTCCAAAATTGGTTGCAATACTTTCCCTCCTCCTTTACACCACGTTGATCCAGTTCATGTATATGGTTTTGTTTTTAGTACACAATGATAAAGTCCATCTGATTAAGACTCATAAATAAACTGAGATAATGTGAGGCACTGTTTCTTACATGTTTCAAAAGAACTACCACAGACATTGTCACATAGACCCAATTAAACATCTATTTACCACATGTGTACTTTGCATGTCTAGACAGATTACATTTTAATGCAAACATATACAAAAAGTAGGTTGCAATAAGGTGTAAACTAAATTTAAACACAATTAATCTTGTAATAATAATTAAATTTCATTTTGAGCACAATATGGGAGGGCAATGTGGAATCAAACTAAACAATGTAAATGCACCTGTGCACCTGTTAACGGTAACAATTAGTGTTGTCGCGATGTGCCATAATCGTACATCGATGCATCAGCAATTTTCAGGAGTGAACATCGATGCACATCGCGATGTACATCGAGAAAAAGTCAGAGAAAAGTGCACTGAAATACCGAACGCTAATGCACTAAAATACCGAACAGAACAAATTAATAAGAGTACGCTGGTACATCCGGGAACTTCTAGTAACGGTGAAATGAAAGTAAAAGTAATTTTCTTAGATTAATGGTTCATTTCGACTAGCTAAAGCAGTTTTGAAGCGAAAGAATATCAGAAAACATTGGAAAATGAAATAAGTCATGAGAAAGGTAAGCGATTTGCGTCAAAATAAGATAAGAAAGGGTGATTTTTAGCAAATTAAATTTTTTTTAAAAAACATCGATGTTTTGTTTCAGACATCGATGCATCGCCAGAATCAGCTTTGGCGATGTATATCGCGATGTATCGATTAATCGCGACAACACTAGTAACAATGTGCATATAATCCAGGTTCATCACTCATGATTTGTGAATCATGGGTTTAAAGTGCTCACACAGCTAGATTCAATAACTGTTTTCCCATACCAGATTCTGGCAACATGTTACACAAAGTAACCTGTTTACCAAAGCTTGAAAAAAACTTTTAACGCCATTAAGTCTTCAGGAACTGAACTCTATTTTTTTAACTCAAAATGTTATAGGGAAGAATTGACGAAGTACATACAGGGTAGGCTATACTGTATTTGCTTCATCTTTTCTCTTGTTTTCTCATTTCAAGTACAAATCAGCAGTTTGATTAGCAGCAGGCAACAGAATAGCATGTTTTGAAAAATGTTCCAACTGTTTCCATGCTAAAATTAAAAGTATAATATCCAATAATTCTTTCTAAAGCTTTTACTATTTACCTCTTTTCAGAAATTCTATTGAAAACAATAACAAACTGATCTAAACGTCATCCCAATTTATACCTTAATGGGGGCCCCCTTAATTAGACCAAGTAGACTTTATTACCATATCATATTATTTGATAGGTCATATTATCATTTATATCATTAAGTACACTTACATTACATGTACACGTAGATCATATAAGTACAAAAATCTCAAGTTCTAAAAGATGAACAAGTGTAACATGTGATAAAAGGCTATTGCCTGGATAATGCATCTAAATATATCTAAGATATTCTCAAAAAGAGCTGAAAACCTGATTTTTGCGCATTAAAAATGGCCGCCATTTTGAAACAAGGCGAGCTTTTGAGACACCACTTATAGAACAATTGATGGCCTTATGTAGACACATTTTAAAAATGAAATCGTTCCAATTGTTGTGGAGGATTTCGAATTAGCAGACAGACAGACAGACAGACAGACAGACAGACAGACAGACAGACAGACAGACAGACAGACAGACAGACAGACAGACAGACAGACAGAGACAAGTGGGTGATAACAATAGCTCACCCATGTGAGCTAATATGTCAGCAGCACTCCAGAGTAGCAAATACCATTGAACATAACATATTTTATCAAATCAATAGTCATTTTGGACATTACATGATAGAAACTATAAATCAGCAGCTCCGCAGAGTAGCAAATCCCATTGAACATTCTATGTCATTTTGAAAATGGCGTGATAGAAATAATCTGGAAGTACTTGAGTTACTTTTTGTCTCATTTTGGTAAAATCTACACCCATGATGTGTGAAGCTGTATAATACACATACATATCATCATATTAAATTCCTTCTTGAAGTCTTGTGACCAAAAGGCATTAGAAAATGAAATTTGGACCAAATCTGGTCCAAAAAATTAAAATTTTCTTGAGAGACTTTAAATTTTGAATTTCTTTTGATAGAGTCCTACACCAATAAAGCATTGGCACATAAAACCTGAAATAAATCTGACAATTGGTATTTTGGTACAAAAATATTTTTTAAAGAAATAAGGTGGCTATTCTGAATTCAGCAGTCATAATATAAAAAATATCAGAGCTGATTTCACCAGATTTTTGACAAAATCCCTCAACTGGTATTTGAATTATCAAAGAATACAATCTTTAATGAAAAATGGCAGACATTTTGAATCAAGTGGCCATATTGGATATCTCTTTTTATGCAGAGGTCCTATATTCCTTATGCATCAGCATATAAAATTTGAAAAGTGGAAGTTATCAAAAATTACATTTTCAGGAAAAATTGCATCTATTTTGAAATTCAGTGGCCATCTAGAAAATTCCTTCTTAAGGCATCAGCATATAATGTGAATTAAGCCATTAACTTGTATTCAAGTCATCAGATTTTACAATATTTTTTAAAAATATTTTAGCATTCAAAATTACATTTTTAAGGAAAAATGGCAGCCATTTTGAATTGAGCAGTCATATTGAAATTTCCAGCAGAGGTCCTCTATTATCAGCCTATAAAATTTGGACCAAATCTGTCAACCAGTATTTGAGTGATGGCCTGGACAGACGGATGACTTTTCTATCTTCTTAGCAGATTTCATTTGGTGGGATAATGAAGGATTGTGATTCACTGACTTAAAAATACATGCAAAATATTACTTGACTACCAAACAGAGCACAAGGTGCCATGGAATTATAACTGTTTATAAGTGATAATAGTGGAACTACCAAACACAAACACTGATCATAATGGATGTAAGGTTTATTTTTCTGGTGGTGGTGTTGTGTATCTACAATGCAGGAAGAGTGAGAGCATCATGTGATTGCAAGCTTAGCGCTACTTCCAAACCAGTTGCACCAGAGATCATCAACTCAACATTGGATGCACAAGAAGCCAATATCAACAGGTATTTTCTAGTTCAAAGTCATAGAATTATATACTAACCCATACACACAATATTACTTTACAGGGTGATAAATAAATAAGGTAAAAGTACATGTATCTAGCATTTGTTTTGGACTCTGAACAAGGATCATGAACTTAAGTGCAGAACTTCTCTTTAGAACATAATGAGATTTAAAAATTCAATTAATTTGATAAATACCAATCAAATTGACACTTCAACAACATTATTATCATATATTTTATATCTAACACTAATTTGGATGTTAGATCATAACCAAAAGGATCACAAATATCAAATGGCTACAAGGTTTATTTTGGTGGTGGTGGTGGTGTTGTGTATCTACAATGCAGGAAGAGTGAGAGCATCATGTGATTGCAAGCTTAGCGCAACTTCAAAACCAGTAGCACCAGAGATCATCAACTCAAGACTTGATGCACAAGAAGCCATTATCAACATGTATTTCTAAATATTTTAAAGATCATTTATAAAGTTATAGAATTGAGTAACATAAGATGTGAAACATCTTTTTTAATATCAAATTTGTAAAACATTTCATCATTTTATAAGTACATTGTATGTGTATTTCAAACTGATACAGTACAAGATTGTATTACCAAAAAGGAGCCACTTCTGCCAAGGTGTAGCAAACGCAACCAAATGCCTTATCAAGTGACTGCCATGTACATGTATATGGCAAACATTTTTAAAGAAATTATATATCAAATCAAATCATTACCTTTCAGTTCATGAAAATTGATTCAATATTGGACAAAAAGTATTCTTTAACAAACTTCCATATATAATTTAGAATCAAAGAGAAGTACAAAAAGTTACAACAAGACAATCAGGTAAAACTTGAGCGATTAAAGAACTCCAAAAGAGATGGTGAGCATGCAACAGATATAGTATATACAGAAGGTATGAGTCAAGGTCTAATACTCTAAAAGACTGTCACTGTATTATTTCCTAATTGTGACATCAATCTTTTCATGTTATTAATTACCTTACGACACCAATGCATTTAAAGTAGGACCCTTGAAACCAGCCTGTGAGTTACATCAGTTATTATATCTCCAGCAAATCAATGTTCAATGTACTTTTCTTTCAAATATTGGTGGCCATTTTGAAATCTGTTGGCCATCTTGAAAATCTCTTCTTGAGCAAAGCCTCTTTGTCCTAAGGCATCAACATTTAAAATTTGAACCAAATCCATCATCTAGTATTTGAGTTATTAAAGATTACATTTTTTTATAAAAATGGCAGCCATTTTGAATTGAGTAGCCATATTGAAAATACCTTCTAGAGCAAAGTTTTCTGAAAAACATTTTTATATTTTTCAGCAGACTTCACGCAGTAGTATTGACCTTTTTCTGTGCCAGACACATTTCATTTGCAGGAATCATAATTTCATCTGGCATTGAATGATTTATTTCCTTTCAATTGAAAGGGATTATATATGATTGAATTAAAAAAGGGTATTTCAATGAAAACAATCTGTTACATCACTTTAACATCCTTTGCATCCTCTATTTAAGTCATCAGCATATTTAGAACTTGGATTTCGAGACTTGATTTTGTCTATCCCACATCATTTGAGACTGAATGTTCTTTTATGAGTGCTGGTATCTGCAACTATTTTTGATGTTATGAGTATTGGCTATCAATTTTTCCTTCAACATGTATTGTAATGACTATAGTATGAATGAAATGCCTCTTGGTGTTATCATCCTGAATTGGCTCTCAGTTGGAGGGGAAGGGGGTTGTAGACATTATTTCTTTCTCAGGTTAGATCATGCTTTGAGGATAGAGTCTATTTTTCTTATGATAGGTTTACACTTAAAGTTTGCTTTTCTTGCTAGCTTTTTTCACAGTTTTTGGTCCTTTCCCTTTTGCCCTCGTGCTTAGATATTGATATCATAACAGGATCATATTTTAAGTATTATATACTATCTAGTCCATTACATTATCTGAACTCTGTTACAGGGCTGTGATGGGATAGTGGACTGATTAGATGGGTCTGACGAGGCTAACACAACATGCGGTAAGTTTAAATTTCCAAAATTCAAAACTGATCAGACAAGAATTGTACAAAGGAATAAAACACAATTCAAAATCTGTGATATGAACTCACGCCTGGTGATCATACAAAATGAATGGAGGGGGATTAGGTGATCTCTGCAAGAAAACTCAACAAATTTGGAAGATTTATTTTTTCAAGAGAAAATTTACAACTGAATTGCCAAATGAATAGGTGCAGTGCATGGCAAAATATGTTAGGTCATCTAGTATTTTTTTTGAACTGATACCCTTCAAAGATATGAGATCTATTAAAAAGGCGCATTATCACCAACGTGCAAAAGTCAATGTTTTTGCTATAATGGTCTACACGACCTGTAATAAATAGGTATAAGGGACATTATATCACAATACTAATGACATTGCTCCCTTTTTAAAGTTAGTTTCCATGCATTATACAAAATATAATCAAATGAATTAATATTGGATGGAGGGGGTGTTTATAAATTTTTCAAGGTCAAATTCCAACTTATACCAAACGATTATCCCTAAAATCATCTATCAAATATTCAGGGGTTCACATATGACCTTAAATTTTAGATTCAACATTTTATTGACCTTCTTAAGGTCAACCAGAATAACGGCAATGCCAAAGCATAGCAAATCCCATCGAACAGAAATGGCTGGTATTTTTACATTTGAAATATATAGCAAATATTATAAAATAACACCCATAAGAAAGGCCACCATTTTCAAAATGGTTGATCACTAGCCAAGTTGTCATGAGAAGAAGTAATATGGAAGCCACATATAAAATTCTTAAAAAATCGGCAATGCTGGCCATTGGTCACGTACTACCCAAAATGTCATAAGACAGTATGCAATCCTTACTAGTATTCACATATCAAATTCTATTATTTTACTGCTCTATTACTTTTTGAGTTATTATAAAAAATGTAAAATAACGCACATAAAACCGGTGGCCATTTTTCAAAACAGCCGACTACTCCATAAAGTTTTATTAGACAATGTACCATGCTTAAAGTATTCACATATCAAATATGACCAAAATCACTCCAACACTTTTCAAGTCATAAAAAACGTGAAAATTACAGCCATTTTTTAAAATGGCCGCTTACTACTGGAAGTGTCATGAGACAGTGTGCAAGGCTCATGAGTATTCACATATCAAATATGAACAAAATCGCTCTACTACTTTTCAAGTTATAGTAAAAAATGTACAAATGGTGGCCATTTTTCAAAATGGCCGCCTACTACCCAAAGTGTCTCAGACATTGTGCCATGCTTAAAGTATTCACATACCAAATATGAACGAAATCGTTCCACTACTTTTCAAGTTACAGCAAAAATCGTAAAATGACGTGCAAATGCAGCCATTTTTCAAGATGGCTGCCATGTATTTCTTCTATATTTACATTTCTAGCTTAATCAATGTTTTATAAAACTTTTTTACATTTAAAACATATTGCTATCACAGTTTTATATACAGTGCCTTAATTACTGTAAAATCGGCACTAAAATGGCCGCCTTTTTTTTGAGCGGCCATTTTGAAAATCAGTCTTCGAGCAGAATATCTATTCCCATTTGGTATATGTGTACAGAATATGAACAAAATCGGGTCAGCGGTATTTGAGCTATTGCCTGGACGGATGGACGGACGGATGGAGGCGTTCCCTATATCCCTCCGAACTTTGTACGATGGGATAAAAAGTTTACTTTTAAAGACAGCATAATTATTTGGATTCAAATTTAGGTCCATTGGGTCTGAGACAAAATGAGGTCTGATAAAGCAAACATTTTAAGGTCAATGTCACCAAGGAACCAATCAACCAACCCAACTCCCCACTAACCAATCAACCAACAAACAAACCAAAACCAATCATGCTAACTTAACCCAACCAATCCAACTAACTAAACTAACCCAAGGCAAGCAACCCACAAAACAAACCAACAAACCATTAGTAACGAAATAAGTAACCAAATTAGTAACTAACCTAGTAATAAAAAATTTACATTTGAGACGTTAGAGAACAAACAAAAACTCAAGTTGCATTATTTTCAAGGTAAAATTTTAAATTGGTTCAAACTTGAACAACCTTTTTTGAAAGTCTTCTGCAAATTGCTAAGAAGGAAAACCTGACCTTTGATATGTGATCTGACCATACGTTGACCTGTTTGAGGGTAAAACACAAATCTGTCAGATAGCTTGCAATCTTAAATGTCTAAGTCTCTTGTATACATACTCATTTAATTCACTTAATCCTTACAAAATGCTTGAATTAACTCAGTAAACTTTCAGTAAACCCTTTCAAGATTGGTGCAAAGTTCAAAGCAGTTCTCCCTCGGACACAAAAATGTGTCCTGGATGCATCTTCATTCGTTAAAATATTTCAAACAGTAACAGGATTGAGGATATCAGAATATTTTCCACAGATTATTTTAGGAACTGCCAGAGGGACATATTCATTTATGGATAACAAAGGAAGGTAAATATAATTTAATTTCAGTGATAAATAATGAGTTGCAAAGGGAAGACTGCAGGGATAAAAGCCTATAAAGAATTTTTCTACTAAAGACTACAACTAAAAATTAATGTGCAAACATCTTAGCTCTAAAGTTGGAGAAATTTTAAGAAAATGATAAATTTTAAGAAAATGGCTTTGCTTAGGATGATTAAAATACATTTTTGGAAACTAACTCAACAAAATACAAATGTACTTAAACTCAAGTTAGTATCAAAATGCTGTTGACCGGTATAAATGTGTTTCAGGAAAGTTGAAGGGATTCTGAAAGCTATCTTTAACTACAATGTGGCATCACGTTTACCAATATGGAAAATTACAGCTGACAAGTTTAAAATAACAGGATATACATTCATGCCCTATTTCCTTGCTTCAACTCCAATAAGTGGTAAATATTACTACGGACATGATTTAAAGAAGGTTTGCTCAACTGCAGTTTGGTATCCATATGTTTGATTATCACTGAATATGTTTTATTTGTTGTAGAGTTAAAAGACAAAATATTACCTAACTAAAGCATAAAATATGACATTAAACATTAAGCCTCAAGTAGATATCACTTTAACAAGAATGTAATCAAAAATTAGACTTATCAAAAATGACTTAACAAAATTAAGGATTTAAGTGGTTTTAAAAATATCACCGAAAATCATGACATTGCAGATTTGAGTGAACGATATATGCTTTGATTCGTAAATAACGTTTATTTTAATATGTGTATCTAAGAACATAGGGAGTAATGTGTCAAACACACTGCACCAATGAATATCATGATGACTGCTAGGTGTTTATTATGGTGGTGGTGTTATGTATCTACCATGCAGTGGGGTTTGAGAGCATCTTATTGTTCTTTTGGGAGAAAGTTTAAAGTTTTACTTACATACATGTAGTGAGTACTTATATAGCATTGTAAGTTTAGTAATCGTAACTTTTTCAGACCTCTGATATTTACTGAAAATAAGTACAAGTTGGAGATTATTCCAAATTATTTCAAATTTAATTTAGTGTAATTTAAGATACCACATTCTCCTTAATTAGAGCCAAGGGCATTTAGAAAATTAAAAATACATGTACATGTACCTCCTTCAGATAATTTAAATAAGCACCCATAATTGAAAGAAGTCAAAAATCACCAGGAATATCATGTATGGCATATTTTGAACTTTATGAAGCAGGACAGGCACTGAATATGGCGATTGTGGTAAAATTATGACATTATGAGACCAAATTAAATTCCCTAAGTACATTAAGGGCAAGGATCAAGGATCATTAACCTTAGTGCAAACTTCTCTTTAGAACATAATTTAAAAATACATCAATTTGGTAACTACCACTCATATTGACACATCAACTAGCAACTCAATGAAGTAGCAAATCCCACCAAACAAACATATTATAAAAATCACCTTGTCCATTGAGCATTAGCAAATGAATTTTGTTCAAAATAATTGACTACATTTAAAATGCCTTCTTGAGTAGAGGTCCTTTGCCCATAAGATATTGATTGGACAATGATTGTCTAAAAATGGTAAAAATGGCAGCCATTTTAAAATGAAGCAGCCATGTTGAAAATTTCTTCGGGCAGATCTCCTCTTTTGAAGGCACCAGCATGTAAAATTTGAACCAAAATCCATCAACTGATATTTTGAAATTCAATTGGCTTCGTGAAAATTTGTTTTGGAGCTGAGCTCTTTTGTCCGTGGGCATCCCTAAAAAATTTGTCAACTCGTATTTGAGCCATCAAAGACTACATTTTTTTAAAGAAAAATGGTAGCCATTTTTAATTCAGTGGCCATCTTGTTTTTGTGACCCTTAGGCATCAATATATAAAATTTGAACCAAATCTGTCTATTGATTTACAAGTTATCAATTATTATATTTTTACGAAAAATGGTGGCCATTTTGCAAAAGCATTTAACCAAATCTATTTGCTAGTATTTGAGTTATCAAAGAATACCTTTTTAATGAAAATGGTAACCATTTTGAAATTCAGCGTCTTCTTCAGCAGATCTATGAACCAAATATATCAACTGGCTACGTGACTTATAAAAGATTTCATTTTTTATGAAAAATTGTGACCATTTTGAATTGAGTAGCCATATTGGAAATTTCTTCTCAAGCAGAGGTCCAGTTCACCCATAAAGCATATAAAGCCTACAAAATTTAAGTCAAATCTGTCAACAGGTATTAGTTATCACCCAAACAGATGGGTGGACAACCGAATGAATGAATGGACAGCCGGACAAATGGCTTTTCTATATCCCTCTCATTCAGTGGGATATAAAATTAATATCAGATATCTTATATTCAACACTAATTAAGCTGTTAGATTATTGCCTAAAGAAATACTGATTATCAGATGGCTGCCAGGTTTAAATTGCTGGTGGTGGTGTTGTGTATGTACAATGCAGGAAGAGTGAGAGCATCATGTGATTGCAAGCTTAGCGCAACTTCAAAACCAGTAGCACCAGAGATTATCAACTCAAGCCTTGATTACCAACAAGAGATAATTGACAGGTACTTTTTAACATCTCAAACTGTATGAATTAAAATCATTATGCATATTTTGTACCTTGGTGTTCTGGTCATGGATTGTGGTATTGGTTCTTAAATGGGAGAAGGGGGTATATGAATTTGACACTGTTTCTTTTCACGTTAGATCATGGTTTTGGGATATGTGGAGTTTGTTTTTTCTTATAATTGGTATAGACTTAGAATTTGCATTTTCGTGCAAGGTTTCATTACAGCTTTTGGTCCTTTCCCTTTGGCACTTGCACTTTGATATATATAGTAAAATTGGAGGAAATAAAATGAGTGATTAGAGGAAATTTCAGAGTTAAACACTTGGTAAAAATGTAAAAATAATATAGAATAAAATGTTTAATATACTGCAAAATAAGTTGCATTAAGAGAGAATCATAGAGAATATTTTTTCCAGTATAATAGGCAGTTATTTTTTGTATTATAGCGGAAAAAAATATAATACGAATTTTGAAGAATTATTTTTGATTTAATAATATTATTCGTGTATTATTTAAAGGGAACAACATATAATACCATATAATATAGAATAATATTTTTGTCAGGAGCAAATAATATGTTGGCATCTGCAATCAAAAACCGATTATACGCGTTTATTTTCGAGCCGTTAATCCCTAATTACTCAATTCCTATGAAATGAGTTTCATTCATACTTATACTTAAGTAATTAATCCGTTTGTTATGGTTAATGGATTAATCTCTACAGCTGATGGCTCTAAAAAATTCCACAAAAATAATTTGCAGAATAAGTTTTTACATATATATTTGATTGTATAATGTCCCTCATGTTATGATTAACATTGTGTTAAATTTTTGATTCAATCAATTAATTCATTGTAAAGTTAATTTTTGAATTTTTAATTAATTGGTTTTCCTCACATTTTTATTCCATTGTTTCTCTGTCACATTAGGTTTTTGGCAAACAACTCTTAAATCCCCCTCTTACACAGATACAAACAACCACCTGTATTCACTTTGCCAACAAAAAACAGTCATGACACAGAACTGCTCAATAATTAATAAACACATTACGCATTTTATACAGAACCATACTTAAGGACCCCCCTCCCCGTGGCCAACGATTCTTTCAAATTCATATAGTTTTTCAAAATTCACATACATGTATTGACATTCCAGAGCAATATAATAAGTCAAACTTTAATCCCTAATTATTCAATTTCTATGATTTGAGTTTTGTTCACACCAATAAATAATCTGTTTGTTAGAGTTAATGGATTAATTTCTACAGCCGATGGTTCTAATTTCAACCAAAAAAATAATTTGCAAATTTAATTTTTCATATTTATTTGATCGTATAATGTACCTTATGTTATAATTAACATTGTGTTAAAATTTGGATTTAATTGATTGACTCAATGGAAAGTTAATTTTTAATCAATGGCTTTCCTCACATTTTTACTCCATTTGGTTTCCTCACAATTTAAATCAATAGTTTCTCTGTCAAATTAAGCTTATAACAAACAAGACTTAAAGCCCTCTCTCACACAGACACAAACACCTTTATTCACTTCACAAACAACACAAAACATTGATGACACGAAACTGCTATATATCAATACATTACAAATTTGATACAGGTCCATGGCAAGGAAGGGGGGGGGGGGTCGTTGGGTTCGAGTAAATCACCCTCCCCCTTGCCAAAATTCTTTCAAAATCCTATTATCAATTGTGAACCCTTGGTATGTTTTGAAAATTGATCCCCTTGGCTAAAACTTATTACAAGCCTGTAATATATTATATGTTTTGCTCCGATTTTTCTGACAAATCACTGATAATAAAGAAGGAAACGTCCATTAGGTTAACCGATACAAGTGGTGTTAATCCATGCTAAAACAAAATAAGAACTTGTATTCTCTCACATTTCACAATTCTTGTGTTTTCTGTTATCCATATAATATCTGAGATATAAACCGGGGATATCCCGGGAGGGGGGATATAAACATCAGATTAGTACATGATGTTATACATTTGTTTCTACTACAATTGGATCATTTCTTTTTATTACAACTTTCTTTGTTTTCCATTTCCAAATATATATATTCAAAAGGTGCGAGATTCGGTATGTTTAGTTGTTTGATAATGAAAATAAAGAAGTGGGCACAATTTAATGTTTCATCTGACAAAGCAATGATTACGCTTTGAGCAAATTGGTGCATGGTAGAACACACTGATGTAAATAACATATTGACATACAGCATGTCAGAGCAATATGATAAGTAAAATGTTAATCCCTAATTATTTAATTTCTTTAATATGAGCTTCATTAACACTGACAACTAATCCGTTTGTTGGAGGCAATGGATTAATTTCCTACAACCAACAGTTCTGAGTTCCACAACAAAATTATTTGAAAATTAAGTTTTTCATATTTATTTGATTGTATAATGCCCCTTATGTTATGATTAACATTGTGTTAAAATTTGGATTAGATTGATTGACTCAACGGAAAGTTAAGTTTTAATCAATGGGTTTCCACTCCATTGTTTCTTTGCCACATTAAGTTTACAACAAACAACATTTAAGGCCCCCTCTTACACAGAGTGAGACACAAACAACCACCTGTATTCACTTTGCCAACCACAAAAATAGTCTTGACACAGAACTGCTCAATTTTTCAGTTAAATACAAGTACATTACGCATTTTATACAGGCCCGTACCTATCGAGTAACGATCCCCTCCCCTTGGCCAACAATTTTTTCAAAATCATGCAGATTTTCACCATTCACATACATGTATTGATGTCAGAGCAATATAAGTAATACCTTAATCCCTAAGTTTTTTCAATTTCTATGAAATGAGTTTTGTTCACTGATAACTAATCCGTTTGTTAGAGTTAATGGATTAATATCTAGAACCGATTCTTCTAATTTCCACAAAAAATAATAATTTGCAAATTAAGTTTTTCATATTTATTTGATGGTATAGTGTCCCTCTTTCTATGATTAACATTGTATTAAAATTTGGATTGAATTGATTAACTCATCGGAAAGTTAATTTTTTGATTTTTAATTGATGACTTTTCTTCACATGTTTACTCCATTGTTAACATTAATTTTAATCAAATTAAATTTATTAATTTCTTCTAAATATTTATTTTGTAAATATGATTCAAATAGAAATAGAACAATCAAAATAAAATGTATGTGTGACATTTGTAAGTAATGGAGATGAGAAGGCCAGTAGAACGGTTAATCCTATTAACTGCCATGCTGTGCATTCTTTGTTTTGTTTGGTTAAGTAATTAACCAGATGGATTGTACATCAAGTTGGGCGAGAATAATCGCGTATAATATTTTTTAGAACCCAAATAATACAATATAATTTGATATATTCTGTTCAGATTGGAAAATACAAGAAAATAATATTTTTTAGAATAGAAAAAAATTCTAAATAAACTGCAATCATCATATTTGGATCTCGCTTATTTCTAATTATATTATATTAATCTCTATATAATATAGTATATTTTGCTGATTATATTTTTTTCCTTCATAATATAATATAATAATTACAATACTGAATGGAAATACTGTATTATTACGCATCTTTTTACACAAATATCCGAAAATAAAACATCTTTTTATATATTATTTTATTGATTTCACCAAGTGAAATAAGCTTTAACATAAAGTTGTAAGATGAACCCTAAGAGCACTTTGCTCCGTTGTCTCCCAATGGCCCATATTTACAACCCGTACAGTACTAGTGACATTATCCATGGCACAGGGTTTGTTTACATTACCACAGAATATAACCGATCATTTCAGGAAAAATGCCTTACTCTACAGGAATAGAAATAATGTTCTAAAGCTAGTTTGATGCACATACTACATTCCCCAGTCTCCAGGGAATGATTGCACTCTGTATAGAAAACAATTTAGAACCTTTGGATAGAAGAGTTTAAAAGCACTAGAAGAGTGAATTAGCCTCCTTTGTTTACATTCAACAATATGTGAAAATAGAAAAGTTGTCATAACTTTTTAAATTCTGTAAGGATTGTTTATTCTTTACTTTTACATTTGATAACAGAAGGTATGACCTTTCATATCAATCACTGACACCAAATCGTAAAATACTCTTCAACATGAAAAAGTATTATTTAATAAACTATATGTACCAATTATTGTAGACTTGAAAAGCAGTACCAAAACTTAGTACAGAACAATGAGTTTAATCTTGAGCGATTGACGAATGCCAAAACCGATGCTCAGCATATGACAGATATAGCATATAAGGAAGGTATTTACTGAATCAGAAATGTTTATGAGCTAAAAATGCAAATAAGTAGAATTAGTGTGACAAATGTACTCACGCGGTAGTAACTTTGACCATTTTTTTGAATTTTTGACGTACCAGATGTTTGAAAATCAAGGATTGCGAGTCTCATAACTGCACTGTTTTTTCAAACTTGTTCCATTCAAAGCAAAACAAATTGCTGTTCTGTCGGTGTATTGCTTTATTGTAAAGAGTTCCTTGATTTAGCAGCGTTTTGGTCCCCAGCTGGGGACCCAAATGCCTCTGAAAGTTAGTCACATCAATTGTTTCCTATTTCCAGCAAATCAATGTGCCAAGAAGCGCCATTTGCGCTGCATAGAATCTGGAGAGTGTATCCATCAACTATTTGTAAGCACAATTACCTTTACAGCTACAGTACATGTGCTTCCCAAATTTTTACACATTAATGCCTTGGTCACATATGCTCCAATCCACCGGCCGGGCACCGGCCGATTGAGTGTTTTGTTCAATATTGTATTAAATTTTGAACAAAATACTCAATTGGCCGGCGCCAAAGCAAATGTGACCAAGGCATAAGGCACTAATCATCATGATTCTCAGTTACTCCAATTTCACCTTGATAATTTAAGAATGATTCTACTTGACTAAGTAAACAAAAAAAAATGCTAAAAAGGAAACAGCAACTCCATCCATGGAGTAACAAATCCCACCAACCAAAACATATTTTAATGAATACCTTGTCATTTTGAAGAGTACCTGATAGAAATAACCAGAAAATAGTCTAGTCATTCCTTAATGTACATCATCAGTGCGTAAAATGTGAACTAAATCTGCACATTAATAATTAAGTTATCAAAGATTACAGTTTTTACAAAAAATATGTATTAACTCTTTAATAGGGCTGTGATGGAGTGGTCGACTGCCTAGATGGGTCTGATGAAGATAATACAGTATGTAGTGAGTACTGAGATGTATTGTAATAAAATTTTTTTCTCATAATGCAATAATGAGACTGGTGATATGAAATACAGAAAAAGAGACAAGTTCTGAAAAAGTCCTCTTTATGGATACACCACACTGATATCATACCCTGACATGTGAAACTGGTGTAAAGTAATTTGTAATATGTAGTTGTAGTTTGTAGTTTTTTGTACACTGTAGTGACTGATATGTCATTTACATGACATGGTTATTGAGTCAATAAAAGATATATATATGATTCTCCCCAGTGGCGGATCCAGGAACCAACAGGGGCGGGGCCCAAATTTGAGGTCAGAGAAAAAACCTTGGGCCCCTAAAACCGAAAAGTTTAATGCCCATTTTGAGGCCCATTTTCTTCAAAATATGGCCTAAAATTAAAAAAATAAGGCCTTAGAAGGCCCAATAATGACCAAAAGGCCCACTTTTTGGGGCCTTTTTTTGGCCTAAAATTTTTTTGGGCCCAACTTTTTTTTTCTGGGCCAACCTTAGGGGGGGGGGGGGCGTGCCCCATGCCCCCCCCCCCCAGATCCGCCATAGCTCCCTTAACTCCTTAAACATAAGAATTATTATGTGGTGCATTAATATCTGTACAGTAAAAGTAGTAGAAGTAGAACACCTTTGTACCTCTATGAAGGGTTTCACTTAGGAGGTTCATTTATTCTACTTACAGAGATGTTCCAACTTTACAGGTTTAACTGTATATGAGACCCACAAATGCAATCAAAATCCATGACTTCATTTCAGTGAAACCTTTCAAGATAGGTGGTAAGTTCAGGGTTGTTCTCCCTAAAAGTCAGCAATGTTTCCACAATGCTTCTTCGTTTGTCCAGTTGGTTACTGCAGTTACAAAGCTTGAAACAATAAAATACTTTCCACAGATTTTCAAAGGAGCTGCTGAAACAGAATATACATTCATAGATAACCAAGGAAGGTAAACAAAACCTACATTTGCCTGTAGAAACCCATTATTAAATCAGAGAACCTTGATCAAGTTCTTCAGGGTTCGTACACCTTTTTCAAAATGAAATTCCCTGACAATTCCCTGACATTTCCAGGCAAGAAAGGAAATTTCCAGATCTAGTTTTGCATGCACGGCCTCATAAAAAGTCTCAGACAACTATAATATTTAAAAGACAAGACTTATTATGAAACATAGTGGGTTTCTCCTTTAGTACCATTTCTCATGACTTAATTTACTTCTTAAGTTTATTCACCAATTTATTCCTGATACACACTATTTTTAATATTTTTGCATTCCATAAGGCCAAAGGTAAACATACATCAAGTACAAGGGCGTAGCCAGCAAATGTCAAGGGTGTGCTATTCTTTGGGTTTGCATCACTGCGAGAGATAGTAACCAAAAAGGGGGTTTTCATTGTATTTGGTGCATTCTTAGCATTTCAAACTATAATTTGTTATGTTTTGTAATAAATCCAAATGACTACTGAAACTTAAAAATTTTGATCTAATATCATACTAGAAAAATAGCAACTCTATTGAGGGGAAATTCTCATGCAACTAATGAAACATATTTTATCAAATACTGATCATTGTGAACATAATATGATAACAATAACCTGGTATTACTATTGTCTTCTTCCTTTTGGGAAAATCTATACCAAAACATGATACCATATAAGAAATTCCTTCTCAAGTACACAAAAGGCACAGGCCTATGATACCAAATCAAATATCAAAATATTATTTGTGTTATCAGGAATCTTATTTCTTTAAATTATCAAAAATTTCATAAAAAATGGTGGCTGTTTGAATTCATCTTAATATTTCTTCTTGAGCAGGTCCTTTGTCCCTGAGGCATCACCATATAAAATTTGAGCCAAAGAAAAACTCTAGGTTCATCTTTACATGAAGAAAGATTCTTAATTCTTTTGATTCTTGGTTATTTCCTCCCCTTCCCTTGACATTTGGACCAAATCTAAAAACTGTTGATAATGTTTTCAAAATTATTTTTTTCATGAAAAATGGCAAAAGTATGTTCTTGAGCAGAGGCCCTATATCACCAAAGCATCGGAACATAAAATTTGAACCAAATCTGTCAATTGATATTTGAGTTATCACCCTGACAGATGGACAGATGAATGGAGTGATGTACCACAGGACTGTTGAACAGGCAGCTTCTTAATATAAATACAGTTTTACATTGAAAAGAGTTCCCGGAATTGTTTTTGTTTTTCGCCTCCCACCCTCCTCAGATTAACCCCTCAACAAAACATGCAACATATACCTTTAATTAACTTTGAATGGCCCAAGAAAACTAACTACACGGAAAAGCAAAAAAATAAGAGCACTTGTATCTTTACTTTCCGGACACCCTGTATATTCTTTATTGCTTGGTTTCAGTATAATGTTCAAACTGTTCTTACAAATAGACAATATACCAGATAGAATGTCATTCAATCAACCCTAATAAAAAGATTTCAAATTTGTGGAAACAACTAAATTCTAGATTTTGGGTTTTATTGATATCCTGTCATCAGCCCTAAAATACATTTTGCTGGAACATTATTTTTTCAACAATGATACAAAATTCCCTGACATTTCCCTGACATATCTACTGTTTCAAAATTCACTGACATTTTTGGCCCTTTTTGACCAAATTTCAAAATTCCCTGACATTTCCAGCACCTGGAAAAATAAATCAATTTCCCTGACATTTCCAGGTGTGTACGAACCCTGTTCTTTGATAATATTTGATTAATACTTGGTAAAATATATTATTTTCAATCCACATTGGTTTTTAATGAAATTCAGAAATGTTGATACACATTCTTAAAATAATCATTAGTTCTCAGATTTGTATGTCCAGTAAATATTTGGTCTTTAATTGAAACTTAACCTTTAAATGATCCTTGAACAAATAAAATAATAACTAGTACTAATGTAATTAAATTCCATATTTGATGAGAAGTAATGAATGTTTTATTAAATTTGTATTTCAGGAATGCTGAAGGCATCCTAAAAGTTAAATTTACCCACTTTGTGGCCTCTGGAGAAATGATATGGAAACATACTGATGAGGAGCATAACAAGTACAATATGACGGGATATGGATTTTTGCCTTATTTCATTGGCCCAACTACTCCCATAAGGGGCACATATTATTTTGGACATGATTTAAAGAAAGTTTGCTCTGATGTAGTTTGGTATCCACATTCTTGATTATCATCTATCAGAAAAAAGAAAAAAAAATCTATCTGAAATATGTTTGCTTGTAGAATCAAGAGGCATAAGACAATAATTTACAAAGTTAACTGATTGATTGATTGGTTGATTGAATGATTGATGTACCTCACACCGATAAAATATTTAGGCCTGTTTTTTCTGTAAATTGTAAGTTAGTAACTATGTTAATGTAAAAGTGCAAATAAATTAAATAAATTGAATAATAAAAAGTTGTAAACAAGAACACAAATGTGTACATGTTGAAGGTGATATCTGTAGCGGTTTTGGAGAAAACTGCCGGACGTACGTACGTTTGACGTACGGACGGACGCGCCTAGGTTGACAATATAGCCCCATACTATGTTGTGGGGACATAATAAAAGGTTCTCCTCGGCAGAGGTCATTTTGCCCTCAGCATCAGTATTTAAATTTGAACCAATTCTATCAACATTTTTAACAACAACAAATGACAGCCATTCTGACAAATAGCGCCTGTGTTGAAAATTTCTTCATGAGCACAACTCCTTTATTTCTTGGCATCAGCACATAATCAAATGCATCAATTGCTATTTGAGTTATCAAAGATTACGTTTTTATGAGGAGAGTTCACTTGTCTCTTGGCATAAGCATACCATAAACCAAATCCGTATGTTCATGTGAAATCCAGCTGTCATCTTACAAATTCCTTCTCAAGCAGAACTTTAGGCATCAGCACATATAATTTAAACCAAATCCGTTCACTGGTATTTGAGTTATCAAAAATAAAGTTATTTTAAAAAATAGTAGCCATTTTGAAATTCTATGGTCATTTGAAAATCTCTTCTTGAGCAGAGCTACTTTGTCTGTTCCCCAGCAGCAAGTTAAAAAGTTTGAACCCAAACTGTCAACAAGATTTTAAATTATTAATGATTACATTTTTTTAAAACTGGAGGCCATTTTGAATCATGTATCCATATTGAGAATTCCTTCTCAAGCAGAAGTCCTACATGTATACCAATAAAGCATAAACCTATTTATGTCCCTTTCAAACTTCGGGTGGGATAATGAACAGTATTTTCTCATTTGACTATCCAAGATACAGCCATCTTTACCCCATGCAAGATATTGCCATCTTTCATCCCTAAAAATGTCACACGTATAAGTTGAGATTTACTTGTGACATCACTGGTCTATAAACATCAACAACATAGCAACAAATACAACGTTGCTAAGAGTACCCAGGCTCATTCTACAAAACTGTGACATCATACACGTATGTATTTTTGACATTATTGTCATGATGTCATAACAATTGAAAGATGAAGTTCCATTAATCTGAAGCTATTTTTCACCAAGTTTTGTCATAAAAACATGAAAGTATGGCATAATACAGTCATATAAGAAAAACTTTCTTGTACTCATACCTGTGCAAAATCGTCCATATTTGACTCGAAATCACTTAATTAATACCATTACAATAATGTTTCCTTTTCATATCTCATCTCCGAAGAAAACAAGCTGAACAACAAGAGCATGAGTTATCTGTATGGGTGAATGATGTGAGACTTCATATTTGGGTTGAATACAATTTTTCTTTAAGAAGTGATTGGTACATTGAAGCTTATTATTATTAATATATGGGTGGCATTTAAGGTGATCATTAAATCTAGCATTTCTAAAAAGTATAGTAGATTTCTGCAGGTTGATTGTTCTTTATTCAACACAGAGCCCAATTTTACACTTCTTCATCTGGAATAATGCATTACCCTAAATAGCCTATTAAAATTGGTTGCATCATGCTCTTTTGAAGTAAAAAAATAAGAAAATTTATTGCACAAAAAAGTCCTGCACAAATAAACACCATGACGACATGGAAGATAACAAGAGTTATTAATATTCTGTAATAATGAGCCCCTAGATAACCTCTGTAAAATATACCAAACGATGTCAGTATTAAATGGTTATTTAGAGATAACACTTTTTGTTATAAACCCCTATGTTGATAACAAGATGATTAATATGACCACCAGATTATTAACTTAATGCATACATTATAAGTTGATAAAAATTTATCTAAATATAAGCCTATTAATTGAAATGTTGCCTAAAATCTAAAGATGTCTATAAACTGCAAATAGGTAATCAATATCTAACAATGACTTGTCAGGTTTTCACTGTTGGTTTAAAAAGGTTGGACATGATTTCATTCCATAATATCTGAACACCTGGTTAATCCGAAGACCTCCCAATCTGAACACCATTTTTTCGGTCCCATTTTTTCCTCCCATTGAATCCAATGTTAAAAAACTTGAAATGTGAACACCTCTCAATTCGAACAGTGAACAATCATATTTCCAAAATTAACCTTTCTAATCTGAACACTTTTCATAAAATTTCACAGATTTCATACAAGATTGCTCAAATATTGTTATGAAATCCAAATTGGGAAATGAACTTGAATTGTCTTGATTATAATAGGGCTTTCCAGCATGACAAGATTCATTTGAATCAAATTTTCAAATTTCTGAAATGCCATAAAGCTATGTGATCAAAAGAACTATAAATATGTACCAAGAATGTGTTCACATTTCTTCAGAATCCGGAATCTTGCAAAAGCAAAAACCTTGAAATGTGAAACCTACTAATCTGAACTCTTTATTTAAGCCGTCCCAATGGCGTTCAGATTAGACAGGTTTTACTGTATCTCCTAACAAGGGATTAACAGAGGTAACAAACCTGCCATTTGTTTCAAATGGCAAATGTCAACTGCCAAGCTTCAAACACCATCCACAAAAAAGTTGGGGACTTTTAACAGTATGTCAACACTTCTGGTGGTGACATAAAAACTGATAACTCATATCAACTAATACTATTAAGCATCCCCGAAAATGTATAAATGAAGCCATCAAATAGTTTGGCTGAAAACAAATGGACAAAACTTTACAGCCAACACTTTTGTATGGAAAATCCAAAATGGCCACCTTGAAATTCAGACCGTTGATTTTTCAATCATAACACGCATGAGAAATTTGAAATTGATTCATTTAATGATTTGTTTGAAAACATGCAGACAAGATTCAAGAATACATACCACCTGTCTGATTTCAAACTGCACATGTTATTACAGTATCATTTGTTGGATGTTGTTTTCTCCTTGTTATTATTTCCTTTTGTAACTAGATCTAGTCACACCTCTCATTTCTCATTTTGATACTACATTAAGCAGATTTTAAACAAGGGATGATTATAGCTTATTGCACATACCTGGCAAGTTCAATCCATTTGGCTGTATCAGCTGAGACCGTCTTGTTTGTTGTTCTTGCTCTCTTTTTTGGTACAGGCTCGGCATCAGTTTGAAGTAGCATCTCCTCCAGTAAGATAATACCTGAAAATATATTAGTAACAATTATGTATAAATGTTAAGATACAATGAAACCAATCAAAATGATACCTGTTTAACATAGTATATAAGATACAATGAAACATCTGTAATGACCAATCAATAGATAAAACAAGGCATAAACATGCAAAATGTCACCACCTGCTATTTGTTTCAGACACCAACACTAACCGCTGAACACCATCCACATAAATGTCACTTGTGGTGATATAATAAAGTTAGTTTTGGTACTTGGTTAGTAACAATATCCCAAAACATGAAGATAACATTTCAAAAACTTAACAGTAGCATTAAAGATTTATTTTTGTGATTACTTAGCTTTGGCTTTTGTATTTTTATGTTTTGCTCTGTTTTGCAATCTATATGATCCAAGGCCCTGGATAGTTTGATCCATACAAATGTGATATCAATTCACATTCCAATATGAAATTAAAATGCTACCCTCATGTTCATCAAAGTCTGAATTAAACAGGTAATAAAGAAGATAAACAGCACAATAATAAACATTATTTCCAATTCATTCTAGAACCCGCAACTCAATGATTAACAAGTCCCTCCAACCAAAACAGAGTTGATCAAATCAATCATTTTTTGTTACATATATCATGTACATGTATAACTTCATTTTTAATGAACACTATTAATTCCTAGATGGTCTCATAGTCTCAGGCATTTACAGTACAATGTACAATGAACAAAATTACTGATAAGAGAATGTGGTGTCCCAACCAGCACAAGCCAGAGTTCTATATGAATGTATTATACACTGATTAACACATAAACAATAAGTTCATCACTCATGCTTTCATGAGTCATGTCTAGTTTTTGTTTTATACCAGGTTTATCAAACACATGTGTGCGAATATTATTGCAAAATATACACGTATGTGTTTGTAATGTGAAATTGGAAGTCATTTAGACCCTCTTATAGTTCATTAACTTAAATCGAAAGAACATTTTTTGGTAGAGAAGCAGCAAAATTTCATCATTACAAAAAATGACATTTTTTTCGCAATAATTTCAAATTGTGCCAGAAGACCTTTTTCATTTCTTTAATAAAAAACAAAATGTTACAACTATATTGGGCCAAATTTCATTTTTACAAGTTTTCCAGTTTCATGGTTTTATTGGTTGGTATAATCTGTAGGAGTATGAATTGTTCTAGATAAGAAATGTTTCCTCTTGTGATAATCTTTTCGGGCAATACACACAAATTAGAAGGGGGAATAAAATTTATGCATGTTATCATTGTAATCTGATAAAAATATCTTTTCCTGCATATCATTAAACAGAGAATCATTTTATCAGAAATTCTTAATGATTATGTGTACTTTGCTAATGCTGACGTGTATTTTAGGGAAACGATTATTTAACAACAGGGCCTAGCTAACTCCAATCGTATGCAATCGAATGCGCTTTTGAACTGTGAGCAATAAGGTAAGAGCATTATCTAATCATTCCAAACATATATTTTTTAGAATTATTAGATTCGAATAAAGCAATACTCACAGAAAATTATTTTTCACAAAGCAACAATAAAAAAAACTCCTATAAACAAAAGAAAGGTCTTTTAAAATCTCATAAAACCATGATCAAAATATGTTTTAGAAATGCAAAACAAATTAAAATATAGCAATAACTTACTGACTATTAAAATGTTATATCCCAAAACTGTAAACTGAGACTGCAGGTCAACTGCTCATATTGACCATCCCCTGACCAATCAGAATGAAATATTTCAAGATAATATAGCAAGATGGTTTGACATAGATCTTTGTTTTACCTTAAGAATTAATTAACAGATTTTGACAGCCATTATTCTTCATGAAGTTCAAGGAAATCAAAAGATAAATTATTCTGTCAACACTTTTGTCATCATTTGTATGTTCTTGTTATTTTGCTACATTATAAAACATAATATCATTGAATAATTCTTTTGAATTTTTTAGCTCAAAATAGAATTCCTCCTCTGTGTATTACGACTAAACAATGAATATAATTTTTATTTTAACCTTTATCAGAAATATAATAAAGTATGTCAAAGAGACAGACAAAACATCAGTAAAAGAGCCAATAAAAAAAATGTTAATACTGTATATAGCACTATAGCAGATAGAGGTAATAAAAATGAACCTGGCGTTATCACATTATGAGGCAGCAGATGCACCAATGAAATTAATTTCGCTCTTTTTTGTTGATAAATCAGCATTTCTATGAAATTCTGTTGCTTAATATTTGACTGCCACCAGATCTTTAGCTATTAATTGCTGTTTTATCTTCTTTTAATAAGATTTTAGGATTTGTATATTTCAAAATTATTATCAACAAATATCAAATGACACTGCTGAGTTCTTTGTAAATGTTTTACTTGAAATCTTTTCAAGATATTTTCTTCTGTCTAATTTCCCAGAATTCTCTAAAAAGGTTTGGCTAAAGTACAAGTTATATGACAATGGAGTATATATATATTTATTCAATTGGAAAGATTTGATGAACCATTGAGTAACCATGATGTCTTGGAATCTTGAATTATATATCATGTAATGCAAAGTAGCTCAACCACAACACTACTGCCCTCTTTCTGCCCATTAAGTATTAAGGATAAATCATTGGTCTATTATATACATGTGTTATGTAATGCTATAACATCATGACATCTCATGTTAATTTTCAGCTGAACCATGATGTCTTGTAAGCTGATATTTGTGATGTGTGCGTTGGCCGCTGTCATTCTCCTAAATGATGCAAAAAAGCCATGCAAGGAGAGGTAATACAACACGCAGTGGCAATACCTTATTTAAAAGCGCTTCAAAAACTAGAGATAATTTTACAATGTTGTTTTATTCGAAATATTTGAAGAATGTGGGTGATGCTATTGCTATTGCCATTAGCCACTTAAGAGGTCCTTCACCCATACATAAGCCTATAAATTTTTTATTAAAAATCCGGCAACCAGTATTTGAGTTATCACCAGGACAGATAGAACGGATGGACGGACGGAAGGACAGCTTTTCTATATTTCCCTCAAACTTCGGTCGGTAAGATAATTACTATCATGTAATTAGCTTTATATGTATATTACATATGTACTTATTACATACATACATGTATAACTGATGTGTATCACATAATATTTATGCATTTGTTTTAGTAAAGAACTCCCCGATGCTAGCTGTTCCCCAGAGACGGACTGTGGTCTGGAGAATTTTGTATGCTGCGAAGTAACATACAATGACGATAAACAAAATCCAAAAGAAAAGCATTGTGTCTCCAAAAAGTTTTGCGAAGATGCTTGCAAAGATGAAGAGGAATTGTAATTGTTATGATAGCAATATGAAATGGAAATAAAAAAAATTAATTTCCAAAAAACATTAAATTGTTTTGTTCATATAACATTTTTCATATTTACAATTTGTAGCGAAACCCTAAAATACATGTATTCTGATTTCAATCTTCATGTTCTTAATGCTAAGTTGTCACATAGAGATTTCTATTAAAAGCGCATTCTGACAAAATCATTGAAATAATTTTTTGCCTCAAGTGAGCAAAGTGCATCGTGGTGTTGGTATGATAAAAATGACCAGTATTATACTGATTCTAGCCTAATTGGCAGATTGGAGAATTTGGTTAGTCTCCATATGTCATGTCCTGGTTCGATTCCCGAGAGGGTCTGAATTGTGCTTTTCGGTGGTTAGTTGGCTTAATGCCAAAAATACATCCATTGTTCTGTACTTGTACCAGAAAATGATTTGATACTTGAACCAATCATCAAGTAATTCATGTCACCCATCGATCATGAAGTTATTCTTACAGTTAAAGGGTTGAATAGGATTAATTCATCGTAAATTTAAACAAGGCATTAACATGACAAAATGTCACCACCTAGTTGCTCACAATAGTATGAGTTCAATCTTAAGCAAGATTTGAATTTCTACAAACCTGTAGATGATTTTGAAAAAATATGGTCAATTTGAAGCAAGTTCAAAAATGCCTTTTTGACCCTGAATAGGTCATTGAAGGTGAAATCTCAAATCTAAAGCCACTTTGAAGCAAGATGAAAAAGACATTTTTGACCTTGAGAAGGTCATTAAAGCTCAAATCTTTTTTGACCTTGAGAATATAACTGAAGGTCAAATCTATAGTCAGATTTGAACTTTTGAGAACTTGTAGGTGATTTTGAAAAAAATTGGTCAATTTGAAGCAAGTAGAAAAAAAAATCTTTTTGACCTTGAGAAGGTCACTGAAGGTCAAATCTTGAAGTTACGGTCAGATTTGAACTTCTGAAAACTTGTAGATGATTTTGAAAAACATTGAAGTTAGTCTTATCGTATTTGTTAAGTTATTGGAAGTTGTAAGAATTTGTTACAGATGCCGATTGCCAACCACCAATCGCCGTAAAAAAATGGAGTTGGTGGTGACATAAGAACTTCTTACAGTGATGTTACACTGTCAGGTTTATGAAAAACACCGACCACCGACTGGTTACAAATTATGTGAGAATTGACAAATTCAAAAATACATGTCAAAAAATCCCAATATCAGAACTGATCAAAGACACCTTCATGGCAATTGTGCCTGCTATTAGGTGATAGCGTCTGTCAATCAGTTTTAGTTTCAAAAACAGCTTGTCTGTGTGTCAGGTTTATTTGAATTTCAGTTGGGAGAGATAAACAATGCCTAATTAAGTGATAAGCAATGAATGTCATCACAATTCTTAGCAAATCAAAAAGTTCAAAAATCGAAATTGCTACATTTGATTCAAAATTGGTCCAGTTATGATCTACTTGGCAAGATAAATAGTTTTTTTTTACCTTGACCTTAACCATAAAATGATCTTAAGATAACATATTTGTTTTTCTACAAAATTTAAATATACCATGCTGAAAAATTTACACATCATCAATTTAATAATCATCTTTTGAATGCTAACACATCAGACACTTCTTTGGTTTTTGGTATCATATATTCGAAATGAACATTTATTT